TTATTATAAAATAAAAATAATAAATGAATTTATTTGAATTTTGATAGGACGCCATGTACATAAATAAAACATGCGTAACGCTCATTTTAATTGTTGCTTAATTTAAGTTCTTAAAGTTTGTTTAAAAAACCCCAGAGTAAATATTGTTATTGTTATATCTAAGCAAAGTGAATATTGTTTTAGAAGGATTTTGTTTGAAACAGTAATCGCTTTTAATAAATATTTAATTTATACATACAATAAAGATCCACCAAAAGAGTTGCGACGTCTTCGCCACCAAGTGAATGTTTTAGCGCACATGTGTGTGCAGATGATGTACGAAAAATCGTTGAGGAAGTTATCGATTCCCGTTTCAATGAACTACTTGGAGAATTAAAAGCAACTACCTATGTCGCAACTTCTGAATATAGAGTTGAAACCTATGCGCGAAGAAATAAAGGATATTAAAAATTCTTTAACCTTCTTAAGCGATCAGTACGAAGACCTAATGAAAGACCAAAAGAATACTGTTACCAAAGTTAAAAGTCTAGAGGATGATAGTCACGCAATACATAATTCAATGAAAAATCTTACTAGCCGACTCGAAGAAATGGAACAACGAGCACGTTCTAACAATGTTGAAATCCAATGCATACCAGAAAGCAATAATGAAAATTTAGTAAAAATTGTGAATCAGTTAAGTACCGTTGTAGGATGCGATATCCCAGAAAACAGCATCGTTGGTTGCACACGAACAGCGAAGTACAATCGATCTAGTCCACGTCCGCGTTCTATTGTGGTACAATTTGCTACACAGAATACTAGAGATCGCCTGCTTGCAGCATGTAGCAAATTTAACAAAATTAACCACAATAATAAGCTCAATACTACCCATTTACAAATAGGCAATTCGCCTTTACCTATTTATGTTTCGGAACATCTCTCGCCAGCCAATAAGGCACTGCATGCAGCAGCAAGGCTTAAGGCGAAGGAAGTTAACTATAAATATGTTTGGGTTAGAAATGGCAAAATATATATGCGTAAAAATGATAATACTGATTACAAATTAATAAGAAATTTAGATTATTTACAAAAATTAACTTAGTCCTTAACATTATACATTAATAGCTATTTTTTATGGAATCATTATTATTTAAAATTCTCATCTATCAATTTATATTATCAGAATGTTAGAGGGCTCAGAACTAAAACACACGACTTTCTCTGTAGTTTAGCTAATTGCAGCGCTGATATAATTGTACTGACTGAAACTTGGTTAAATGATAGCGTCAATAGTTCTGAATTATTTGGGGATAGTTATAATGTCTATAGAAGAGATCGTACTATTAATAATTTATCCAAAAAGAGAGATGGCGGAGGCGTTCTTGTAGCTGTATCTAAAAAGCTCAGTTCTAAGCATATGAAGAGCTGGCAAAGTGAATGTGAAGATGTATGGGTTGTTGTTGATATTGTAATAAATAAAAAATGTTGTCAACTTGTTATATGCGGAGTTATTTATTATTATTTATTTATTATTTCCACCTCCGGTTGACAAAAAACTTTTGGAATTTTTTTTGGCTAATTATTATAAAGTATCGGAACAACATGAGTTAAACACTTGTTTGATAGGTGATTTCAATCTTGGAGCGATAAATTGGTCAAATACATCTTGTACAGAATTACAGCAAATGCCTTCTATATGTCAAACTCTCGTTGATTTCTGCTTCAATAACAACTTGATTCAGTGTAATCATGTTGAGAATGTTAACAATAGAATTTTAGATTTAGTACTAACTGATTTACCAAACTGCATTGTGAATGATTCTATTGATGTATTATGTAAGGTTGACCCACTGCACCCACCTATCACTGTTGAAATTTTAATATTAAAATCTGAAAGACTTGATCACAACACTAGAATAAAACGACGTAATTTTTATAAATCTGATTTTCAAACTATTAATGAGTATCTTGGAGATATTGATTGGGATTTGGTATTTGAAGATTGTTGCTCATTGGATAGTATGCTAACTAAATTCTATGAAATATTAAATAACGCAATAGAAAATTTTGTGCCATTCTCTAAGCATAATAATAATAAATATCCCCCATGGATCAATCGTAATTTTGTAAGAAGATTAAGCGAAAAGAAAAGAATATTGAAAAAATACAAAAAATACAGAAACCCACGGGACGAACTAACTGTTAAATTATTGAGTAGTCGTTGTGTTAAACTTGCCTCTATATTATACGATCAATATTTGAATAATATAGAAGATAATATAAAAACTAATTCAAAATAGATTGGAAGAAGTGGATACAATCAAGGATCTAGGCATAATTCTAGACGTAAAACTTACGTTCCTGCCACACATAAACGCGGTTATAAAAAAGGCGGCCAAAGTTTTGGGTTTTATTGTCCGTGTTACTAAAAGGGTTTTTAAGCCTAGTACAAAAATTATATTATATAATAGCCTGGTTAGGAGTATTTTAGAATATGGTAGTATTGTATGGCGACCACACTATTTGACACACTCTCTTAGAATTGAACGACTGCAAAAGCGTTTTACGAGGCACCTTGCGTACTCCACAGGCGTAGGAAGAACGCTAGATACATATGACAGTAGGTTAAAATACTTTAAAATGATATCTCTGACCACCAGAAGAGATATCCTCGATATGGTATTTCTATATAAAATTCTGCGTGATCAAATTAACTGTCCGCAACTTTTGCAGTTATTTAATTTTTACGTGCCTCCTCGCTTGCCTCGTGGTGTGATCAAGCCTTTGTCTGTGCCATCTCGTAGAACAGTATTGGGGGCGTATTCAGCTATACCTAGGATTATAAAGATTTTCAACAGGTGTAGTATTTCAATCGATGTATTTAACACTTCACTCAATGTCTTTAGAAAAAACATCAAAACTGTCTTTACTAATACTATTAATCTCACACACTCATTGTTTATGTCTCTGTTACATTTAATTGTTTTTTTTTGAGCATGTTGTGTTTACCTTTAAATAGATTTACGATTACTAACCTATTTTCACTTGTATATGTATGTAAGCCATAAATGTATATAATTGTAAAACTGCTGGTAGACCTTAATAAAAAAAAAAAAATAATAATATTTACTAAAACCAATCCCGCCGCTTGAACGATACCAGAATTAGCAAATACACTAACCAATTTATCTAAATAAATGTTTCAGCTCAATGATCCTAAACATATTGTATTTAATTTTATTTTGAAAAGTAACTTTTTCTAAATTAATCTAAAAATTCATATTATAGTATAAGTATTACTAGTAATACCTATTAGTGTTATATGTATAAGTTATTTTCACTGTGAGCTTCAAGTCTCCGTAGCCGTTAATGTGTTAATAAGAATCACAAAGACACAGAATCTGTCGCATCCATCGTCATCATGGCGGAACGTTAGGGTAATAAATATTCAGGAGAAGAAATAAATTACTTTAGCAATTCATTTGATCGCATATCATTCGAGAGAAAGAAACGCGTAGAGCGGATCTAAATAGCTTTTACTAAAACAGTTAGTTTTACAACGACACGAGTTCTATTAAAATCCGCCCCATAATATGAGTGATGCACGAAAGAAATATTTACTAAAAAAATTAATTTCAATCCCATAAAAAAATTATTTTAACAATTTATAACCAAAATAACTTAGACACTTATTGATTTTGTAGTTTTGTTTGTTTAAATAAATTACTGGTAGAAAACTGTCGTGTCGAGGCAAAGGTAGGTACACAGAGCTTCGGCCACGAGACGAATATTTGTATAAAATCATATATAACTGATTTGATTGAAATGCAAACTTTGTTCGAGTTGAACGCTTTGTTGGGCATCTTAGCTTAGTAACTTAGTTAACGTTCAGCAAGATCTATATCTGTATATAATATAAGAAGTAAACGCACAAACTCACAGACACATACTTTTTTACATTTTTTTTATTATTGTAAGTCATGACACCTCGTAACTCTGTTTTCTACTCTGTATATCTGTGTATTAATATGTTGCTGCTTAGTACGTCGAACAACTACAATGGTCCAATCACTTATACTCGTAAGATAAATTTAAAATCTACATTATGATGAAATATTAATACATAAAAAAATATCCCTAGAATTTTTGAAAATATAAGACGTACATACTTTCGCTTGTATATGAAAATTGCCAATATATATGTAATGACTTATATAGCAGTATATAGCAGGCAGTGGTAGCTCAGTGGTAACGCGCTCGCTTGGGAAACCAAGTGAAGCGGGTGCAAATCCCAGGTCTCGCCTCTGATATTTTCATGTGCAAATTTCTAACATGATTACCACTTGTCTTACGGTGAAGGAAAAATATCGTGAGGAAACCTGCGTATCTGAGGGAACCTAGCAAGTTTTCGAAAGACATGTGAAGTCCGCTAACCCGCACTTGGCCAGCGTGGTGGACTATGACCTGATACCCTTGTATTTAAAAGAGGTACGTGTCCTGCAGTGGAACGTTAAAAAAAGCTGAATAAATCCATACTAATATTACGAGATTGTGTTTGTTTGTTTGTCTTCCTTTCTTGTCGAAACGGTTTGGCGGATTGGCGTGATTTTCTGTGTGAAGATAGTTGGAGGGCTGGAGGGTGACATAGGCCTTACACATACTTTTTACCACGGGAAATTATCTCTTTCCCACGGGAAAACACGTTATAATACAATCCCAAAAAATATATTTATAATCAGAATAACTTTAAACTTGGTATTAATGCTCTTCAATACAATTAATTAAATATGTGTTTTAGCATTTTTTGAAATTCATTCCATAAGGAGGTAAAATAGCGGATGAAAGTTTGTATGAAACCTACCATTTAGAGTTTTTTTTGTAGTTTTAGCGCGATTGAAGCTGCGGATTCTGCTAGTAACTTATATATTTATTTTATTTCTGTAGATGTTGCATAAGGAAGCGTTGATAAACCTATCCTAAGAACATATATACAAGTATTAGATAATACTGGCACTCACCTAATGCAGCCAGGATGCCAGCCGCCCAGAACACTTCTCCGCAAAGGGCGGGCAAGAACAGCAGTCCGCCCATGCGGCTGCCGAACGAGTCCTGCAGGGGGTCCAGCATGGTGACGTAGCCCTGCTTACGCATGGGGTTCGCGAAGAAAATCCCGCCTACGGACAACAGTGTGAGTTAACTATGGAGTTCAAATTTTATTTACTTTTTATATATTTGTCATTAATTTTCCAAAATATATTTTTAAATGTGTGAAATTGAATTAAAAACTTTTACAAAGAAAAGTAGATCAAGATCTAGAGTAGAGATTTTCGTACTTAATTAAAATATACATACAAGTAAGTTGATTCTTGTTGAAGTGCTTGAAACTTTATAACTCAGTTGCCTTATATGTATTATAACATTGTAATTTCAGTATAATGTATGAAACTATAGCTTTTGAGAAATTTTGAACGTGTACCGACATCGTAGAAACTTTGGTTAACGGCCCAAAGTAACTCAAGCGACAGCTTTATTATATCATTCTAACTGTGATTTCTGTGTAGAAACAATATAGATACAAAGCCTACGCTAACAGTTTAATAATATGTATATTATCAAAGTTCTCACATTATTACTTAATGTAAATTCTAGTATAATAAGCAGGAAAGTGAGCTTATTTCATTGGGCGTATTTGGGCGGGTCATAAGTACTATATACTCGTATATAACACTAATTTCAAAGCAAACCTGACGCTAAGCAGCTTAGCTTGGTTGCTGAAAAAACAGCAGATATGTGTGGATTAGACATAATGATTTTCAACAGAGTGCCACGGGCATCTAATGCCACGCGAAGTCTTAGCCCGACCAGAATGTCCAGAACAATCACAAAGTGCAAAGATAGAAACTGTGACTCTGAAAGTGTAAGCAAGCAGTACAGTCAGTTAGTCAGTTACGACACTTCCCAACGTCCGATATAAATATTTTTAATTGCTATTATGTTTACTACGTATCTATATTTAACCCATAATGTACGACAATTAGCGTAAAGCTCGCAATTATAGTTCGCAAAACAGCAGTAGCCTGTAACAGTGAAGTGGATGTTAAGGAGGCCTCGTTAAACTAAAATATGTGTCGAGAGACTCTCGAATTCGCCAGGCGCTGATGCTGCCTTAATACAAAGTTTTTATATGCACTTATTAGTCAATTTTTGAAAGACTCTTGAATGTCAAGACATTTATTGTTCGGTTGTTGCGGAAAGAAAATAATAATAATTTATAATTCATCTTTAGAGTCCCGTACCTCGAAACGTAAAAAAGGAACCCTTATAAGATCATTCTCTTGTCCGTCTGTCTGTCTGTCCGTGTGTCACCACCGATTTTCTCAGAAACGGGTGGACCTAGCAAGTTGAAATTTATACCAGATACTGAGGTCTATAGCCCCTATTAGGTGTATAAAAATCAAAGTCCTGAATCAACACAATAAAAATATATGGGCAAATTTAGATATTCGTGAAAACTTGTGAGAACATTAAAATTACCTTAATTTTCAAATTCTTTTATTTTTCGGGATTTTCCCTTTACTTGTGCTATAAGACCTTGCTTTTAACCAAAATTGACAATTCTAGGTCAACCGAAAGTGCCCTATAGATTTTGAGTCGAAAACCTGTATGGTAGTTCCCGTTGACCTAAAATCACGAAATTTGGCAAAAGGCAAGCACAAATAAAGGAAAAGTTCAAAAAATAAAAAAAGTTGAAAATTTAAGTAAACAGATTTCCTACAAATTTGTACGGAACCCTCGGTGTCGGAGTCCGACTCGCACTTGTCCGGATTTTTTTTATAATAAGTTCTATTAAAATATTTTTTTTAAATAATAAGTAGAGTCCATAGATTTTTTTATTATCATCCCCTTCATGGGTTCATTCCCAAATAGTGTTATGAAACGTCGTGTTTTTCAACCTCAAGAGCAGGACGATTTTGTATTGTCATTATTCCTTTACATTCCTAATTTCGTTTGATTTAAAAAAAAACTAATAATGAATATTTTTTGTCTATCTATATTTCGTATCGTACGATTTTTGTATATTGTGCCCAGTTGTCAACTACTTTATATTTTTATAAACAAAGGAAATTCTCTAAACGATATCAAATTATCAGTCAGCCACGATGACAAAGTGCGGATAAGAATGTAATTATTCTTTCTGTGTAATATTTTTTTTAAATTAACAATGTTGTCATTCTACGTTAATTTGTGCTGTTTTTACATTTTTTAACTTCTTCTGATAACCAGTAATGTAACTTTCAATAACAACTTATATATTATTATATACTTATACAACAATAATTAGTTATATAACTTATATAACTAATTATTATGGAAACTTACCGAACACTAGCGACAGGGCGTACCCGAAGGGCGCCTGGCACCACACGAGGCCGGAGGTGTAGATCGCCTCCGCGGTGCCATTGATGTAGCCGCCGCCCACCCACGTCGCTAACACAAAGTTATTAAATAGAATATCTGTAGAATATCTATTTAAGAAATAAAAACACTAGTATAAAATAATCAAATAATAAGATACATAGAAGCAAAATAAAATATTTACTAAAATCCAAACAATTAAAAATGATTTCATAATATTTGGATAAATGTAGAAGCTATTGTCAACGTGTGGTGTCCCCGGCCCCGGTCACGTCGCTACGACAAACAGTGGAGTGTAATGAGCCTCACGCGGCGAGCTTCCGACGAGCGGCATCGGATGTGTCAATACCGGGTTTTAATTACCATTAATTACAGTATAATGATGATCAAACATCGTGGTTTATAATAACAACACTTTACTACCTACTGTTCACTTTCGACTTTACCTGCGTAGATACTAGTTTTTTTTTTAATTTGGTAAAAGTATCTAATATAGCCTAAAAGTTTTCAAACACATCGTTTTAAAATAATTGTTGCAAATAATAGATACAGTTTTTCTTGCTCTGAAACTTGTTCAGTCATATTAAAGTTAACATCGCTAAATACTTATATCGCAGATCGTGTGCTTAATGAAGTATGGTGAGTGTAATGGGTACTTTCTTAAGTAAGGTATAAGGGTCCAATTACTAAATTGATCTATTGATGTCCTTATATATTATATCTGGAAGTGACCCTATATTACACCAGTTTTTTGGATAATGCTACTCTGCCGCGAGCCTTCACCATGCTCTAATTTAAAATTTCAAAGCCTGGTATCCGTGACTCGTGTCTCCTGACCAATTTTTGCGTGTCCCTTTCGTACTTACAATGATATTTCTGAGATCTATAAACATTATTTCATGTGCAAAATACAAATTGGTATTGTAAGAAAACCATTATTTTTATTTATAATTAAATTACTTACAATTTGAGAATCTTTATCTAACTCTAAATAAACTGTAGAGTGAGTTAGTGAGGCAGTATTAGGCGCTCTAACCAATTTACGTTACAAGAATTCCATGCCACAAGTAATATAGTACATTCTACAAGTTTAGACTTTATTGTCGTATTTCAACTACTTAAACCATAAAAATATTTACTTAGGCCCGATAAATACTCTTTATTTACAAAATACACAAATAAAATATAGGTGAAAAGTAGTAAAACAAATGCTGAAACGTAATGAAGAAGGTCAAAACGCTTGTAATGAATTCAGTTTACTCTAAGTAATGAATTTCAAATTTTATAGTGTTCTTGTATTGTATATGTTTTGTATTATATGAGGAGCTTCATAAGTAGACTTTTTTTACTTTTTCAAAAATTGAAAGAAATTGAAAGAGTATTTGTTTATTTCTGTTAAGCTAGGCTTACACGGAGTTTTCTCTGATAGCAGAGTGGACCTTGGAGCGACCCCATGGTTGTGGTGGTCTGCTTCGGCAGACCTGCCGTCGGGGCGTCGTAGTTGAATGCGTAAGCGATCCTGCGACGCCCCATTAAGACGGAGGAAGGTTTTGTTGGGTTTTAGTGGGTAGTACTGGCTTTATTACGCCGGTGAGTCCCACACCTCGTGCGTAAATGCATATCCCAACGTTAAAAAAAAAAGGCTTACACGGAGTAGTAAAATTGTACATAATAAAATAATATACATAATTAGAAATCATGAATAATAATATATTCATTTAAAGTCATTAATAAATTAACAGGAAATATTTGACTACTTCAAATTAATATGGAATATCTATTGATTTTACTTTTAAAGAAATATTATTTTTTGAAAATAAATCAAATAGTAAGAAGTTCATAATTATATTATTACATTTAATAATTCTGAAATACTATTGTTTAATTTAGTAAAATTAAATTATAAATTATGGATACATAGCTGATTTTTAGGATGATTTTATAAAAAAATAATTAAAATTTCACTTCCGGCTGATTGATATAAAAGCGTAAGGTAACCGTTAAAAAAGTAGTTTTTCGGACAGACGTGACGAAATAATATTGAATTTATGCTGGTAAACTTATTTATCAAAATAGTAGCGAACTTATGTGTAAAAAGTGAAAACATAAACGAAAATTGAAGTGACATTATAAAACTTATAAAGTAAAAAGTGATAATATAAAGCTTATTGCATTGGTTTACTGTGTTCTTATTTTCCTCGTCCTGAAATTATATGTTTATTTATACACTGTTTTATTATTTGACCTGTTTTCACGTCGAAACAGAGTGAAAAAAGCATTGACGTAATTTTTTGTGTGATGATAGTTGGAGGGCCGGAGAGTGACATAAGCTACTTTTTACCGCGAGAGATTGTCTGATTCCCACGGGAAAAATCTTTATAATACAAATACAACTACTCACCAATCCTATGTATATACATATATTTATGTCTAATAAATAGTCTATTTCATAATAACCGTTAAAACGTACCTTGGGATGAACTCTAGCGAAGTGAGGGTGAGCAGATAGTATTATATAAAGAAAACGATCATTTCTGTATAGGAACTTCCATTATGGAGGCAATAAATGGGAAGGTTTCTACTAATAAAAACAAACTTTTAAGTGTAATTTTACGCCATATAATACATAATGGAATAAAATAATGAAAAGCTTTTATAGTTTGGCCAAACGTTCCCGTTGAAATACCTATGTAGTTCTTAACAAACCAATTATAAGAGCTATTTAGTAAAGTTCTCTATACATTTTAATACCCTCTTTACATTGATTTAGGTATATTTATTAGGTGTCGGCCAACAGGGAGAAGTGGCGATCAATCGTGAGGAGCATCACATCTGCTCCTACAGAGACTACTACGTGATGACCACGACCGCTCTGTCAAGAGTGTTACGAAGAAGAAGAAGAAGAAGAAGGTATATTTTAAGCTTTATAAATTTACCCTTAACCTAAAGTACCATGAACGTGCAATAGATAGCGCAAGAGTTGTATCAGAAAATTTGAGATTCAATAGTCAAAACACAATAGTAAGTAATATGTATATATTTGTGTTACTTTACACCTGGACGAAGCCGAGGCGAGAAGTCATGCTTCATACATACAGTTTTTATTCTATTCATTTGGCTGTAGCCTCATAATATATTATCATGGTGTGTATGTTTGGATATCCTACCTGTCATAGTAAAGATGCCGACAAAGAGGCCGATGGACCTGCCAGCCAACATGACCTCCTCCTCCGAGTCGTTACCGGCTGGCTTCTTGCGCGCCGCCCATATGCCCACGGCCAGGATCAGCACGTAGAACAGGATGATGGAGATCACGCCCCATACGTTGATCATTTTCGATGTTCTGGTGGATATTTATTGTATTTACTTTACAGACAATGGTGAAATAAATTATGCTCAACTAATAGTGCTAAGGCATTCATTCATGCTACTTTAAATATTATATTAAATGAAAATACCGTATTAGTCGATGTACTGTATATCGATTCAGAATTTAGGAATAAGTAAGTACCTACTTATGCAGAATTAGATGAATATGATTATAGGTGAAAAATATTATTGCTATAAACAAATAGCAACTCAAAATCACTTATGTATGTATATAAATAAAAATAAATCACTCAAAGGATGCTCTGTAAGATTATGAATGAAAATATATTCACATCTACTTTAAATTATCTCCAAAAATCATAAACACTGTCATATATTGACATATAATCTAAGAAGTAACTATAAATTCAGGTAGCGCCCAGGTCAACCCACAACTACACCTACGGATTTGTAAAGGTCACGCTACTTTGTTATATTTAAATATAACTAAGAGCACTCACTTGTAATGAAAAGCCCTTAAAAAATCTCCTCAGACACCACAAACGTCATTTACAAGTACGATCCAAGAGTATAATAATAATCCATCATAAAATATATAATCTAAACACTATTGTTATGTCACTCGCGGGCAGCCTGGACGTTAGCGAGGTGCGTTAAGCCAGCAGCTGTCGCCCCATCGGAGGGAGGTCTTCTGCGAAGGGCTGTTCCTGGTCCTAAAGCTTAGCCCGCACATGTGCGCGCGTGTCCTGTCTCAGACATGAAAGCAAATTATCGTATCCCGTTATATAACCCGTGGTGTCAGCATCCTAGCTCACGTGCCTGGTGTGACAGGTCGAGAGCGCGGCCTGAGGTGCGCTGCTTTCCGCTCCGATCGATCCCCTGACGTCATTGGTCGCCGCGAGGAACCACCGCGCATGCTTAAAACCTCCCACTCGCCTGCCATTCTTACAATGGACACCCACGCACTGTATATTATACATTGCTGTTTTTTACATATAATTGTTATTAAATAACGAAATGTACTAACACATGTATGACTTGCAGGCTCAAGGACGTTTTGTGACAGTACATAAAGGCATTAGAGCCCTGACAGAAAAGTACTACTTACGTTCCCATTGATAAATTGATTGACAAGGATCCTAATGGTGGCCGCGACCAAAATAGCATATTTTGCAGGTTGTTTGTTCCAATAATGAAATAATGACAGAGTAACTGTTAATTTTTTAGAAGAGTAACTGTTAAAAGTTTTTAAATTATACATAATTCAAATAGTACCTATCTATATATTATAGAAACGATAAAAAGTTTACTTATTTTGAAAGGGATAAAGATAATAATTAACGAAAATCATTTGATAATAAGTTGTTTTTGCAAATTTCATTGATGCAATAAATTAGCTTAAATTTACCGACAATATTTTAAGATATATGAATATCTAATAGGTAAATATGTATTTTACGTATCGAAATTATTAGATTTGCTTTGCATCGGCTGGCACCGACTTCGAAAATATCTAATTAGGTATCTATTCTAAATGAAAACCTCTGTTTAGTTATTTTTTATATTTTAGTGCCTGGAAGTCGATTTTTTATTTTAAGTTTTTATTTTTCCATTTTAGTGTAGACGTAATAAGCATGTAATTTGTAAGAAGAAAGTTTTTTAATAACATATTCGACTAAACAATTTATTTAAAAAATATATTTATTGTACATTTTATTAAAAACCGCTCGACCGATTTGTATAAAATTTATACCACCTGGGAAGTATATATACCCTTTGAAACAAAAAAAAATCCAAATCGGTTTAGGCGTCTTCGAGTAATCGGTGAACATACATAAAAAAAGAAAAAAAGAAGATTCCGACAAATTTATAGCCTCCTCCTTTTTGGAAGTCGGTTAAATAGTCGGATTGCATGCTCTTTAATCTGAAATTCTTTATACATAATATGTATATTGTATAACATATGTAGGCTATTTAGATACATCTTAAGTTCTAACATCCACGTCGTTTTACAATAAAAAGTGGTATATCTACATATACCACTTTTCCACTACTGCTAAGCTTAATTGTTATACTCTACGAAGGACAAAAAAATGCGCCCGCATTTATTAAAATTTTCACATTAACTATCAAAACAATAATAAAAATAAAAGTAGGTTAATTCTTCGTCTCGTCCAGCCAGCGGCTAGCGACTAATATATTTTTGAAAAATTAGGTAAAAGTAGGTACTTTTATTACGTAAAAACTAAAAAGTTTCCATCGTGATGTTACTGAAATAAAGCAATTCTTTTTTCGAAAGTGACATTTTTAATGTAATTAATAATTATCTATATAAAGTTAATTTCGACGATTTTGCTCTTCAACAAAATATTTCTGTTTAGTCCAAATTCTTAGCATTTATATCTCAAATACGAAATTAATAGATTTAAAGTTCTCTAAAATTAAGATATCAAGATGCATGACACGGTAATTAATTTACATATTATGATTTAACTAACATAGAAATAATGCTGAGTATAAAGTTACAGACTACAGTAGGTACCAAAACTACACTTTTGGTAAAATTTATATGATTATCAAACGACTATTTAAGTAACTATTCTTTAACTTAATTGAAGTTGTAACGAACATAATGTGGATTTTTTTTTATAAATTGTATCTACAGATCGTACGCTTAGCAGACGTATGGAAGACGTGCAATAAGATCCGCGCAGCGGTTTTCCGAGTTGGACTCAACTTGTGGGACTGGTACCGCCCTCTAGACCCTGAAGGGAACTCGCTTATCTCTGGTATTTACGTTATATAGTTTCATAGAGTAAAACGTTGATGGCACAATACTGCCAATCATGGAAATAATGGAGACCACGATATCTAGGTCTGCACATAGGACGTGTGGTGACTAAGAGGGCGACGACGACTACGACAATCCTGATTTTCTATAAATATATTATGTTATATGACAATTAAAGATTTGTTTTTAGATTCTGTATCAGAAATTTCGAGACCAACCCTAAGCCTATGAAATTATAAGAACTTAACCCTTTTTTTATTTCTTGGAAATGGTTTTGCTCTAACCTCAAACTTGATATGATTGTGGAACTTAGTACAAAATTGGAAGCTTACAGTTTATACTACATTCTATAGCTAACAGTGTAAGTGATATTACAACAAACAAAATGGTTTAATATTTTATGTGTATGTATTCAGCCAAAGGGCCCATACACAGCTGTGGGACGTTAAAAAGTTAACGTCCCACTGCTGGGCACGGGCCTCCCTTCAATACGAGGGGGATCAGGCCATAGTCCACCACGCTGGTCAAATACGGGTTGGCGGACTTCACATGTCTTGGGAAAACTTGCTAGTTGCCAGGTTCTCTCTGACATGCAGGTTTTCCTTCGCCCTATGGATTAACTAGTGGTTTAATTTTCCAACTAATATTAACTTTAAGAGTACAATAAGACTGTATGTCTCATTCATATTAGTCACTTACTGTATGTATGTATGTATATTAGTCACTTACTGTATGTATGTATGTATGCATGTATGAACACATACCTACATACATATATATGTTGTAGAGTCTAAGTTCGTGTCGGTGCTGGCGGGCCCGCTGCGCGCCGTGGTAGGCCTGTCGGATGCGGAGATCGCGCAGGTGGCGGACTACTTCCGGGCGCAGGACGGCCGCGTGCTCTACCATCAGCTTTGCCAGATTATTCACGGCGAAGGTAACTTACACTGTGGTTTTGATGATTAAGCCTTTGCTAATATTAAAGGTGTTTGGTAACTAACTGGAAACAACTGATCGAAGTGTTTTTACTCAAAGATTATTACCTCTGAATTCTTAATCAGTCTCTCCCATGACCATGATTGCTGTAAAGTATCCAAAACATCGCGAACCAAAAATTGAAATATCCGCGAACAAATTCGAAATTCGAAAAGAAGGAAAAAGAATTAAACTCTTGATTATTGAGTTACGTAGATTTTTTACTTCGCTACGTCAAGTTGTTACACGATGGGTAGTCTTTACGACATAACAAACGGATACTTAGGGACTCACTAAGCAAAAGCAAAACGTTAAGTTTTCTAAAAAAATCGATCCAATTAATCAACTTATTAAATCAAGAATCACAAATAATATACCAATATCAACTAGAACTATATTCTTTATTACGTCTAGTCTAGCCTCTGTCGCAGAAAACTGCAATAAAGAAATTCATTTATTTCAGTAGATACTGAAGCCCAGTACCTTTGCGGAGCTTAAACATAGTCTTTAGATCGCAAAGCTTTCCCGCTGTGGATACTTGCCAATATATAAATAGACCTTTAACTGTATAAATACTAAAACATGATGAGAATATTGTAGCCGGTGATTCTAATCAAATATTTATTTACTTTTACTTACCCTACATATGTGAACATTTAAAAAAACAAAAACAAACCTAACCCAGGGGAACCGTACATTTTTCCGGGATAAAAATTAGTCTATGTGTTATCCGAGACTTTAATATATCTCTGTGCCAAATTTCATCCAGATCCGTTCTGCCGTTCTGGCGTGAAAGAGTAACAAACATTCATACTCACTAACTTTCACATCTATAATATTATAATTATAAAACTTATTTATCCGTTTATAAAATATTTAATTAAAATAGAAAAATGTTTTTGTTAATTTCTCCTTTCATACAAAAAAGGAACAACAAAAATATTTTTAGTTAAGGAACTTTATGTCCTGAGAAGCAAATTACGTTAATTTACGCATAGATTTAACATTACCAAAGCTATGTACCTAACATAGCTCCAGTGGACCTAATCTGAATACTTGTACTATTATAAATGTGAAAGTTTTGTTTATCTGTATGTGTATATTTTTACTGCATCTGTTGTAAAAAGTAAATCGTGAGAGGAATAGGAAGCTTGACCTGGGAGAGGGGGGGGGGGCTTAAGCTAGTATGTCATTACTTTGTAACATCCAACTGTGCGCACGCGCCGCAGATGCGGGCGGGCGGGACAAGACTATGGCGGACTGCGTGCTGGAGGCGTGCCCGCCGCCGCGCGAGCCGCAGTGCCGCCGCCTGGACCAGTGGCAGGCGCGCCGGCTGTGCTGCCTGCTCGCCACCATCGCGCAGCGCAACCTGCCGCTGCGCCCGTACTTCCAAGACTACGAGCTCGTATGTATTGTGTATCGGTGGAAAGTACCCGCGGTCCGGTGTCGGTGGACACTGGCCTGATCTCTCTCACATTGAAGGAAGGCCCTTGTCGGATCCGTTGCAAAGCAAATCTAATATATTTCGATATGTAAAACACATATTTATTATTTACCTATTAGGTATTCGTATCTTAAAATATTGTCGGCTGGCACCGACTTCGAAAATATCAGATTAGGTATCTATTCTAAATGAAAACACGCGTTTAGTTTTTTTTTTTACATTTTAGTGCCTGGAAGACGGTTTTTTTTAAGTTTTTATTTGTCCATTTTTTGCTTAGACGTAATAAGCAGGTAATTTGTTAGAAGAAAGTTTTTTAATAACATGTTCGATTAAGCAATTTATTTTAAAAAATAATTTATTTGTTGATTTAAAAAAAAACACTCGACTGATTTCGATAAAATGTATATGGCACCACCTGGGAAGTATACCCTTTGAAACAAAAAAAAATATTTCCAAATCGGTTCAGGCGTCTTCGAGTAATCGGTGAACCTCCTCCTTTTTGGAAGTGGGTTAAAATGCATACTAATAAGCTATTAATTAAATTTTTCATCGAAGCACCAATTTTTTATGAATACCTAATATACATTTTTTTATATTTATAAATTACATAAACTTGTTTTATTAAAATGACTTATGTAGGTACTAATTTTGTTTTATTAAAATTACTTATGTAATAATTTTAGAACTGGAAATGACTTTGATTAGTTTTAAATTAATAGTAACACATAAAATTCTCTACACCTTCATTCTTTTCATCTAATGCCATAAGTAAATAAACTTTCCTCAGGTGGCTAAGAACGACGGGCGCATCACCTTCGCGCACTTCGCACGCATCCTAGACTACATCGGCGTGATCGTGTCGCCGGAGGACTTCAACCTGCTCGTGCGCCGCTACATCAAGGACTCCTACACGCTGGACTACGTCGCCTTCCTAAAGGAGATCGAGGCTGTCAAGAACGAGGGCATCCAAGGTCTAGGCCCGGTACTACAACATTATTACTTATACGCTATTCTTATATGAGTATCAGAATGTATAATACTAAAATTACATATTTACATTACACAAATGTTAATTATCTAATGTAACTAGCCTATTTATTAATAATAAGATTATTCTAACCAATTTCGGTTTGGCCAATCTCACTGTGACTTAACAAGTGCGCGGGACATACGATGAACACAAGTGTTATGTGAATGCATGTTCTTCATAGCTCAGCTCTCAGCTCTTCAGAATCAGAGCTGAAAGAAGCTCTCATATTCAGATGGGATGTTTGATAGATAAGGTGCAAAACTGATAGCTTATGTCTTTTCAGCACGATGCACTATTTAGGTCTGACCAGGACGAGAACCCAAGACTTCTCCATCTGCAGCCGTATAATCTGCCACTAAACAAATGAGACAGTTTGCTTATATTATCTACCTTTAAAAAAAACTATTTTCTGTGTAATAACTGTAATACTTACTTAAATAAATCTTACTTTAGATACGTCAAAAACCTTAGTCTAATCTTCTTCGACCATGATTGCTGTAAAGTTTTCATAACTTCCGGAACCAAAAATCAAAGTATTTCCGCAAAATGTCCTAAAAATAAATTTGTAAGGAAGTTTAACCCAAATACTCGCATGGCACATGCTCCAGGAATACAAGCACCCTAAGGCGGTGATAGACACGACGTTGCCGAAGCAGCCGCGGGTGGCGGCGGGCGCGGGCGCGGCCGACGCGTGCCACCCGACGCTGCAGCGGCCGCCGCTGCCGCGCGCGCTGCTCGAGCTCATGCTGCGCGTACAGGAGTTCGTGCTGCAGAGGCGGATACGCGTGTCGGAGTTCTTTAGAGTTTGTTTATAATTTACTTGTTAATCGACTAAATTTAATAAAGTTTTTGTTTGTTGGTATGTTACGCGATGTCTTCGCCAATTGTGGAATGACTTTTTTATAATGTGTGTTACGTAGCAGCCCTTTAGGAATTTCATATACCGTCTGGCAATCCATTCAGACATAAGGTCAAGAGATGCACTCAACCTACTATGCACCTACTACAGTGGGTGTTAGATTGCAAATTGCACCAGATACTATTTTGATAGCAGAGGGGATTGTCAATCAACCCCATTTTTTCCTATTTTTTATGTTGGGATATACATTTACACATACCACCTGTAGACCTAACAGGTGGTTATGTAGGACTCACCGTCTAGAAAAGCCAGTACTACCCACTAAAACTCAACAAAATCTCTCCCGTCTTAGTGGGGCGTCGCAGAATCGCTTACGCATTCAACTACGACGCTCCGACGGCAGGTCTGCCGAAGCAGATCACAACAACCACGGGGTTGCTCCACACAGTCCATCCTGCTATTAAAGAAGTACCAGGAGCAACCCGCATAGTACACCGCCCACCGAACCCTACCCTACCACGACAAGGTGAACGCACGTTGCGGGCGGTCAATTAACCCCCTGGTTTTTATGGAAAAGAAGATGACGAAAAAAGTCTGACTTGACAGACTAGTGTTTATTGTACAAGTGGTACGTTTAACTGCATTTCCCAACTTGAATGAAAATAATAATTAATAAGACTACAGTGTGTGATGTGCAGGACTACGACCCGCTGAACAGCGGTCGCGTGACGGCGTCTCAGTTCGTACGCGCGCTGGACGCCATGGGGCTGGGCGCGGTGCTACGCGCGGGCGAGGCGCGCTGCGCGGCGCGCCAGTACGCCGACCCCGACGACCGCGGCCTCGTCTGCTGGCGCACCTTCGAGGACGACTGCGACCAGGGTCAGTGCACAACGTACTTCCGGCCACTCGGCCCACACATTGGAATTTCAATAAAAAAAAATTTTTAAATCTGTCACGTCAGTTGCTTCAGCATGACAGAGTTACAAAACAGTTCTTATTCAAATATTAAAAACTGTAATTTGTAATAGAAATTATACACAGGCAAAAATTCATAAATGTTTTCCTTAGTAAGTATTATGTTTACACTATTTTTTTACATATACACAACCACTTATGTGCATATATTAAACAATATCTCACCGGCTAGACGAGCCAGTACCTACCTATTACCAACTCATGCTGTTCTCGTCACCATTGAGTAACGTATTCCCAGTGTTCACAACAAAAGAGCTCGAGAAGCACCCGGAGCTAACGCCGGGCGACACGTCGGCGGTGGCGGCGCTAGGCGCGGCGGGCGCGCGCGCGCTGTCGCCCGCCGCGCTGGACGCCGCGCAGGCTGCGCTGATGCGCGTGCGCGCCGCCGTCGCCGCGCGCTCCGTCGACCTTCGCCCCTTCTTCAGAGAGCACGACGAGTGAGTGCCTGGGCCCTGTGATACTTGCATTGTTATTTGCTAGAACGAAAAAACTAAATTTTCGATTTACGAGAATGTTTGATATTTAAATAAAATTATTCAGTTACTTCTTGCTTTAAAGCAATCGAAATATCGGGCGTCAATATGAATATAAAATTTAAAGCATTCTATGATCAAATTCAGAAGTATCAATTATCGACTAATTTACCTACTTATTATTCTTTCCATCTTATAGCTACTAATATAATTTATAAACATTTACAGACCGCAAGTACCTACCTAATAAGGAATTGGTTGTACGTATATGTATTAATGAATGTATGTATTTGGGCGCAGGCACAACAACGGGCACGTGTCGCGCACGCAAGTGCGGCGCGTGCTGGCGCGCGCGGGCGTGCTGGTGGCGCCGGAACAGCTGCGCGCACTCGAGCAGCGCTACCTCGACGACTGCGGCTTCCACTACGTCGCGCTCCTCGACGAGGTACGTACACCACACACCACACGCCACACGCCATACTCCACATGCCACACAACACACTCCACACAACACACTCCACACAACACACGCCACACAACACACGCCACACAACACACGCCAGACTCATTCTGGACATAGTCTCTAAGTTAGCGGTTAGCGAACCTATTACATTAAAATATGTAAGTAGAACCTAGTCAACGTTAATTTAGTGTCTCTTTAAACGACTTGTTTTCGTATTTGATTTTTTAGATATGTAATATATTTAGACAGAATATACCTAGATACATATTAAAATCCATACTGATGATCGCGATTATTGATTTTAACGGTGATGCTTTCGAATGCAAAATGTCAAAAATACCAATTTTCATAGGGAACAATTTTAAAGTTAAAACGATGTAGTGCAATCTCGTAGCCAGTTATACTTTTACCCTTCAACACTTAAACTCTATACCAACTCTTAAACACAAAAAGTAGGTACGACAGTCGGATGCGCCTCACCCGCGTCTCCCCCAGCACGGCCCACACTTTTTACTAAGATTTTATCAATATTATTAATATAACATGTACGTTACCATGTAACGATGACGTACATAAACTAAACTTAAAATAAACTGCATGCAGTTAGATGAGCGTCCGGCGGAGAGCGCGACGATACCGCGGGCGAGCGCGCCGGCCCGCGCCGCGCGCCTCGCCGCGGCCGACCCGCACGAGACCGACATCGTGCAGATACTCGCCAAGATCAAGGGGAAGGTAGCACTCGCGGCGCATTGCCACGTATTACTTAAAATACCTCTTTACACAGTAGATAGGTAGATATATTTACATATTAGATAGGTGGATGCCACTTAACCAGGGCCGGATTTATCATAAGTGTCGCCTATATACTGTATTACCTATATCTTACAGTAGGGTCTCTAGGTACCCCCCCCCCCCAACGTGCGTTCACCTTGTCGTGGTGGGGGGGCTCAGTAGTGCCCGGCAACCCAACCGGGCGCGAAGCTAAGAAACGCACAGGGAGGTTGCCCACTTCGGTGGGCGGTGGAAGGTGGCCCTCTTCGGGGTGCGGTGTAGCTTGCGCGTTGCTCCTGGTACTTCTCTGATAGCAGAGTGGAACTTGGAGCAACCCCATGGTTGTGGTGGTCTGCCTTGGCAGACCTGCCGTCGGGGCGTCGTAGTTGAATGCGTAAGCGATCCTGCGACGCCCCATTAAGGCGGGAGAAGGTTTTGTTGGGTTTTAGTGGGTAGTACTGGCTTGATTACGCCGGTGAGTCCCACACGTCGTGCGTAAATGCATTTCCCAACGTTAAAAAAAAGGGTCTCTAGGTACGTTTTCATTTTTTAAAGTCAAATTAAGGTGAAAAAATAAATATTTTAAATAAAAAAAATTATAGTATGTTTGGGACATAAAAAGGTAAGTTTTCACCAAATTTTGTGAAAAGAATTTTTTTTGTAAAAGATAAAAATAAAAAATCAAAAACTCGGTTATTTGAATTTTTCAAATAAATTTTGAGGTTATGTGAAAAAAGTGTAGTTACAAAAGTTGTAGAACTTTTTTCCACAGGACTTGTAGTTTTGTCGGAAATCGAGATAAACCGTTTTTACCCTTAAAACTCACCCCTGCCACTTCCCGACCTCAGATCGTCCATTAATTATTTTTCCTTTCATTTTTGTTATATTCTCATCCGTTTCCAATGGGTTTCAATCCTACTATAATTTTTTTTATTTCAAAAATTATCGACCCTGGTCTTCTTATCTTTACGCCCCCATGCTGTACGGAAGTATTCTTTAGGTTAAAGGATAAGAATATAACAACCATTTATTTATAAAGGTTGTTATATTATTTTAAATATTTGAATAAGTAACTTAAATGTTAATCAAAAAAAAAAGTAATATATACTAGATTTCAAATCGTAAAGATCCAGTGAGAACGCGATTATTAAAAATCGATTAGGAACCAATACCTTCCAAATTTTTCAAAATCATTAATTTTCGTAGCATAAAGTAAAAAATTTTTCCTCCCACTCCAAATTTTGCCGCCCCTAAAAATTTGCCGTCCTGGGCACTAGCCCCGAGTGCCCCTAGTGTAAATCCAGAGCTGCACTTAACGATAAAATGATAAAAAATATTCATCCGAAATATTACTACGTGCTACCCAAATTACGTAGCTGCTATTATTATAAAAGTCTTAGTTCTTGTATAGTATTATGTCATCTGTGGTTGTATCTAATGAGAAAGTAGTTTACTTTTGATAATAGCTTCAACTCCAAATAATTGTATGAGTTCACCACAACACAATATGTTATATTTGTGGCAAATTCAACTCGGAAAATGACACGAGTTATCAAAGACAATTTCTATGCTTGGTTGGTACTATTACTATGGTTAATAGATATATGTACAGTAGAACTGTTAAGTACAAATATTAAGATTCCTTCCTGGTGCAGATGGTGCGCGAAGGCATCCGTCCGTACGAGTTCCTGCAGCAGTTCGACAAGACGCGGTCGCGCGTCATCCCGCGCAGCGACTTCTACCGCGGGCTGGCCGCCGCCGGGCTGCCGCTAACGCCGCTCGAGATGGACACACTCATGGAAGTGTGAGATAATTCATTATCTATCTTGGCTTCAGCTATACTGACCAATAAGCAGGGCTGCCAGATCGTATAATATCTTCGATACTAGATCGATACGACGACGACGAATACGAGAATCGATACGAAAATTGTAAAATATGGTTACTTTATGTATATTTCTTTTTAAGTTATTATTATTACGTATTTTGATTGAAATTCATCACCGACTATTTCGTTTTGTTAATTTGTATAATAAAATTGATTAGGTATAATTTCAGTGAGCCAGCGATATAAAATAAGTTGGCTCTACTGGTAGCCCTGCCGATAAGTGTAGACTACTAATCCATGTAATCGTGTAAATAAGGCGCCTAGACAATCATAAATGCGAAAGTTTGTAGATTTGATAAGTGCGAGTTGTATGTTTGATAAGTACTCTTTTACGTTGAATCGCCTGGACGGATTTAGATGAAGTCTCCATATTATGTGTTTATGTATAATATATTATGTATGTGTAGTGCCTAAACACTACTCGCAAGTTGTAAGAGGAAAATAATATTAAATAGCAATGCTAGTTATTTAATATTGTTTGGCTGTGCAGCTTCTGCGCGCCGGGGCGGTGGCGCGAGGTGGAGTACGAGCGGTTCTGCACGACGGTGGGCGAGGCGCTGACGCAGGGCGGGCTGGAGCGCGCGCCGATGCTGGCGCCGCTGCCGCACGTGCCCACGCGCGACTCGCCCCTCAACTACCTCAACTTCGAGGAGCGCAGCGTCGTGTCCGGCGCGCTCGCCAAGCTGGCCAAGTTCCCGGATCAGCTCTCTAATATACTTGAAGTGTTCAAGGTGTGATATATTTACATCTTTCTAAGGTTCCAGTTTTAAGGTTTCATTGTAACGTAGCTAGCGCGTAGTAGCCTTTTACAATACTTTGGGTGTGTAATTATAATTCCTACGTAAGCCTGTATATGATCTAGTTGCTAACATCGAATCCCTGAGTTCGAATCCCCAATTGAGACAAAGTACCTACTAGTAATTACTATTGGACTAGTATAGTATTGTGATGTGCTACAGAGTTATTCTACCACGAAGTACGCTTAGTATTGAGTCTGCCGTGTCTCGGAGAGCACGGTAAGCTGTCAGTCATGAACACCTGCATCTCTCATAGAAGATTGGCCATTATAACCGAGATCGCTTACAGCACTAATACTTTACATTATCGATTTATTGTCCAAAATTGGCATAAGTCTATATAATATAATACGTATTATAATGGATATGAATAGTAAAATATGAGTTAGGTAAGAGTTAATAACAACGGTCGCGTGCAGGACGCGGACCGCGAGCGCTGCGGTACGCTGCCGCGCGTGTCGGTGGAGCGCGCGCTGGCGCGGCGCGGCGCGCTGGCGCTGCTGTCGGCGCGCGAGCGCGGCCTGCTCTACAAGTGCTTCGGGTACCGCCGCGGCTGCGAGGACGAGGTGTGCCCACTTAGCATTTTCAATTCCCCTTCGGTTACATCGAAATATATGTGTAGCAGATTTAATTTTTACCTTGACTAGTTATTTTCTTTTGCTTCACTTTCAGATTTATATTTCGTTATATTTTTTGATAAATACCCACAAATTATTTGTTTTTTTCCGTCCCTAAAATTAATTGTGGCGCATATTGGCAACCGACTGAGTTACAAATCGATCGAACGTCTGACAGTAGTTATTAGAGCAGTTTGAAACAATAGCTGTAAAAGTTACGTATATGTAACGGTAGAAAAACCTTTTATATAGCTACAATATTTTACAAAGTATGAACAGACAATGGTAAGTAGGTATATACCACCTCATTAAGACCGTTACATGTCATACAAATACTAACCTATTTAAAATATAACAAACATACATTCCGAAGAAAATAATAAAGTTTACGTTATTGAATGCATTGGCATACATCACTTACCAAAATATTTTTTTAACAAAATTTCCGGAAAACTTCAAATCGGCGCAATTTTCTGAATCTTTTGCACAAAAACTTTGAACCGGAAACTACCAATACCATAGAATACATGTCAGTTATGACAGTTGAATGTTGAGTGTTGCCATAAATAGTATCAGTATATTTCCAAGATAGAGGTCTCCAATGTCACCATACGTGATAATTTATAGGATTATATTATTACTGGCGGCTCACACTCGCTTCGCTCGGGTTCGCCTCTAGAAGAAAAAAACAAATCTGTCCTACGGGAACCCATTTTTCCGGGATAAAAAGTAGCCTATGTGTTATTCTGAAGTATGAGTTATATTATTGTAGTTTTATTAAAATCCATTCAGTACTCTTTGCGTGAAAGAGTAATAAACATCCATCCATACTCACAAATGTCCATCCATATTCAAAAAAAAGTCACAAAGTAGTAAAAAGTACCCTATATTATGTTGACCCGGATAACCATCATCACACCAAATTTCAACAAAATCTGTCCAGTGGTTCTCTCGTGAATCGTTTCCCAGACAGACAAAAATTATAAAAACTACCTTCGGCCTCGGTTACAGATTAGACTCTAAATTTATTATATGTTTAGATAGGTAGACTAACTTCCTCTACTTAAACAATCTTCATAGTAATTCCACTAATAATTATAAATGGAAGTTGAATGGCTTTGTGGAGCCACCCCGGGCGAGGCAATTTAAATAATTTTGTAAAATATGGCAGAATACAGCGACATTTCTGCCGTGATATATCTATAATGCCGTTAGCCGACATCTGATCGATTTTTCACTTTTAAATGCTATATTCCTGAAAAAAAATTCTTTATCGATCTGTATTCGCGGTTTTTCGATACCTTCATTAGTTTTGAAAATAATAATTATAAGAATGCCGTTAAGTACCTAGTTTTCTCGTGTGTCGAAAACTACGCCCGAACGGCCATTCCTCCGCAAACGTAGCAATACCGTTGATGGCAATTATTGTTCCACATAACCTGAGATGCCACAACCACCACGCAAACGAAAGAAATATGACACCCCCTTACAACAGAGGAAATCGGAAGCCAAAAATAAAAAAAAAGCGAACATAGTGTAAAACCTGGGTGCAATGAAAAATGTCTCAAGAAATGTATGACTCTGTTGACCCAAGATAGAGAAGCAATTAATAAAGCTTATTGGGATATGTCATGGCAGGAACAACACGCATTTGTTGAAGCACACACTTATGTAGCAGTTCCAAAAAGAAAAATTACAAGCCAACCAAAAAGGAAACCAAAAAGAAATTTTATATTTAAAAAACAAGATGGTACCAAAAAAGAGGTGTGTTAAATATTTTTCCTCACTACTCTAGGATATTTGAAAATTAATGACAGGATCCTACATAGAACTTTTAGTGATCCTGCAACAGATAAACGTGGTAAACACCAAAAAACACCAGCATTTGATCGCGATTTACTGCATCAACACGTTGAATCGTTTAACCCGTTGGAACCACACTATAGGCGTGAACATGCACCTTTGCGACGATACCTACCTAGTGATATAAACATAACTCAAATGCATAAACATTTTTAAAAATATTTCATACTGCTTATATAGATCACACGTTAAAAAAATGAACATATCATGTACTGCTCTTGGCAATGAAGAGTGTGAAATATGCGAGGCTTATAATTTTCACAAAATGGAAACATCACATGATGCCACTATCCAGATACTTGAAGAGTGTACAGTTTGCGTGGACTGGGATAAACATCACCAAAGGTACACAAAGGCACGAGAGCTTTACACAGCACATAAAGAAGAACCACAAAATAATTCACAGGTATTCTATAGCGCTGACCTCGAAAAAGTGATCATGTTGCCAAGGTTGGAGATGTTTAAAGGGGCAATTTTCTCTCTGCGCCTTACAGCCTACAATCAAACTTTTGCACCACTTGGCAAGATTACCACAGAGTGTAAACCCCTCACAGTTATCTGGCATGATGGCATTGCGGGCCGAAAATAGGAAGATATAATGTCTGCCTTTTATCATTTTCTCTTGCGTAATAGAGATGTTGAGCAAGTACACATCTGGCTCGATAATTGCAGCTCGCAAAACAAGAATTGGCTTTTATATTCGATGCTCATTCAAATGATTAACAGTGAAGCCATTGCTACAGAAAAAATAACTCTGTATTACTTTGAACCCGGTCACACTTTCATGAGCAGTGATCAAGTGCACCATCAAGTAGAGTTGGCCATGAAGAAAAAAGGAAAAATTTACGATTTCTCTGATTTTGAAGAGTGTGTGTCTTCCATTAATAAGTCAAAAGTAATCGTACAGTCTATGTTGCCAGAAAACTTTTTGAATATACCAAATTATGTGTCACAAAGGAGAATCCAAACATCCAACCCAAGGGCTTATTTAAAAAATATGGTTGAGGTATGTTTCACACGTAAAAGTTATGATCTCATGTATAATTACAATTTCGATTATACAATGTATACTTCTCTCCGTTTCATGAATGATAAATATTTGAAGAACCCTCATATAATGGTATTTGAATTCAGGACTGAACCGAAATGTGTCGAACCTAATAGAAAAGCAGGTAACTTGAAAAACTATCGAGCATAATGCCCCCTCACAAATTGTTATTCTGGAAAAACTTACCAACAAAAAATGAACATTCCGGTACAAGTTCTGATAACAGGCTCGTCCGAGTTTCTTGAGACTGATTCAATATTTTAACTATTATAGGTAATAATGTTATTTTGATTGAACATTGTTATATTGTTTTAAGTTGTTTGGTAAAGTTACTGTGATTTTAAGATTTTTGATACCAAGTTTTTTGAGATGTAACAAATGTATCACGAAGATTTACATAAATGTAGGTAAAAAATTAGAGGTTTATTTCATTTTTTTGTTTTTATTATTGGATGATTCTTTTTTAAATGCTTTTAGAAGTTAAAGCGAAGGCCAAGAAAAAGATTCGACTTGGTTGTGATTTTTTACTATCTCAGATTTTCATTAGTGATCTCGTAAGTAAATTAGATTTAGTTAAAATTGTTTTAAATTAATATGTAAGCACACAAAGACTTAATTAGAAAGTACAAGTAGTAAATTGTTAATAAGTAATTGATTATTTATTGATGTGATATTAGTATTGGGAAAGAAATAAGAAATCTAGTTTTAAGTGAAGATTTGTCAAAGCTATATTAAAACCTAAGTTTAAGGAAAAAGGATACTTGCTTAATTTAAAAAATATAAATAAATATTGACTGTGATTGATTAAATAATGGTTTTAATTAAAAATTTGTCTTTAATTATAATTTTAACCTCAGTTTGTTCAGTATCATGTTCCAGTATTTTGTATAACTGTTGGACTATAATGCCGTTAAACGATAAGGTTTTTAGTTTAACCGCATTTAAGCGTAGCAATGAATCAAGTTTTTTCCTCAAATATAAATACATTTATAGGTTAGCTGACTTAAAGGACGTAAAGCGCCATTAACGGCACTAAAGTCTAACAGAGTCAGTTCCATAAATATAACCTAATGTTAAGCTAAATTAACGTTACGTGCTATAACGACGTTTTAGTTATTCATGAAGATGTTTTTTTTAGCATTTTAGCAGACAATACTTTTGAATGAAATAGAAACACTAAAATGCCGTTACGCTACACGTAGCGGCATTTTAGTCAATGATCCATTCGATTTTGGCAACACTGATGATAACCTAAAACGCAAAATACGTTTTATCATAAAATTGAATTATATTTACAATATGACAGGAGAATCATTCGAAAGTATTTTACTTGATCTGTTTTTTGGTACCTCAGTCTGAAATAGGTATTGTCTTTGATAAGTTACAACGGTTTCAAAATTTTCCCGCGTTTTTAGCATGTTACTCAAAACAAGGTTTTGGCAGATAACGGCATTATAGATATATCACGGCAGATTTAGTAATCACTCTTAGAATAATATCATATTATACTTCTACGCATATTTTAAAAATATTTTACGTTATTCACTTCTGATATCTGTAGCGCATACTCATCTACATCGTACAAATTCTATGAACGTAAGTTGGTAAGGTGTAGGTATGTAATGCCGGCAACCATAGGCTTGCCATTTGCAACAAACTTCATAAATCACGCTTGAGTGCGCTCTTGCCTCAAAGATTACAAACACAACAAGCGTTGTGTGGACGCATCGCAAGCGCTTGTCGCAATTTCCTTTGATTCATGCGAAAAATCCGACAAGTGCTTGCGATCCTGTACAAACCAAGCCAAGCAGTGGAGGGCCTCTGTTTGAATTTTAATGATAGACGCTTGACTAGCGTTTCGAGCCAGCAATATTCTTGTTACTATTTGAAGCAAAGTACCTAACGAATTTTGATGAAAACGTTACATAACGTGGTGAATCAGAGTAACACAGATCCACCAGACTCAGGTGGATAAAACAATGAATTTCCTATAATATACGTATAAGTTTACTCCAGATTTATGTACATATATAAAAATTTCCACCGGCAGGTGGACTACAGAGCCCTCTGCAACGCGCTGGACATCCTGCACGCCACCTCCAGCGCGCAGCCTTGTTAATACTTATTATTTTATTTGCGACACATTTCTTATCATTTTATGCAGTGCAGCAAGTACATTGGAGTGAAAAATAAAAACCATATGACGGTAAAGATGCCTTTTATTTGCATCCAAGTAGTCCTGTATAATTAACATCGAATAATAATTAGGTGTCGGCGGAAAATTAATTGTATTAAAAAAATATAATTCAATTATGAAGATTATTAGTTAATGATTTTCAGGGTAGCTAATTATTTTAAAAGGAAGGTTAAATATTTGTGAACGAACTAAAAGGGTATAAGTTATAAAACAAACAAAATGAAACTGAAAAGACAAGATGCCAATTTATAGTAGAAGAGAGCAAGACAATATATTCACCATTTTTATTTGCACGATATTTACTATAGTTAGAAATATTACTTAAGGCTTACTTTGTATCCAATTGTTGTAAATTTAACACAAATACAATAAATACACGTTTAGAATTAGAACAGTACAGTGGTAGTGGTGGTAGTGCCAGTCGACCACAGTGGACAACAGTCGACAGCGCTCGGCTACAGCAGAGTTTCAATAGAAATTAATCAAGACAGACAAAAAGTCAACATTTTATTTACATATTGTTTATTTCGACATACACAATTGTATATCTGCAGTTTGTTTGTTCATGTGTGATCACTTCACTCTCCGCCGGCTCGCGGACAGACATCGGTTAGTATAAAATACATGATTCTGATTATTGTTCGACCTCCGAAATGAATACAAATCTACAACGTTTGTTTGCAACGAGATCCTCCCTCAGATTTCATCACGGAGCGGACACGCACACACACAGGCTCGCACGGACGCACACACACGCACGACGGGACACCGCTATTACTAATTTATCTTTAAGCTCTGTATAATTATTACTCTAAGAATCAGTTCAAAAGGTAAGATTTCGATACTATAATGTCAAATTGAATCTAATCAGCAATAATACTCGAGTTAATCTATAAATCCATACTATATTATATTTAATTTATGCAACGGCCGCTCCGGGGCGGCCCCGTCACATACGACGTACTTTTTATCCTTAAAATGTTCTTAAAAAGATTTCTTAAATTAATGTGGAATGGATAGGCGCGTCCCCGGCGCGGCGGCGGCGCGGCTGCGGCGCGGTCGCGACGCGGCTACGACACGGCGGCGGCTGCGGCGCGGGGGACGCGCGACCGATCGCTTAACCTGCAACAAGGCACGCGGCACGTTATCGCACGTATAGTGTTCCCGCCTACACCACAATGGTTATGGGAACGGAATACAAGTTACGATCGTAGGCGCTATCAAGACACTAAATTATACCTGCATTTATGTCTACGCTAAGCGCATGTAGCAAAAGCAAGCGAGAACTAAAACGTACGTTAATATTTTTAGAACAGTCTAGATTGAATATCTCGATTTAGTGTATTTAGAAACGATAGTGGTCAATTTGAAGTAAGAATATAATCCTGGCTGGCGTGCTTCCAAAGTTTAAATAAATTTAATGTCAACCAAATAAATGCCAAGAGGGATAATGAATATTAAGAATAAGCAGAAATGTTTTATAACGATGACATAAAAATGGGAGTGATATGTATTCACGTGCGAGATATTCACATATTCACCTTACTATTGGACTGAGATGACTATCGGCAGGTACTGGTTTGTGTCTAGTAGGGCTGGTGCCTCTGGTTGGCACGCCCGCCGCCGCCGCCGCGCTGTTTGCCGCCCTGGTAGCCTGCTGCAACATCAATCTATCAACATACGTCGACATGTACCTGCGCGCCGGGTACCTGACTTGCATTTGGGCTAACAGTTTTTGTTGTTTTTTATTAAATATTTCTTGTAAGTATAGTATATTTCAATAACGGCATCAAATCAAGTACCCCATAGGTACGCACAATCTGAAGGATATTATTAACGATTGCACAAAAACTGGTCGGACGGCGAGTTAGTCATGCGAATATTATCGAGTAACGGTACGCTCACACGTAACGGGAAAACCGCTGGCCGTTCAACTCCAACTAGTTTGTCTTATAAGCTGATATTAAATTTTGAATAATGTTTCAGAGGGATCATTCATTCCTGTTAAAATTTGAATTGCGTTGCCCTCGCGAACTAAATATATATTAACCGAATCGTCTTGCAATGTGTCGCGAACATTTAGGTGTAAGCGTATCTTTACGCAGTTAAAAGCCGATATGGATTATATAATACTATTGATAAGATGGAATCGGAATCAAACTTACATTCAGTTTAAGCAGGTTCAAATGTAATACAAGATATAGTTCAACGAATTGAGCTAATCTAAGCAGAAAGCTGTCCGTGTGCGAGTCGATACATGAGATTACTCAAATTCATATACTATGGCAGTTTCACTGTAATATAAGTGTAATCTCACATGTTACTCTGCTTTTAAAATTACTGAATAAACTACTAGTATTGTAATCGCCAATGATTTAATTAATTGCATATATTAAAAACGAGCAACAAACCGAACGGCACATAAATATAGCTTTAATGAGCTAACTACAGAAGTGTTAATAATTAAAATGACGATATTTTACAGTGCACCAAACGTTTTGGCACTGCAAGCTTTACAATACTGTTATACACAGTCAAATTACTAAGTGTGACCCCGATTTAAGTTGTTTAGTTTGTGATAAGCAATATTATTAGCACTAAACTAGTGGTAAAATCCAAAACGTTTGCGTCACTCAGGTGAGAGATGAACAATCTAGATGTAATGTTTTGTTTGTAGCGTTGCCAGATATTCGTGCGGGATATCAATCGAGACATTCAGTGTTAGTCAGACGTGGCAACACTACAGTGCAGCGGGGCGGGGCGGGCGGCGGGAGCAGTGAGGACGGCAGTACCTTTCCCGCGCGGAGCCGCGCGCGCGCCGTAGCCGCCCTCGTACCCTCCGTACCCGCCGTAGTCTGCCCGCAACATACACCCATTAATCACCGGTACATCACACGATACTCACTCGCTGCCGACGAGTGGAACTACTTACTTCTTTCAATCGATATCATTTATCAATTAAATTCTTTCTATATATTTATTCAACTATTTATTACTGAAACTTATAATTTTATTATAGTAAATATTTAAAATTTCATATATGTATCTTGTATATGTATAAAAATACTAGAAAGTTAAATTGTTTTTCTATTCTACTTCAGACTATTACTTAGTTTATATGCAATCACTCAGATGCATGACTGTTCAAACAAATATAATTAGGTATTGATTGATTGCTAATAATCAAGTGTATATGAAATATAATTGTTTAGTTGAGCATTATAATATGTGGTAGTCGAGTGGGCCGCCACTAGGTGGTGGCGCCAGTGGCGGCGTCGGCGGAGCGCATGCGTGTTAGGCTGCGGGAGGCGGGTGAGGCGGGCGGGGTTGGGCAGGGTATATATGGAAACACATTGGTTTTTGGTAACAGTGCTTTATTCAAAGCTTCATCATATCTTTATCACTTTCACAATGTCTCTCCATATATTACCCCAATTACCCAAATGTAGCATGTGGCGAGAGCGTTAATAGGTAAAATAAAAAATACCAAAACAAATAAAACTCGGGCGACATTGCTACATATGTCAAAAGTGGTATTACAAATGAACACTTATAAAACGTAAGGCGGTAACATATATGTACAAACATAGTACCTAGTGAAACAATGATAAAGAGTGATCGATAGCTGCGTGGGCACTCGCGCAACAGTGATGCAAATCAGTGGAATAAACTAAATAATGCAAATAAAATGATCTCTCAGAAATATTACATTCCGCTTGGGATTGATTACACAGCTATGTATATACTGTCGCCCCGACGACATTCACTACACATTATCTCGATAGAATATCAATGTAAATACGCAGTTATAATAGAAAAATAAATATTTTCTACACACTAAGACATACACCTAAGGTTCACGCGACGTCGACGCTCAAGGACGGAGGGCGGCCCCACTACGCTAACCTAGCGCGGCGGGCGACCCGCGACGCGCCGCTCGCCCGCCGCCTTACTCTACGTTTACATTCTAGGATCAGGTAACATCAGTCGAGGTAATGTGTCGGGAGCGGGCCGGCCGAGCCGGCGCGCTAGTGCTGCTTGCCGCGTTTACCGTAATTGGGGTATCCGGAGTAATCGTATCCGCCGTATCCGCCGTAGCCGTCGTATCCGTATCCGCCGTAGCCCCCGTAGCCGTCGTATCCGCCGCCGTAGCCGCCCTGTCCATATCCGTAGCCACCGTAGCCCTGGTTGCCCCACGCTCCCTGACCGCCGTATCCCCCGCGACCCCCGCGTCCTCCGCGCGCGCCCCTCCCTCCACGGCCTCCTCTTCCGCCCATTCCTCCAGGACCATCAGGTTTCGGCGTCGCCCTCTTTACGTCAACCTAGCACGAAAAAAAAATGTGGTTATTATTTTTATATTTATCAATAGATATATATTTATATTCATTTATTTTCTTTAGCGTATGACACGTGTTTTACATACCTCCTTGCCACCAATGGTCTGTTTAGGAGTCTTGAGCAGCTCATTAACAACTTGCTCAGACTCAAATGTAATGAAACAAAAGCCTTTCCTTTGATTCTTTGTCTTGTCAAAAGGCATCTCCACGTCTATAACCTGTAAGTAAAGAAAAGATTATGTGATTATTCATCGTCACAAAACAAAACAATAATTATATTTTGTTCAAATATCAGTGGCCCGGAGTCATCTTCACTTAAATTCGAGAATTTTTCATCTCACCATAACCGGAAATGTCATCATAATTAAAGTAAATATTCATTAACTTTCACTACCAAAAAATATAAATATATTAATACTTACTGCTCCAAAATTGCTGAAGAAGTTTTTAATTTCATCATCAGAAATTTCACTGCTGAGACCACCAACAAATATTTTCCCATGCCTTGCTTTTGCTTTCTTTGGGTCTACTTTTTTGTTGTTAATGGTGTGGTCACCAGCAGCCATAACCTTATCAATGGAGTCCGGTGCCTTGAATACAATAAATGCAAAGCCCCGTGACCTTCCAGTATTTGGATCTGTTTTAACATTGATACTTTCAATTTCTCCATATGCACTGAAGTGATCACGTAATTCCTCTGTAAAGAAAAAAGAAAATTAAGATCCGTTTTATGTATATAGCACAATTTTTTTGTAAATAAGGGTGCTCAGTATTGTGGGTATGTTTTCTTCAAATATTATCAGAAGCAGAACTGAAATGTTCATCATTTCATTGTTTTTGGAATTTTATAAATAATTTTTTTTATAAAATTTCAAATTATTACATAATAAATATACTTACTGTCTGTAGTTTCCCAGCTCAAGCCTCCCACAAAAAGTTTTCTGTAAGCACACAATAATGTTATCAAAATGTGACAAACACATGAGTCATTTGCCTCGATAAAGAAACTGACTTAAAAATTACTATTTAATATTAACACTATGCAGTACTTGTTTACAGTACTTTACAGCTACTTTTTTGTTAAAAACAAACTCCAAGCACTGCAGCAAAATAAATTCAGAAACCTGTAAGTTACAAAAATTAAACTGCAAAATTTAACATTATCAAAGACAACGAGAAATGAAAACAATGTTACAGTGATATCGCAAGATTTGAAATTGGCAAGTGTGAACAAGGCCCAAAGTTAAGTGGCCAAGACAATCTAGTCAGTTTGGTCGTTGTTTTACTTAGTGTGAGCCCTTGCGGATATATACCATGACGTCCTCCGGCGGCTGCGATGGCGGCGGCGCAGGCTCACACCTGCAGAGAGACAGGGCGTTAGTAGCGCTCCAAACTGACCGCGGCGCCGAGGGCCGACAGCCCAACGCCGTATGCACTACCACCGATTTAAAATCTTGCAAGTTGCTATTTACACAGCTAACGCGGTCCACACCCTAGCTTTGACCGTATTATTCAAACCACTAATCAATTAAAAAAAGTATTGGAACGAAAATCAATAACGGGACCGCGCCGGCGTGAAGTAAGAGTGACGCGCGAGTGACGCCATTTTGCGTCGAGCGGCTACAATATAAATTTTAAGAAATTAGTAACCTGGAATTTCTGAAATGAGAACTACGACTTGGATGACTTAATTTAATACGCGAAGAACCCACTGCAATAGTAAAATCATTGAATTTTGAATAAACCTCATGGATTAAAAGAGATTAGGATGCCGATAATGATAATATGCCGGACCGACGCCGCCATTGCGGCAAGCGTATAATTACTGTGAAAATAAACTTATAACGCAAAAAACTAATTCAAAATTAAATAGTTAAGATTTTACTTAGAAATTACTTTAGACATACATTTGTTACAGTTTAATACGTTAAAATTATATACCTGTCGTCATCGCGTCCCGGGGCGTCTGCACTGTTATGTTCTTGGCCATCACCTCCACCATTCTCTGCATTGCCATTCACTTGATTTTCCGTAACGTCTTGTGCAAAATTATCGTTATTAGCCATTATTATTATTACTATATTTAGACTTAAAGTAACAATAAACTAAAATCTAAGGTCTATACACGACCTTCAACGCTGAATGCCAAATGCAGAAGAATGAAAGAGGGCGTATGATGAGTCGGCGCGAACTATTCCGTAACGTTGGCTAACAGCAAAGAGACGCGCTTTTTTGCGGACAATTTCATCCCTTCTATGACAGTAACCAATGAGAAGAAAGCGGCGTCTATGAGGTCAATGGCATGAATCGGCATCAACAAGGACAGCGAATGTGAAAAACTCGAGAGCAAACGAGAAAGATATATTTGGCAAACGATCAATAACTTTGTCCAACATTAAGAAAATAAGCCCGCCTAATGCAATGTATAGTACTAGAAGACGCTTTGTATCGTTCAGAAATATGCATTTATAAATATTTTAGCAATACAAGAAGTCAAAATTTGTTTCAAATATAATCAAGAAAAAAGATTTTCTAAAAATATCATATCATGTAAAAGTTTAATAACTACATAATTGGTTCTTTTAAAAATTAGGGCAAACAATGAAATGATACATTAAATTGGTAATATAGTTTAAGTAAATATCAATGAATATTTACATGTGTTGCTAAGCGCAAAACTCGAGAACGGCTGGACCAATTCGGCTAATTATTGTTTCCAAATGTTTGTTGAAGCCCGAGGAAGATTCTTATGAGGACAAAAATTGGAAATATATCGTGGAAAAATGCTAGTCACATTTATTCTTACTACTATTATAGTATAATTATATAATTATGTATATTATAATGAACCCAACCTTAAACTTAATATAAACTAATTGAAGGCATTGGTAGATTTAACACTTTCTCTTTCTACGATATATTTTGACTTTGACTTGTTTGTTTGTCCTTCTTTCACGTCAGAACAGAGTGATTGATTGGAGTGATTTTCAACCGACTTCAAAAAGGAGGAGGTTCTCAATTCGACTGTATGTTTTTTTTTTTTTATATTTGTTACCTCAGAACTCCGTCATTTATTAACCGATTTGGAAAATTTTTGTTTTGTTTGAAAGGGTATACTTCCAGATTGGTCCCATTTAAATTTAAAAAAAAAAATACCACCCCTAAGGATGGAAAAACAACTAATGATGAATTTAACCTACTTCTAATTGTCATATTGACTTGAAACTTTGCAAGTATTTCTATTTCCGTTGATAGTACAGTGGTTCGGTGTTGTTGACCTGATCTGATGGCAAGGCCAGAAGGTGGATAGGTGGAACTCTTCAACGGCTAATTTCAAAATACTTTGAGTTTGGGCTTATTTTGTTTGATTTGACAAGCCTAGCACGTTAGAATTCTTACTGTGCTACTACTGTCTACACTAAAAAGGGAAAATTAAAAACTTTTTAACAAAAAAATAAAAACCGACTTCAAACAAAAGTACTAAAAAGTAAAAAATAACTGATTGGTAGTTTTCATTTACTATATATACCTAATCAAATATTTTCGAAGTCGGTGTGCTTTGGCTAAGTAATTAAAGCCTACCTATTAAATACATACCTAATCAAATATTTTCGAAATCGGTGCCAGCCCATACAAAGCAAAGCACACCGACTTCGAAAATATTTGATTAGGTATGTATAGTAAATGAAAACTACCAATCAGTTATTTTTTACTTTTTAGTACTTTTGTTTGAAGTCGGTTTTTATTTTTTTGTTAAAAAGTTTTTATTTTTTATGAAGATAGTTGGAGGGCTAGAGAATGATATAGACTACTCTTTATCGCGGAAGATTATCTCATTCCCACGGGAAAACACGTTAGAATACTACAACACACAACAACTCACCATACCTATGTATGCATATATATTTTAAATACATAATACATATATATTAAATAGTCTATCTATTCCATACTAACCGTTAAAAGGTACCTAGGGACGAACCAGAGCAAAGTGAGGGTGAGTCGCTAATAAGCAGATAATTGTTAATATTTTATATTATTACTGAAGTTTACATTAAAAAATATATTTTATCTATTCTAATTCAGATAATAATACAATAATATTTACTTTAATATACATTATGAATTTACTTGTTGCGCTATTCATCAATGGTTATGATTATAAATTTAAATAATATGATGATCATTACTTGAAGCAGTTTATTGATATAAAAAAGTATAGCATTATAGATTAGTACAGAATTTGATATCATATTAAAACATATAAAATTTAATATTTTGCTACAATTACCTATTAGTTATTATAATATTGGCATTAGGCAACACCATAGCTAAATTGACACTGAACGGTGAGGTAGGCTCTTTTTCTGTTTTCAGAATTCAGTCCTTATTTATCGTGAAAATTACGCGATTTTCGTGACAATTCGTTGCAGATTACACCATTTTGATGCCTATAATTTATTGAGGTAAGCCTTATTATTTTTAGTGTACTGTAATAGTTGTAAAAGTTGATTATTTTGATTGTCGGCAAGAAGGTTTCTTTCTATAGGTTAAAGCCCTAATGTTTCTTTGAGAAATTAACTAGTCTAACATACTAGATGCTATAGCGTTAATTATGTAGTATTTGAGTTTTTTTACCCGAAATATCTAGTTGAGATCTTGTATAAATGACTGCGGGCAAATATAAATGTTATATGATAATTGTAGTCGCCATGCGTGCTTTGACAAAACCCTGGATGATCGTCTTTATCTAAGCAATTGTTACTCATACTAACCAATATGTTTTTTTTTAATTTTTATACTATTACTATCTCGCTATTAATCGCCGGTAATACATGGTTTTTATAACAATGCATTATTATTTTTGTCTTTTTATTACTTTTCACCACTTTTGCGTTTTAAACACGGTAAAGTATGTTTAAGAAAGGTATGTTATAATACACCACTTTAAACACTTTATACTTATTTTTAATATTAAAAATAAGACATTGCATTTAAATTATCCTTTATACAGTTGTTGTATTTATTTTTCTTATTAAGTACATATAGTTTTTCAGGTTAAATGCAAAATTAAAAAAAAACAACTATAATTTCTATAATGCTTAAATTATATCCATTCATTATTTATATATATTTCTTATTTTGAAATTGTAATGATATTTCAATAACATTTATTTTAGCTGTAACTTTAAGATATCTAGATTTATTTTCTTAAACTCAATTGAATTAAGTTCTTTATGGTAGCAAAATTTATATTTTAACTAAATCTGAATGAAATAGAAGTGCAAAATTTGTATGCATGTGTAAAATTGTTTTTATTTATTTAAAAAACTGCACATATCGACCTTACATTACATTTTTATACAATTTTTTCTCATTTTGTTTGTTTTTCAGGTTTTAAATTTGGTAAAATCTTATTTATCTATAATAATCTGTGCATAATTAATACTAATATTATAAAGCAGAAGTTTTTGTCTTTGTTGAATACAGTAATGTTTGGAACTACTAATCTGATATGAAAATTATTGAGAAAGGCATTTGATAAGCCTATTTATAGAATTAAATAAAACCGACCGAAACATCTAGGCACTAAAATGTAAAAAATAACTAAACAGAGGTTTTCATTTAGAATATATACCTAATCAGATATTTTTGAAGTTGGTGCCAGCCAATGCAAAGCAAATCTATTTCAATATGTAAAACACATCACAAATTAATGTATAATATTTAAACTATAATTAGAGTTCATACCTAATCATATTTACCTATCAGATATTCATATCTTAAAATATTGTCAGCTGGCACCAACTTCGAAAATATCTGATTAGGTCTCTATTCTAAATAAAAACCCCTGTTATTTTTACATTTTAGTGACTGGAACTCGGTTTATTTTTTATATTTTTGTTTTTCCATTTTTAGTGTAGACGTAATAAGCAGGTAATTTGTAAGAACAAAGTTTTTTAATTTACATATTTGATTTAGCAATTTAATATTTTTTTTTTATTGTGGATTTTTTTAAAAACTGCTCAACCGATTTTGATAAACTTTAAAAGGGACCACCTAGGAAGTATACCCTCGAAACAAAAAAAATCCAAATTGGTTCAATCAGTGAACATACATATTCTGACGAACTTAGAACCTTCTTCTTTTTGGCAGTCGGTTAAAAAGATGATATAAATAAATTGAAGTGTATTTATCTGTATACTTGTAACTTATGCATTTCTAAACCATTTATTTTATAATCATGTAACTTGGTCAACTTATTGTAAAATAAAAGATGTTTTCATGTTGTATAAATGATACTTGGAGATTTATAAAAATAAACAAGGACTTAATAAAGCCATTGGGCCAAGCTATTTAAAAAAATAATTATGATCTTTTATAAAATCACAAACAATAAAAAAAAAACATTTAATTGTTTATGGATGAGTTATGTATGATAAATATATGTATATTGCTTTTATGCAGTTTAAGTTTATAAAATAAAATTAAAATATATTTTAACCTCATATATGCCATTTCATAGGAACATTCAAGTGTAGTCAATACTACAATTAAAACATTTTTAATTATCAGTATATTTTTATCTAAATTGTGTCATTCAGTATTTTAATATAGAAACAAATGATTGTCCTATTTTTTATGTATTTTAATTTTTATATAACACTATTTAGTCTGGATGTTTGTTCAGATTCAAATTGAAGAAATAATAAAACAGATTATTTTTCATCAATAAAAGAAAATAAATAATTGTAATGTATTTGCTTAACATTAGTGTGATTGGCTGTTATTTAAAGCGAATTTCAATGATTTAACATGCATATATTATATACTAGCATTGCCCGCGGCTCCGCCCGCGTTCAGACGACAAAAAGCCAAATTCTTATATTTTACAATATATTAGTATGTATACTCTTACAGTTTCCGTATTTTTTCTCAGAAATGACCTTTTTCCCCGCGGTAAAAAGTATCCTATATGTTGACCCGGGTAACCAGCTATCACTATACTAAATTTCATCAAAATCCCTCCAGTGGTTTTTCTATGATGGCATAACAGACAGACAGACAAAAATTCTAAAAACTGTAGATTCAGCCTCAGTATCGATAATGTTTATTTCAATAAGATTTTCAAAAAAAAAAAAATTTAATGTACAGATCCGGCTTGGTTACAATTTTATTATATGTATATATCTCTGATTTCTGTGTGCCTCTTAGCAAAGGCCTCCTCCGTCTCCATTGAACTCTATCTAGCGCCACTCGTGTCTACAGTGGCTTTAGAGTTAGGCGGATATCATCCTTACATCTCCTTAAATAAAAAAATATATAATAAATATAAATAAAAGTGCAAGATTAGATGGCTGGCACCCTAAATCTCTATGTTATAATTTATTTATTCCATTGATAAAATATAAATAACCCAAATATTGCATAATCTTATAATTCCCAATATATTTATTTATTTTGTATAAATTCACATAGGTTACTATGTAAAACCAGTAAATGATAATATTAAGTAATGGTTATTTTGTTTATTGTGGGGCAGCGTATAGCGGAGGGCTGTATCAGTCGGCGCAGTGTTAACAACAGCGATGGTAATGGAGGCGTCCCCGTCCCCGCAGAGCGTAGGCCGCGAGTTTGTCCGCCAGTACTACACGCTGCTCAACAAGGCGCCCGCCCACCTCCACAGGTATCTAACGATATGCATTCATCTTCTGCTCTCGCATTAATCAACAATGATAAATATATATGTCGGGACATAAACAAACAGCACCATCTAGTTCCATGGTAAGCTACGAGGCTTGTGTTATGGATACCAGATAGTTGATATACTACACATATATAACTTTAAATTCATGCATATTATAAATATAAACACCCATGACTGGAGTACAATCATTCGTGTTCATCACACGAATGATTGTCCCCAGCGGTACTAGAATCGGCGACCGCTGGCACAGCTAATAGGGTCACTACAAACTGAACCAAATGTGTCGTCAACGTCGTGATGATTGAACACTTCAGAAAAATAATAAATATATTATTTTTTTATTCCGAAACATATGTATATATGTATATGGTACATGTGACTTGTGAGAAGTTGTTGTTCATCTATACATATAATAAAATTGTAACTAAGCCGAATCTGTACATTAAATATTTTTTGGAAAATCTTATTGAAATAAACATTATTATCGATACAGAGTCCGAATCTATAGTTTTTAGAATTTTTGTGTGTCTGTCTGTCGCCGCATCACAGAATAACCACTGGAGGAATTTTGATGAAATTTGGTATGGTGATAGCTGGTTATCAGGGTCAATATATAGGATACTTTGTACCGCGGGAAAATGTCTCATTTCTGAGAAAAAATACAAAAACTGCAATGTAAGAGTATACTTTATATGTAAAACCTAAGAATTTGGTTTTTGGTCATCTGAACGCGGGCGGAGGCGCGAGCAATGCTAGTCATCACTAAAATCTAATAATTTTCAAAACCATATGTTTTCAAGAATTAAAATAAAGTAGAATTTACAACGGGTGATCAATATAAAATCGGATGACTCATTTAACCTCTGGATTAACTTTACTGGCGACTGTTGGCAGTTGCTGAATTTTATTATTCAAATTTAATTTCTAGTCTGGTTTTTTGTATCATTTGTTATTTTATTTATATGCCCAAATTTGCATTTCATTTTAAAGCTTTATATCATTGCACGTTTACTTAACAATTTATTTATGTAATATGCATTCTCATTGATTTTTGTGTAGACATTAATATCCGTGTTACATTTTGCCAAAATAATTCGTAGGACTTTGCTCCTATGCAAGTTGGTATGTTTTGGTAAGTGACCTTTCTTTTCTTATCTTTGGCGCGTAAGTGAGTGTTTGCAATATCGGATGACGTCACCCGGCTCACCTTGCTTGTTTGTTTTGTTTACTTGTGCTCATTTCGCGCGTCGCCCTTCTAATACTATAATCTGATCAATCTAACAATATTGTACTTTTGCTATCTGAATGGAACCGAAATCCTCCCATTGATATCATAATACTATTTTTTTTGTCTTACTGATGTATGTAGAGTACCAATCTTATTGTATTACATAAAGAATACATAACGAACTCTTTAAATTCCAAAGACAAGATATAAATACGTAGGATATTTCTAAAATTTCTCAATAGTCTTACAGCTATTGTAAAACTAACTACAATCTCAAAACACACCTTTTATATTGCCTTACATTGAATGGAAATATAGTACAGTATCTTAGAATGTACAAGATTTAAGTAAGACTTGGCTGTTTTTACTTTTGTATATTTCCTATACAAAGCCCTTTACGAATTATGTTTAGTCATGGTCGATTAAAACACAACTAAGGAGATAAAAATTGTAATAAATATTGATATCGCTTTTATTATACTTTAAGTACCCGTTAATCATATTTATTTTGATGAATACTATTTACAAAAATGATTAAATTATATAGTTTAGCTGTATTACTGGCATATTCAATAGATTCAAACAATTTTGGACCATAATATCAACTGTTATCAATATAATCTAGTTTGCAGTTTGCTTTCAATCATTGCATGTTTTTGACACATAAATCTTATAGCTAAGTCATAATAGCGTAACCATACTAATATAATATGTTTGTATGTATATGTATAATAATTGATAACTCCCTTGTTGACTGTATAGTGGCTAACTAAACAGTCTAACTAGGCTAGCGGCCGTGTACGATTGCAGATCCTAAGGCCCTGGGTTCGAGGCCCGGAGTGTAGACTGCGACCGGTGGCATGTGCGGGAAGGTATAATATGAAGTTGTTAACGTGTTTATAGATTCTACAACAACTACTCGTCCTTCGTGCACGGCGGGCTCGACGCACCCAACCGCGAGACGCTGCCCGTGGTCGGCCAGAAGCAGATACACCACCGCATCCAGCAGCTTAACTTCCGCGACTGCCATGCTAAGATCAGCCAGGTACTTGGAGATATTGTTATAATACATATTATTTTTGGTGTGTTTGTTTGTGTTTTGGGTCTGTTATGTGATCTAACAGTATTATTTAATTGAATATAAGTCGAGTGTGATTCGGTTAGTTTAATTATATATCGTAATAATATTATATATCGTAATATTAAGCACGAAAACAAGTTTTTTAAAAATTCTAAATGCGCCTGTAGTCAAAAATTTCAGTTACTTGTACTATCTTATAAATAATTTGGTATGTATGTATGCGAGGAAACTTGGAAAGTGAGTGTAACATAGAGTGTAACTCGTCAGGTGGACGCGCAGGCCACGCTGGGCAACGGCGTGGTGGTACAGGTGACGGGCGAGCTGTCCAACGGCGGCGCGCCCATGCGCCGCTTCACGCAGACCTTCGTGCTGGCCGCGCAGACGCCCAAGAAGTACTACGTACACAACGACATCTTCCGTTACCAGGTCCTTCACACACACCTTACATTACTTTCATTTTGAGTGTATAAATAAGGAATAACAGTTTATTTTTTCCCGCCTTCTTGAATGCTCTACAGCAAACATGGTTACAGAAGACTAAGGGTACTATGACTTGTGAAATGTCCAAAATTATTGATGAATAGAGATTGTTTTTTTCTATTATATAATTTAAAACACCTTTAAAAGTAAAATTTTCATGGTAATATTATAGTTTAATCAACATTGATTGAAAGAGATTCTGATGCTGGTTAATTGAGATTGTCAATGTTTTCGTTATTCGTTTGCAGTCAATACGGTTGTACTGTCGACAATCGTATCAATGGGTGTGAATCAAATGTTGTAATGTTGCAAGAGATCATTTTAGGGAACCAATAATATGTGGTACTTTATAGTTTATACGATGGAGGTTGAACACATTATGTAGTATTAGATAAATTATTTACAGGAAAAGAAATGAAAACATATTTATTGACTTATACAATATGCTACAAATAATTGCAAGGGCCTATGTACTAGGTGTGAACCCGTGTTACTGGGTACTTCATTAATAATTATCAAGTATTATTAATAAAGGATAATCAAATGTATTTCTCGCAGGACATAGTTTTCTCGGACGAAGAAGGCGAGGGCTCGGGGCGGTCGGAGGGCGAGGAGGAGGAGGTGGCGACGGGCGGGTACTTCCCCCCCGCGCCCGCGTTCCCGCCGGCGCCCTTCCCCGCACCGCCCGCGCCGCCGCACGCTCCGCTGCCGTCGCCGCCCGCCCCCGCCCCCGCGCCCGCGCCGCATCTCAACGGGCATCCGCCGCAGCACGAGGAGCCCGCGCGCCACCTCGTGGCGGCGCTGCAGCGTGAGTCCTACATAATGCTATAAACGCGAAACTATGTGAGGGTGCATGGATGTTTTTGTGTTAAACTTTCACGCAAAAAAGTAACTCTACGAATTTTTGATGAAACAACTATGTAACATAGACTATAATTTACAAAGATATTTTTTATATTACTTGCGAGAAAACGCTATTATATACACAACCATTCACATTGAGTCGCTTTTAATTAACTTAAAAGTTGTATTAAATGTAATAAATAATTAACGCCAAATTCTCTCATGTGCTCAAGAACGATAGAATCATTAAAATCTTTAGTCAGATATATAAGTTAAATTAAAAATGTATGATATATGATTTTTCGTGACGAGTGTGTGTTCTAATGCTACAGATATAACCAATGTATTTATAAAATGTTAACTAATAAATGAATGGTGTTTCCAGCGAGCGCGATGCCGGCGGGTGGTACGGGTGGCGCGGGCGAGCGCGAGCCCGAGGCGGCGCCTGAGCCCGAGGCGCAGCCCGAGCCCGAGCGCGAGCCCTCGCCGCCGCCACAGCCAAGTTAGTATTTTTTATTATCGAATAAATTTGTACCATCATAGTTATTACTCCATTCCCGAATTTGTGTTGAGGAATAAAAGAAACTTATTTTTAGATTATTGGTTTTAATAAACACTTATATTAGACATACACGAAATGTACATATATTTTACTTCATTTGAATATAAGAACCACAGTTGTTGAGATAAATTAAATATTTATTAACATAATTAAAAAATATATATATTAACCTCCAGGTAAATTTCTAAGAAATTAATTAAAATTCTAAGAAATCTATTGTTAACTGACACGCCGGCGTGTCCGCGATCGTGGAGGGATTAAAAGTTTTTTTAACTGTAGTATTCCCCACAAAATTTGGTTTTTCTATACACATAGTTGTAACAGTTTCACTAATAAATTATTAGAGGTCAGTTTTTATCCTAATTAAGGGACAATTGTATTTCTTCTCATGAAAAGTACGTCGCTTAGGTCTATAGGTAATGTTAACATTGTCAACAGTTTTTATATGTATGGCAAATATTGTCAACAAGAACAGAAAAAAGATCAGCGAGTTTGTGAAGCAAACCTACCAAACATACTTTGGTATTAATTTTGCTTAAAATAATAAGTAAAGAGTGCCTAGTAACGTGCAAATGTTGTGTGCAATCTTTGCGATACTGGAGACAAGGACAAGATAGAGGGCTTAAGTTTGAAGGCCAATTATATGGACTAAGCCAACCAATCATTTTAATGATTGATATTTTTGTGCTGTATATGTAAGTTATGTTGATAACTTACATTGGTATGGTACCGGTTTGCCAATTCCAGTGTTTTCATTGAGCAAATTGAGTATTGAGTGCAAACTGTGATGAAATTGAAGTGCTAGCCGGATTATACAGTTTATTTTGATACATCAGCCAAATAGTTCATAGTCTTTATCTCATAAAATTGAGTCAATTATAACTTCAACTTACTCTACTGCAAAATGTCTGTTTCCCAGAATCTGATACAAACTCACACGCTGTCTAACTTTATTATGGCAGAATCCTGTCGTGTGGTAAGAGATTATTTCAATCCATTGAGCAGTTTATGAAAGAAATCTGAAATTACCTCAACTACGAAAGTTTCATTGTAATTCAAATCCAGCATTGGTGTACGGGTACATTAGTTTGAGACTCACAAAATATTTTATTTTTCTTCTATAAACATTTAAAAGTTAAAGATAATTTCCACTGGAAACATAATGTGTATGATGTTTAATATGTATAAAGTATATTCAAATAATGACGAAACTCCCCGTGCAGCGACGCCCGCGCCGCCGGAGCCCAAGACGTACGCCAACCTGCTGAAGTCCGGCGCGGGCGCGTCGCGCGGCTCGCCGCCCGCCCCCGCCGCCGCGCCCGCCCACGCGCCCGCCCCCGCGCCCGCGCCCGCCCACGCCGAGCCGCGCCCGCGCGTCGCGCGCCAAGCGCCGCCGCCGCAAGGTGCTCTTTGCTATACTTTCACACGATTATGAAGTCCTTGTTGTGTATTTGAAGCACCTCAAAGTTACATTCTATCACAATTGACAATTCACATAGTCATTTAATGTATTCATAGTCAGTGTCAAGATGTATTTTATATAGTATACACATTGCTAAGATAACGGTATCGGCCGACAAACTGCATTGGATTACTTAATTAATAACTTTAGTAATAAGTATAGGTATCTTCAACGCCCGCACAATTGTCGTCTAACAAACTCTAAGAAGTGTTGCTTGAAACTTTAAACTGCAGTCTGTGAAATGTTGAAATGTGTTAACTTTTTCCATGAATGTCTAATGCCGTGTGTTGGTTGACTCATAATGTTACGTTGTTGGTACCCGAGTTCTAATGAACAATTATAATTTTTCCATTAAATTGTGTAAAATAAAATGAGTGACCACAAGTATTTAATTAACAGGAAACACTCCAGCGGGGGACCGTGAAGGTCGCGAAGGCGCGCGCGAGGGCGGGCGTGAGGGCGGGCGGGAGGGCGCGCGCCGCTACTCGGACGCGCAGCAGCTGTTCCTGGGCAACCTGCCGCACTGCGCCACGGAGGAGGAGCTGCGCGCGCTGTTCGTGCGCTTCGGGCCGGTGGCGGAGCTGCGCGTGCACAGCAAGCCGGCGGCGCCGGGCGCGCAGCGGCACCCCAACTACGGGTTCATCACGTACGAGACCGCGCAGGCCGCCGCCGACTGCCTCAGCGCCGCGGTACGTCTCCGCGACGATTTATCTCTTTTGTTCCTTTTTGCCTCATTTTATTTCGTTTTCTTAATTATTATTATACTGTATTCTTTAGTATAAAATTATATGGTGTTGGAGGTAAAATGATCGAGTACCTGAATGATAATGAATATATACATATTTAATAGATAGAGTATTTATTTAAACATGCGTCATGCCTGTTATTTAATTTCCATGTCCATAATGTGTGTGCTCCTTCCGCAGCCGCTGTACTTCCCGATGGAGGGCGGCGAGGGCGCCGGCGTGAAGCTCAACGTGGAGGAGAAGAAGACGCGCGCGCGCGAGCCGCCGCGCCGCCGCCCGCCCTCCGGCCACCGCGCCGCCTTCCAGCAGCGCCAGCCCTACCGCCGCTAGCGCCGCCCGCCCCCGCCCCGCCCGCCCACGCGCTCCGCGGAACTGTACACGCTTCGCATATCGCTTCTTTTCGTTAAGTAGTTAGATAGTAAATTAATTTTATGTAAGGTGCTCCTCTCCGCCGCCCTCCCTGTCCGCTCCGGCACGCGCGGGACGGACCCCTGTAATTATAATATAGGTTTATATTAAGCAGTTAAATTTTAATTTTTGTTAATATCGCTCCGTGACCCCGCCCGCGTGTGGATTTATATTATTTATATGTAAAGTCGACTACAAGTGTAGAGTGTCACTTGTGGGAGCGTACGCCTGTACCTAGTGTTCTTACTATGTACTGAAACGTTCTATTAAATTTCTCCTACCTTAAAAATTCTTGTAAAAGTTTGCGACATTTTGCATAGCTTTGAATAAATTATTGTACTGTGTCGTCTAGCCGTGGCGCTGTCTCTGTGGGACTTGGGCGATGTCAGGCTTCCGTACGAGAGCAATAATTAGTTACGAGCTGTTCTATATTTTAAATATAATTGTTTTTAAGAAATTTTACAATATCTTAAACTTAACGACATTCATGTTAGTTAAGTTAAAGAAATGAACAGTTGTCTTTAATTACCATAGAGAAGCGTCCAAACGGCTATATCATGTGATCTCTTTAATACTGAATGTGCAAAATTACTTCTGTAGGCGGAATGAAGCGGTCAGTCAGGTGGACGCACGTTATTGCGCAGTTTTCATAAATTTTCTAATGCTTCTTTGCAATAACCTATATTTGATGAACAAACAATAAACTTTCAAGGTACTTGGCCGTTCACTTGTTGTGGGTGCATCTGATCGTTTCATTCCTTTTGTAAATGTATGAGCTGTAGTGTTGGCGCTCCGCCATTGTGTAGCGGCGAGTAGCGCATAGTGCGCTGTTATTTTGAAACCTACATTAACGTCTCGGTCTTAAGGTAGGTTTCAGAGTGACAGTCGCAGCGAAGTTCGTAGAGGAGCCTCGAAGGCAACTTTAGGGCCATAAATTTCTTCTGATCATGGAAATTTTGTGATTTTACAAGTTTTTTGTATATTTTAATCGTATTTTAGAGTATCGTCGGCCGTACGTTAGCTCTTACGTTTTGTCACCGGCTGGCAAAGCTAAAGCTTTGTGGAATGTGCCTATGATTGTGAATTATGATACTGCGGTCGTGCGACGCGTCACGTCACGTCACGCGACGTGACGGCGCGGGCGCAGTGACGCGGCAGAGGCCGGTCACGTTCCAGCAACATTCAGAAGCGCGCCGCCACGCGGCAGACAGTAACGGCTGTGACAGAAGTTATATAACAATGATTTACCTCTTTTGTTTTATTACTCCCCGCGCCGAGAGACGCTTCTTGTATAAATCTAAACTAATATTATAAAAAGGAATTGTTTATTTGTGAAAAAATCCCTTTGCATTAGATAGCTTATTTATTGAGGAAGGCTAATAGGCTATATCATAACGTATATTAAAACGTATGTAGGGACGAACCCGAGCGAAGCGAGGGTAAGTCGCTAGTGAGTTAATACAGTGGTAGAGAGAACAAGATCTGCCCCGTCGGCCTCACGTTGGATGTTGATGAGTTTTGGATAAAGTGAACATCCTTTATAAAATTAATTATGAGATTTATTATATAACACTTTTCGTACGGAGAGTAATCTCAACAGCCACCGCTCGAGTGCGCCTCGCGTGATCACTTCGCTTCTAATGTTGCTGGAACGAATTTATCGGATATATTTGTAATTAAGAAAGCGCTAATCGCGACATAAATAACAACTTGGTAAATACACATGACGTCTTGGAGACATTGTTGAAAGGAAACTTTTTAATTAAAACATTATTTCATGAAAATTTTTACATTGAGTCTTCAGAGATAAGAAAACGTTTGCCATGTCAGACGAGCACTCGTCTAGTTTTTGTATCTAAATGTGTCTAAAAGTAGACGTTTATTGTTAAGGTTTCCTAAGGCGCGGCCTCACTGAACATTACCGTTTTGTTCAATGTGAATTTCAAATATAACTAAAATTCCTTTTTAGACTGATTGATTGTATGCATCTTCATAATACTTATTTTACATTTATGTACTTTAAATTTCTTACTAAAATGATATAAAACAGCTACAGAAATCTTATACAGACATACATGTAGGGCCGCGCCTTCTCGTACTCGGATACTTCTTGCGTTGTCATTTATTTTAATGAAAAAATTAGCAATGTCTAAATGTATAATTATGGAAATAGAAGGTACATAATTAAATTCCACACGAAGCTGGTAGAGACAGTGCATCCCTGCGAGGACGCCCGAGTGCGACGCATACATAAGTAGTCATTTAGAGTACATACATATATACATGGTCAACTTCATATTCATGTTTTTATAGAAATATTGAATAGTAATAGTAACTTGATAGTCATCAATCTGTATGAAACACTTTCTCCTCCGATGTCCTTTACATATATTATGTAAACGTTACTTCGTACATGGTGTCAATAAGGTATTTAAAAATGTAGGTTTTGAGTACAACTGTCTAAAATGTAATTTTATATTTAAAATATCGATGAAAATAAATAACAATTGGACGCGTCGACTTATTCGCGCCATGTACCTACAGTCATTTCTTATTCTCATAGAAAATATTGTATTTAGAGAGGACATTGAAATAGAATAATGAATGTAATAAGGTTACAAATTTGTTCCCTCGCCGCCGGCCGCGTGTTCGCGCGCGGCGGCAGCTGCTCATTTACAAAAATATGTAATGGAAAAGAAAACTATTAAATATTCGTTGCAGTCTCGGAATACTAACAGAGTATTTTTATTATGAAAATATTGTATGATTTCTGTTGCCCACTCGACAGTTTTAATATTATTCATTACTAATATTATATACAAAAAAAAAATGGTAAACTACCTACTTGTACGGTACCAACGTGTGCCACTTGTAGCTCCTGCCGCGTCGCACTTTATTATATATTCTTGTTATCATCATCTTGATAAGTAACTGTTAATTTAGTATTGCTATACGTGCCGACCGTCGTCCCGCGGCCGCCGCCGGCGCATGCGCGCGACGCAACACTCGCATCGGTATATCATTTTGCCCGCCTCAATTTCTATTAGTGATAAAATTTTACAAAAACCTTTTCTATTACATCGCGACCTAGTGTTTGTACTATTTTATGGTTCGTTTTTTTGTATGTGAGTGCGTGCGGCGGCCGCGCGCCCCGCGCCCGCGCGACGGCTTCTGGTAGCGACCGATGTCTTGTATAGGTGGTGCATTTACTCGTACTGCTAACATCGTCACAATATACGGACGTATTCTCTAAAAATATTTTTTATTAATACTATAATGAAGTATAATATTATTATATTACCTTATCGGTTTCAAATCGGCAAACTATTTTTTTTCTATAAATTTAAATAAAGTAATGTTCCAAGGCGATATACTGCACCACTTATCATATACTTTCCAATATGTTTGGATTGCATTGTGAAAGCTCTGCCCGCGCCGCGCGCCGGCATCTGGACTTAGATACATTTTTGTATGCAGTCGGCTTCTTCGTTGGCAGTGACAAGCTTTCTAAATAACTTAACTTCTATTTAGCAATTGTTATAATTTGGACTAAATTGAACCTGCCGTCATATAAGACTAACTTAAAATATATGTACTTAGTCGTAATAAATTTTGCAAGCATTTCATATGTTAATTTGACCATTCTGCGTGTTTGTTTGGAAAATTATCTACGTTTTTTCAGTGTTAAAGCGATATAATTACTGTAGAATTTTATCTGTAAAAATGTCATATTACTTGATCTAAGGTTGGTAGAAAATGTTACCATTTTTAAAATATTCTCAAAGCTATTCAATTTTTTTCTATTACTCTAACATTATCGATCGTTACAAATATTGTCGATGACTTATTTTAAATGTATTTCAATGAATGTTACACAAGTTTCTGAAGTACCTGCAAAAACGACAATAACACAGTACATAAAGCTCACTAACCGCCGCGCCCACGCCCGCCGGCTGACGTCACTGCCAAACCAACCTGTACCTACATAATATATGTACAATAACCATTCATTTACTAACAATTATATAGTTTTATATAACTTCTTCAATTTATGTGTGTATTTATTGTAAGTACTGATTTTATTCTAAGTTTAACTAAATAGTCAAACCAGCCATATGCTACAAATATATAGTGTTACAGAAACTAGGATGCTCCCAACTATCAATTTGAGTGTGTTAAAGCGTCCTCGTCGGAAACATACACTTTTGTAAAAATATGGAATTCGTTTTTATACTAAAATGATATAAACGAGACCAATGTATCAAATTAGATATAGTGATCCGATGCCGGTCCTCGAGCGGGCAGGCCTTCTAAAGTCGTGGTATCTGCGAGCAAGTTTAGACTCTGGCAATCTTTATTAAAGTAATAACTGAAATAATTTATATTTAAAAAATCCTTACAAATTCATTCGTTTTTATAATAACTCAAAACTTATTGAACATTGAAGGGTCTAAACTTACATTGTTCAGTGCTTTTCCTCGGTAAATTTGTCAAGAGTGCGTGTTAGTGACGAGGCGTGCGCGCCTGGCCGGCGCCGCGAGCCGCCGCGCGCGCGTCGCCAGTACACACGTTCTATCCTCTATAATAGAGACGTACTTTTTGTAACAATGCCCTGTGTTTTATTTACATACCTCCATTTGTATTCATTATAATCACGTATAGATGTTTCCTAGAGGTTCAATAAACTTTTCTCCTAAAATTTCATTTAATACATATTATAATGATAACTAGTCTTAAAAATAATCAAATATGGAACTCAATATTGTATTAATAAATATTAAATTCTCATCAAAACACTTGTGTTAAAGTAATGACTTAAAGTTTTCTGGCGCAGAGCTTTCTGTTGAAGACTTGAGAAGTGCTTCCCAAGAAATAATACTTGCTATACTTACTTTTTACTTGCGTAAGTTTTGGAAAAAGACGTTCAAAATATTGAGTTCGAAGATTTAAAACAATATATAAAATATAAATGTAGAATGCAAATTCCTGAAGACTTGTATAATGAGTTCTAATTTTTTTTGAAATTAAAGTTGCACCATGATGGGTCTGACCGATTCCGGCCACGTCAAAAAAATCCAAGTCTCCTGTAGTTATCGCTCGCTCGCCCACCCACGTGTAAATTGCAATAAATAATAAGGGCAATTAGAAACGAGATGTATTACAAAGTTTATCAAAATTGAAACATTTTCTATGTCAAGAAAATATAGCATACATAGTTATTACGAAGAATTAAACAACGGAAATCGGATCGGTATCAAAAATTGCAAATAATAGCAACACGTCTCAAGCGTCGGCGCGAGGCGAGCCCGCGGCGGCGCGCCCGCGCAGGGACCTGGGAGTGGACAGTCGGCGGCGCGCGTTCGGGCTGGAGGCTGCCTCGACACGTACACACATACAGAAGAAATAGGTAAGTTTAATTACTAATACAACCATCACTCTTATTTAAATTACTTACATACTTATATCACCTTTTTTCTATTTCATCAAATGAGAAAAAACTGCGTGATTTTATAGTTCCTATAGGTAACATATTCATAAATCGTTATTATTTTCTTTTAAAATGTCTGACAAAACAAGCGTGTTATTTATTTTATGGCCAATTAGTCTTTAAATATGTTACTTGAGATAGTATTTCAACTGTAGATTAATTTAAGCACAAGGGTTGAAATAAATAAAAAGACTACCGAGCGTCGAAAACAGGTTAGGTAGAGTCCAAAGCTAACTTTGAGTAAAGACTTGAAGTTTTTTTTTTTCTTATCTGGTAATTTAAAAGAAGTCTTATGTAGTGGTTAGATAAAATAGATATTATTGGAAGTGTGAATTTAATTAAGGATGTCTAAAATTTATTATAATACTAAAATCGTAACTTCTCTATCTGTGTTGACGATCCTATTTTTTTAATATCGATCGATATAAAAATATTGAAGATTGACAATCAAAATATGCTTAAAATTAAATTCTTCTTTTATCATTGATATATTTATAATTAATATTTTTGTACATCAATGCAGGTATTCTATACAAAAGCTCGAAAGCAAACATATGCCAGATACATAAAGTTAAACAATATAGGTATTGTCAAATATTTTTAACAAATTAGAATAAATACTGGCTACTTGCCCTGGTCCCGATCGGGCGCGTCCCGCCGCCCGCGTGCCTAGCAGTATTCTATATGCTCATAATCTATGTAGGTATCCACTAAATTTCATCCAAGTCCGTCCAGTCGTTTCAAACAAAGAGCAACAAACGTACACACAAAAATTTCGCATTTTCATTACTTAGTAGTTCGAAAGAAAGATATAATACATATATCAAATAATTGAATGCTGAAGTCATCGGTCAAATGTTTACACTGGACATTGTTTATTGCATTACGATGTATCAGCATAGTAATATAATTTGCGTGGAGTTTAGTTTGAGACACGAAATTCTACTTTATACGTGTAACATGAGGTGATGTCAGATGTAGGTCACTGTAATATATGGGAATGTAATTCCGACAGGAATAGCATTTGGGTATTTGTTTACTAGAAAACTAAATCTATGGGTACTAATATTATAAAGAGGTAAAGTTTGTGAATTGTGATTTTGTGACGTTGTAGGCGGTAATCTCTGGATCTACTGAACCGAATAAGGTGAAATTTGGTAAGAAGATAGTTTGAGACCCTGGAAAGGACATAAGATACATACATACATTTTTATCCTGGAAATCACCCCTAAAGGTCGTGAAAATGGGGATGAAAATTTGTATGGGAAATAAACCTAGGGACGAACCCGAGCGAAGCGAGTGTCAGTCGTTAGTCTATGTAATAAGCTCATGTCATTCACAAAAGCTCTAAGTACAAACTTTACCCTGATTTATTCATTGGTAGCAAAATACTCGTTGACAAAAGTATCTGCTTACATTTTTATTATTTCATACGAAAACCTGTTTTTGTTTATTTGAACGCACTAATCTCCGGAACTACTAATCCGACTACAAAAAATCTTTTTATATTAGATATTATCAAGCTACTACCCATGCAAGGGAGCGGAGCAGTAATTATGAATGTCAACAAATCGAGCAAACTCTCATAGATTGTTGTAAAACGAATGTTTTTAATATGTTTAAGTGCTTTAAGCTCCGAATAGGCACTTATATACATAATTATTGGCTAGTTAAGTTATTAATATATATATATATATATATATATATATATATATATATATATATATATATATATATATATACACACGTATCTTTATTATTAAATATGAAAATATGACATCGGTACATTTGTAATTTAAATAACCTAATTCTTTTACAATTAGTATCTTATCGCAGTAGAGCAGAGGTCATATCATTAATAATGTATATTTTAACTCAAAGTTGTATGTATCTCATAATAACGTATATTATCGCAGTAAACTCGCTGTAATAAAAAATATTTTTTTATTTTTATCTGTTGTACGACGGGGTCGCGGCTATCGGCGGACACCACGCGATACGAGGGCTTCCGTCCGCGCGAATAACCGCTCAACGATATTCGCAGGATCGTCCTCTTATGACCTATATTATAATACATATTAATTACTAAAACATAAGTAATTTACACTGTAAGCACTAATATGATTGAAATGTTCACATTCAATTTACTCATGTATAAACCTTTTTTTTACTGTTCAGATATACCTATTTACTTACAATGTATATTCAATTTAGAATAAGCAAGTGACTGAAGGCAAACCGTTGTTTACTATAGTAAGCGAGGTGCTATAGTTCCTAGATACTGTCTTATAAAGTACCTATACCAAATGTCATATAATATCCTACATACTTACCTACACTAAACACATTCTATGCATTATGCATACATAATACTGCGTCTGCGCATAAGAATTATGTTAAATACGAGTGCAGGCATCGTTTCTAAACATAAACTTTTAGTTTACAGCGCACACTAAATAAGCCGTAAAACATCCCCGGCGTTAACGTGACGGTCGACACAGTTCTAAAGATATGAGTTTCGGCAACGACTGTCGTGTGTCGAGGTTGTCGGTCACAGGTTATCGCAATATACGCGATATTTATTTAGGTACATATATTATGCTCTGTATCATTTTTTTAAATTCGACTTACCTATAGCTTAAGTTTATTAACGTTGAGCAGTTTCCCATTCACCAAATACAAATAGACTATAGAACAACTATAACCTACTACAGTCTACAACGTCCGACCCATATATCAACAATAAAGGTAGGTCTAGTCACCGTCATTTTTTCATACTTTGATAATCATTTCTGGAAATGCATTAGAAATAACCGGAAGTTATTTTGATAGAGAAGCTATCGCCGCGAACGCGCAGCGCATGCCCATATGTTAATTAAAATCACATAAAGGGTCGAGCCAGTCACGGCTAAGAATCAATGAGCGTATAATTATTACCCACTAATGCAACTGCAGTCGTTTCTCTGTTTAAAGATTGGTCAGGTTTTTCATATTGTATACATATGTATATACATACATAAAATAAGCACTTACTATACTATAATTGTACGGATTCAGTACTAAACAGTGATCACTCTCCGAAAATTAAATCGATGGTACCTATTCCGAAATTTAAAAAAAAACTATCGATGGCGACTGACGAGCCGAGAATGGTGCTCTGACAGGCCTCTTCTCATCTAAATAAAATTTTAATAACATCGGTTGAACCAGTTCGTAGATACTATATACCAAATAAAGAGACGAAAAGTTTCTTCATGACATTGGTGTCGAGTAGGTATCAGCCAGAGAACAGAATTTAACATCATATTTTATTTGAAATCTCATACGGACATTCTTATTTTCTCAGAAATACTTTTAGATTTTTATTTTATAAACAAACTTTATTTACAACAACCTACCCTTACCCTATTAGTACTAACTAGCGACTCACCCTAGCTTCGCTCGAATTCGTCCCTAGGTACGTTTTAAATTAAAATAGATATAGTATGTTATCCTTAAGAGATAGACATATGTCATCGCGGACTTTTCTGTAGACCTACATAAGATACACAATTCCACCATACATATTTTGTTATATCTCAAAGTGTTTAGGCAGCGTTTTCGTTGAAAGCTTCTAGATGGTTTATTTTTTTCCGATACCTCCCACAAATATCTTTATATTTTAGCCAATGTATACAAAACCTTAACAAATTATATATTAAAATTTTCCTCGAGATCCACTATCCGTTCATCGTTTTATCGCGAACAGATAGACAGACAGACACGGCGGAGGATTTTGTTATATGATAGGTAGTGGATAGTTAACTAATACCAATGCACATTGCACAGGCGTAAAGCATTACGGATCAATTTAAAGCATATCTATACTAAAATTATAAAGAGGTAAAGTTTGTGATCTTGTGAGTTTGTGAGTTTGTGACGTTGTAGGGGGTAATTTCTGGATCTACTGAACCGATTTTCAAAATTCTTTTACCAATAGAAAGCCACGTTCTTTCTGAGTGTCATAGGCTATATATTAACCCAAAAAATGAAAAGGCTTTTTCGTGGTAGTCGGATTTGCAAAGTAAGTCGGAGAAAAAACGGTCGAACGAAAACGTTTCTTACGAACGCTGCCTTAACGATGAGAGATATATGATTATGTTCTAGAGAAAAGTTGTAGAGCTTAATAATGCCTACAAAAAAGTCAGCGACAGCATATGTCTAACTTTTATATTTAAGTCACAAAAAGTAGTTTTTTATATTAAAAAAATCATTTAAATCGGTAGGTCATGTTTATTGGTCATATTATCAACAATTATGAATTCTTATCAAAATAAGTAAATTTATCGTCTAAAATGTTTAAAATAAAAGACTTTTCCCTTTTTACTGCATATAATTTGGACAAATGGTTAAAGAGATAATACAACATATTCGTAGGTATGGACGAACCCGAGCGAGCTGTTTGTCTGTTTTTCTCTTTGTACGGGCTAATCTCCGGATCTATTGGACCTATTTAAATGAAATTTTGCGTGGTGGTATCTTATATCCCCGGGCAACATCTTAGATACTTTTCATCCCGGAAAATTAAAGAGTTCCCGTGGGATAGTTAAAAGACTATAACAACTTATACAGCTTAGTACACAAAAACTACTGATTGGATTTTAATGAAACTTTACAATAATATAGTTCATACATGACAAAAACTTTTTAACAAAAAAATAAAAACCGACTTCAAACAAAAGCACTAAAACGTAAAAAATAACTGATTGGTAGTTTTCATTTACTATACATACCTAATCAAATATTTTCGAAGTCGGTGTGCTTTGCTTTGTATGGGCTGGCACCGATTTCGAAAATATTTGATTAGGTATGTATTTAATAGGTAGGCTTTAATTACTTAGCCAAAGCACACCGACTTCGAAAATATTTGATTAGGTATGTATAGTAAATGAAAACTACCAATCAGTTATTTTTTACTTTTTAGTGCCTTTGTTTGAAGTCGGTTTTTATTTTTTTGTTAAAAAGTTTTTATTTTTCCCTTTTTAGTGTAGACAGTAGTAGCAAAGTAAGGATTCTAACGTGTTAGGCTTGTCAAATCAAACAAAATAAGCCCAAACTTAAAGTATCTACTATTAGCCGTTGAGGAGTTCCACCTATCCACCTTCTGGCCTTGCCATCAGATCAGGTCAACAACACCGAACCACTGTACTATCAACGGAAATAGAAATACTTGCAAAGTTTTAAGTCAATATGACAATTAGAAGTAGGTTAAATTCATCATTAGTTGTTTTGCCACCCTTAGGGGTGGTATTTTTTTTTTAAATTTAAATTGGACCAATCTGGAAGTATACCCTTTCAAACAAAACAAAAATTTTCCAAATCGGTTAATAAATGACGGAGTTCTGAGGTAACAAACATAAAAAAAAAACATACAGTCGAATTGAGAACCTCCTCCTTTTCGAAGTCGGTTGAAAACAAATCAGCTACTTTTCATCCCGGAAAATTAAAGAGTTTCCGTGGGATAGTCAAAAAACTATAGTAACTTACTTACAACTTACTTATAACTTACAGCTTAGTACACAAAAACTACTGATTGGATTTTGATGAAACTTTACAATAATATAGTTCATACATCAGAATAACCAATAGGGTACCTTTTATTCCGGAAAAATTTACTGTTCCCGTGGGATAGATGTTTTTGTTTTTTGTAACGTATTATGTACACAACATAGACCCCAAAAAATAGTAATAAAAAAAATGTCTGTTTGTCTGTTTGCCTGTATGTCTGTTTGTCTGATTTTGCGTGAGCGTTTCACGCGAAAAGTAATGTACCGATTTCAACGAAATTTGGTGAAGTGATAACTTATTACTTGAGTCAACATTTAGGATACCTTTTGTATGTATGTATTCAACGCTTTTTAACGTCCCACTGCTGGGCACGGGCCTCCCTTCAGTACGAGGGGGATCAGGCCATAGTCCACCACGCTGGATTAGTGCTAAGCCTTAAGACATATATACATATATCAACACAATATACTAAAAAATTGTAAATCTTGAAAAGTCCTACAGAAAAGTTCTGAATTGTATATGTCTATCTCCTAAGTTACACTCGCAATATTTATTCCTATCTATACGTATAATAAAACTAACTTAGTCAAATCGATGTGCGCGTTACACGCAAAAAGTAATCAACCGATTTTACTTAATTTTATATAGTGATAAAACTTAGTACGCGGGTCAACATTTAGCATACCTTTTACGACAAGCAAATTATTCATTCCCACGGGAAAACACAATAACTGGTTCTATCGAATCGTCCTTAGAAATTTATATGGCTAACGTTGGCTCAACCTTAAGAGATAGATCAAAACATTGTACAAGAAAATTGTAAGTCTTAAAAAGGTCTATAGAAAAGTTCTACATAGTATATGTCTATCTCCTAAGGTACACTCGCTATAACTATTTTCATTATTATATATTACTGTTTTATTATACGTTATTTATTCTATCTATATATAATATAATTGTAGAAGTTAGAAAAAAATGCTGAAAACCAAGTCAGTTCTCTCCTTACATCCCGAAAGAAGAGAAATAGAACAAATCCAGTTTTTTTTCAATTTTTTTGTTTCTCTGTCTGTTTGTCTGTTTGTACGGGCTAATCTCCGAAACTATTGAACCGATTTAAATGAAATTTTGCATAGTAGTATCTTATATCCCCGCTCCACATCTAAGATAGTTTTCATCCCAGAAAATTAAAGAGTTTCCGTGGGATATTTAAAAAACTATAGTAAATTATACAACTTAGTACACAACAACTTATGCACCTAATTTACTAAAATTTGGCATGCTGATACGTTATATTGCTGGTCAAACAACAGGTTACTTTTTATCCCGGAAAAATGAACGGTTCCCGTGGGATAGATGTTTGTGCTTTTCCTTTTTTTAGAGGTGAACCCGAGCGAAGCAAGGGTGAGCCGCTAGTAAAATATAAAAATATAATAATAAGTAACACGTGGCATATTTGGGTCAATAGAAACTAATGGTCATGATATGATCTAGTTGTCGTTAGGTTCAATTACGATCGTTTCTTTCTTCCACTTGTCTGCAGGCTGAAGTGGGTAAATAGGTCGCGAGCACGATGCCATCACCCGTTAGCGCTAAACGTATTTTCCGCGAAACGTTTTATTGTTCCTGACATTGCTCGCTTGCTAGAGACACTTCATCTCTACACTTCAGTAAGCAATGTCAACTTCTGGATATCTCAGGATTACTAAAATGGACCCACCTAAATATTTTTTATAGTTTCCCCCATGGCTCTCGCGGTAAATCGAACACTGGCTAGAATCTGTACTGTATACCTACACAATAATAATTGAACACAAGAGACTTGACATAAATAAACGTATGAACATACATTACATAGAAACGTACATAAAAACACAACGTACATAAAAATTCAAAAAATATAATTTTATTGAATTTTATCATTTCTGAAAAATGAAACTTTCCCAATTAAGTACCTACCTATAATACGAGTAAGTAGCCGGAAAATAACGGTAACAGGATAGATAAAAAAAAATACGAAAGTTAGCAAAATTGAGTGATAGTAGAACGTAAATTGAATTTTAATAATACATAAATGTTTTCGGAAATGCATAATGGCTTTGATAGTTTAATAAACTTGGTGTCATCGTCAATTGGAAGATACATGGTCGCAGCGCGCCGCGGTCGCCGCGCCGGTGATGTGTTGACCCGAATCATCTCGATCAACACAATATGACGCAATCAATGTGATTTTAATCAAACAAATCGTCATCACAATTTAATTCCATCTTACAAATAGATACACTTTGATAGTTCGTTATTGTACCCTGCTGTGGGCCGACACACGGGACGCTGGCCATTTAGGTATATCTTATCGCATGTCGCATTTGGTATCTACCTACTACATAATACTTACATGGTACTGTGGTACCTACATGAATAGTATGATGGTTCTATTATATCTTAAACAGATGTGCATGAAATCATCGGGATCTGCCGCGGTACGTGATGTTTATCGCTAGCCGGAGTCCGGAGTCTGGACCTCCCATTATTTCTCGCTTGCACGCGGACGTGCTTTCGTCTCGATTCGCCCTGACTGTGCGTGGTGTTGAATTTACCTTTTTATAATTAAGTTATAAATAGAAAACATATCCACTTTAATCAATATTATATAGATTACGCTTTATTATTATGCTTTTTAAGTAGATACGAGCAAACACCTATTTTAACTGAAACAATAATAGCGTTCATGAAAATTACACTCCACACATTCTCAATATTATTTTACATGCAATTTGTAAGTTACACTATGTTGTAATATGATACATAAAGTGAAATGAAAAGCTCTCTCAGCAAAATACAAATGCTGCAAGCTTTGCGGGCGGCGCGGCGCGGGGGCGGGGAGGGGAGGGGGGGTACCCTACTCTACGAAACGTGCCCTGCTCTACGTCCCGCCACATCTGCATCACATTGAAATCAATTTACTTACGTTAACTTAAATATTCTCAATTACATTATTTCTGAAAAAAGGTCTATTGAAGGACATATAGCTACCTAATTTATCATCTGCGCTACTATATCGAATTATTTTTATATTATTATATTAATGTGCACACTGATAACTACCTAGTATGATTCACCAGTGACCAGTGACCAGGCTCCCGGGCGATAAATATCTGGTAGCTGACGTGTATTTTATGAGCTTATGTATCGTTCATTATTTACGTACGATGCCCTCTAGCCGCCGCCCGCCTGTACGGTATACTCATGCAATTGGTACTGTTCAAACTTTAAGTCCTGCGTAAGCGTAACGACTTGTGGGCAAAGACCTTCTAGAAGCTTGTGCTTATAGTTTATACTTACGTGTTGATCTCGCTAAACATATAGGTACATACATTACATAATAATGGATACCTTATAATAATTATATTTAAATTGTTTTATATGACCTCTTAGCCAATGTTAATTTAATAACTTTGTTTTTTTCATAGAGTTTATTATCTAAATAGTAAATACTATTGTTATATATTACAAGTTGTTTTTCCATATAATCCGGAGAGCAGTAATATAAAGTATATGTATATTATTTAACCAGTTTGAAGCCCTGTTTAATAAATAAATATATTAATTACAAATTGAATTTATAACAAAATGATAAACGTAGCTATCATTTTTGTTCACAGAAAGGAGACAAGATGAGGAGTCACCTCTTATTGCTGGCCTTATTGGCGGTAGCAATATGTTCCACAGAGGCAGTAACGGTAACCTCATCAGTTGCTTCATATCTTCTTTACGTTGACAATTTAAATAAGTTTGTATAATAAATCTCAATATTACATTATATTTATTTACATGTTTAGAAGCGTCGTAGACATCGCAGGCTCCGTGTGACCACCACCACCACGGAGCCGTCAATGCTGGCGGCGGCGCGGCTTTTCCCGTCCGCGGACGGCGCGCCGCGCGGCGACGCCGAGTCCGAGCACATCGAAGTCGGCGCGGCGGAGCGTCTCGACGAGAAACGGTTCCAGGTATAGACACCACACACCACATACACAGAGCTAGCGTTATATCTCAACTTACATTGTGTTTTAAACGTTTAGGTTTCTTTCTTTTTTGTAGGAAGCAGAACGGGCCCGCGTTGAAATGATGAACGAGGTGGATGAGGAAAACGCCAATGAAGTGTTTATGGATGGTGAGACTTACAGATTTGTCTAGTGTAGATACCTATATAAAAAATTGAAATAATAGTGATAAATAATTGCGTTCGTCTCAGATCCCTGTTTGAAGGTGCACTGCAGCGCCGGCCGCGTGTGCGAGATCGACGAGCACGGAGACGCAGTCTGCAACTGCATCAAGGAGTGTCCCTACGAGACCGACTCTCGACGCAAGGTGTGTCTTGTGTCTTAACATGTGCAAACTGAAAATTAATTGCTCAACATAATTTAATTATATAAGCTAAAAAGGGCGCCACCATAAAAAATACAATATCTTCAATTATTTATAAAGACTATCCTATACCTATAATTATAAATATTAACATTAATATGTCACGCCAATCAGAGATACAATGATATTTAAACGTGCCGGTCGCAACTCGCAGGTGTGCACGCACCGCAACGAGACGTGGTCGTCGGACTGCGAGGTGTACCGCCAGCGCTGCCTGTGCCTCGACAACTCCGAGCTGTGCCGCGGCCCCGAGTACCACCACGTGCAGATCGAGTACTACGGTGCCTGTAGGGAGATGCCGGTAATATTTACATTTCATTCGTCCAATTCATTCGATATGACATACAGTTCCATTTTTAACAGATTGCAAGAAATTGTCAAGTTTTTGTAATTATTGAGTTAATGAGTGAAATGACAGACACTTCGTTCGTTTTCTTGCAATAATATCATTGTAGATTGCAAAGCGTTTTTATTAACTGGACCTCGTTTGCCCACAGCCGAAGTGTCAGTTAGGTAAACCTCACTAATTAATAGCTAATCTCTATTTCTTAGTATAAAATATTTATTTCTTAGTATAATATTTAGGTACATTTTGTTATTTTTTAAGATGAATTTTTATTTATGTTAATAATTATTATGTATGAGTATGAATTTTATTACTACGAAATAGATTCCTCCTTACTAATAAAAGCTGCGGTCGCCGCAGGAGTGCACGGAGAGCGAGATGTCGGACTTCCCGCGGCGCATGCGCGACTGGCTGTTCAACATCATGCGCGACATGGCGGAGCGCCGCGAGCTGTCGCCGCACTACCAACGCATGGAGCGCGAGGCGGAGTCCAACCTCACGCGGCGCTGGACCAACGCCGCCATCTGGAAGTGGTGCGACCTGGACGCGCACGACAACGACCGCTCCGTGTCGCGCCACGAGCTGTTCCCCATCCGCGCGCCGCTCATGGCGCTGGAGCACTGCATCGCACCTTTCCTCGACCGCTGCGACGAGGACGACGACCACCGCATCACGCTGGCCGAGTGGGGCAAGTGTCTGCAGCTCGACGAGGTCTATATTGCATTATACCTACTATTATATATACTATGATATTCGCCTCACGCCTGCCATATCACACTTAACATCGTTCTAAATATTAGACGTGCATTAAGCATTTAATAATGCATACAAAAAATTGCTTGTTTAATAAAATTATCACTAGGATTTTTGTTATCTACTCGTATATTTTATACTAGCGACTTACCCTCGCTTCGCTCGGGTGCGACCCTACGTGCGTTTTTAATATAAATAGTTATTGCGAGTGTACCTACGGAGATAGACTCATGCTTGATATTGCGGACTGTACTGCAAGCCGTTTTAAGACCTATAATTTTCTAGAACATTGTTTTAATATACTTACCTCTTAAGGTTTAGCCAGCGTTAGCCTTAGCTTTAGGCTGTTTATTTCTTAGGGTGACTCGACATAATCAGTTATGGTGTGTTCCCGAGAGAATGAAAATTTTTCATGTAGTAATAGGTATCCTAAATATTGATCCGAATAATAAGTTATTATTACACAAAAATTTTGTTAGGATCGGCTTAGTACCCTCTTTTTGTAGAAACATACAGAAAAACCGACAAAAATTAATATTGTTTTATGATCTTTATTCTGTACAAAATATGTTACATGACATTGCTTTTAAAAAGTATTTCGTGTACAGATTTCGCTAAGTTACTGTTTTATTATATGTATACTACGAATAAATAGACTTATTATTTATTTGTAGTATGTATAGAATATATATCTATATGATTTTTGGTTCCCGACGTTTCGAATGCTTTACAGCAATCATGGTCACGGGAGAGACTGAGGTGTTAGATGTCTCTAAGGTATTATATAGTTGTTACAAACAGCCTACCCACAATTAACAAAATGAATTCAAAAATTGAAAAATGGCACCAAAGTACCTTACAATATTTTAACTTTTAACTTTAAACATTTTTATATAATTTTAATTAGCTTTATAATTGAATATGGAATATTATTTATTTAATTTGAGCTGTTATTATTATAATTATTACAATTTTAAAATATTAATTAGTAATCTACATTTTTAGTGTTGCCATTATTATATTTATAACTATAAAGAAAAAATCATAATATATTAATTATTTAAGCCACATAATTGATCTATGTGTAATTTGAAAAAGTTAAGATTAATTAAAAATAATGATTTAAATTTAAATTTGCTATTATTTAAAAAACAAATTATTAAGCAATACCTTACTACATAGGTACATTTACAAATGAAAAAGTGAAAAATATTAATCAGAAATGCTATCATTTTGATCTACACAGTAAGAACTTACTACATCTACCTGTCTGTCATGTTTAGATTTATTATTAGATTTTATTATATTAATAACAGGATCCCATGACGACGGTAGTACCCAGCCATCTTCCCTATTGAAATTTGAATGTTTTTTAATTTCTATGGCTTCTCGAATCATTCTAGGGCGATATCGGTTTCTTTCGCCAGGATTTGAGGTCTATCGAAACGAATATAATGGCTTGATTGAAAATGTACATTACTAATTAATATTTTAAAATTGTAATAATTATAATAATAACAGCTCAAATTAAATAAATAATATTCCATATTCAATTATAAAGCTAATTAAAATTATATAAAAATGTTTAAAGTTAAAAGTTAAAATATTGTAAGGTACTTTGGTGCCATTTTTCAATTTTTGAATTCATTTTGTTAATTGTGGGTAGGCTGTTTGTAACAACTATATAATACCTTAGAGACATCTAACACCTCAGTCTCTCCCGTGACCATGATTGCTGTAAAGCATTCGAAACGTCGGGAACCAAAAATCATATAGATATATATTCTATACATACTACAAATAAATAATAAGTCTATTTATTCGTAGTATACATATAATAAAACAGTAACTTAGCGAAATCTGTACACGAAATACTTTTTAAAAGCAATGTCATGTAACATATTTTGTACAGAATAAAGATCATAAAACAATATTAATTTTTGTCGGTTTTTCTGTATGTTTCTACAAAAAGAGGGTACTAAGCCGATCCTAACAAAATTTTTGTGTAATAATAACTTATTATTCGGATCAATATTTAGGATACCTATTACTACATGAAAAATTTTCATTCTCTCGGGAACACACCATAACTGATTATGTCAGACTGACAGACTGTAACTGAGTATGTAATCAAAATAAATTTGCGAAAAAATCCGAAAAGATAGTTTTATTTAAAATGTCAAGTATTCGCGTAAATCTAAGAAAGTATTATATATCTATATGTTTATATCACTGTTCTTTGTGTGGTTAAGAAAGGACACATACTCGTTAATGTCTATACATATTTAAATTATGTATGCTAGATGGTAATGGTAGCAACGATACAGCATGTTTGGTTAAAACAAAAACTCATCCTGTGCGAGAATCGAACAAACAGTCAAAACTGGAATTTTTCATTATACAGTTTTGTGTGAAATCTTTTAAATGATCTTTTAATATACAGTTCCGGCTTAAAAATATATATTTATTTATTTATACATGATTTTAGATAATACCTATTTGGAAATCTGTACATAGATTCGCTTCAGTAGTATTCATAACTAAACAACAACTAAACAAAACAAAGGCAAATATGTGTATGGTTTTATAAATTCGTCCTACTCGGAAATCAAACCAACAAACTATGATGTAGTAGTAGAGGGAGTCAAATACATGGTAATTAACCCCTCAACGATTACCATTAAGAATCCTTAAGTAAAAGATACTAAAACTGTTCCTTAGTAAATATAGAATATATACTTTATGTATTTTTATATGTAAAGAAATTTAAATAGTAAAAATAGCAAATGTAGGCATTGAACTTACTGCTCTCCTTAATAAAGCGCAAGAAATTCTTCTTTGTAATTCATATTAATATACAATGGGCGGATGCACATAAGAGTAAATATACTTATTTCTTACAGTACGAGCTGGAGGACCGCTGCGACGAGCTGTCGGACGACGCCGCCTGAGCGTCGCGTGTCGTCTCTGCTCTTATTAAAATCTTATTCTAACCGTCTAATATTCCTTAATTACACCTGACACGGAAGAGAACAGAGACGCTTGTCTTAATCTTTTACATAAGTACTTAGTTTTACTTAATAAACAGAATATAACTAAAAATATTTTTTGTAAATTTCCAAAAAATGACATTTTTTGTGTAATAACATGTATTATGTACTTAATTGTACAAAATTAAACTGTTTTTGTTCCAAAACCTTTACTCACTGCCACATGTTTTTAGTGGAAGACGAACAGGTTTTTAACATTTAATTACAAAATATTAATTGATACATTTTGTTATAGCTACATAAAAATGAATACTTTTATACTGTGATTTAAAACCAAAAAAATAAAAATAAAAAAATAAAATTAAAAATATTTTAATTATTACTTATCCTTGCTCGTGTAATCTTCTTGTTTATCGAAATATGATGAAAGAACTGAGAAGCTTAGACGAAAAGTTAAAAAATATTTAATTTAAAAATAAAGTATTCCCACTGGATTTCAAAGTTAATTGAGGGTTGTCACTCTTTATTATATTTAACTGTGAAAATTTAATTAGTTTCGGTAAAAATTGTAACTACATATATCTGAAAAGGTAACTTGAACCCACAGACATTACAACCAAGTCTGTGCTTGAACCCTATCTGGCTCTTTCATTGAAGGTCGTGGGTTTAATGCTTATAAAAGACATGAATATTCGTTAAGACAAAAAAGAGCCATGGTTTCCTCTCCCCGGCAAGCTTGCTATAGCCTATAAGTGTCGATAGTAACAGAAAGCAGAATAATATAAGAAGTCGGAATAATAATAAATAACTTGCGAATAAATGAGTGAGAAGTAATACCTAACCATTTTTTTTAAACTTGGGAAAACTCATTTACTCATACCACAGCTACCACCACAGGTGGTTATGTAGGAAACCAGGTTAGAAAAGCAAGTACACTTAAGCCCAACATAACCTCCCGTCTTAAGGGAGCGTCGCAGGATCGCTTACGCACTCAACCACGACGCCCCGACGGCAGGTCCGCTGAAGCAGACCACACAACCAACTAGTTGCTCCACTCTGCTATCAGAGAAGTACCATGAGCATCCCGCATGGTATTCCTAACACCACTCCCCAAAGTAAGCTTTCTCTGTAGAGGAGAAAAAGAGGTATCGCTTTTTAATTAAAAGTGGTGATAAAAATGATCCTGGCAATGAAATATATATTATGTATACATATGTATGTACCTATTTCTATATTGCCATATGAGTACAATTTTTAAATAAAAATAAATTAAACGACTTAATTCTTCATTTATTTTACAGTATAGTTTTTAACCGACTTCCAAAAAGGAGGAGGTTCTCAATTTTTTTATGTATGTTCACCGATTACTCGAAGACTCCTGAACCGATTTGGAAAATTTTCTTTTTGTTTCGAAGGGTATACTTCCCAGGTGGACCCATATAAATTTTATCGAAATCCACTAAAAATGGAAAAATAAAAACTTAAAAAAACCGACTTTCAGACACTAACATTAAAAAAATAACAAAACGGGGGTTTTTATTTAGAATATATAGGTAGGTACCTAATCAAATATTTTCGAAGTCGGTGCCAGTCGACAATATTTTAAGATCGAATAGGTAAATATGATTATGAAGAATGAACTCTATAGTTCTATAGTTAAATATAAAATATATATAGTTAAATATAAGAATCTATAGTTAAAATATTATACATCAATTTGTGGTGTATTTTACGCATCGAAATATATTAGATTTGCTATGCATCGGCTGGCAACGACTTCGAAAATATCTGATTGGGAGAAAGTGCAAAATGTAATTAATTTTTTTTAAGATTTACCTAAAAGTTTTTATTGTAAATCATTACGATAACTTGTTAACATAAAAAATCATTTATAATATAAACTAAAAACAAAAATGGACCAAAAGTATATCCTTGCGGAACATTTAATCTTTAATGGGACATAGGAGAATAATTAACATTATTTACAGCGGCTCTCTGGACCATATCGCTTAGATGAGAAGAAGAATGAAGATCAATAACAACACCAAGAATACATGAGAAACTGTCTTCTTGCAGATGTCATCATTTATTAACAACTTTATAATGTACTAGCATTGCTCGCGGCTCCGCCCGCGTTCAAATGACCAAAAACCAAATTCTTAGGTTTTATATATTAGTATACTCTTACATTACATTTTTCGTATTTTTTCTCAAAAATGAGATATTTTTCCGCTGCAAAAAGTATCCTATATGTTGGCCCGGATAATCAGCTATGACCATACCAAATTTCATCCAAATCCGTCCAGTAGTTTTTCTGTGATGCGAATAATATAATATTACTAGGTATTATCTAATTTTATTCAATTAATTTAAATAAAATCAGTTTATTTAATCATTTTATTATATTTATCACAACATTACAATTTTGGATTTATATCGTCTACATATATACGAAATATTTATAAATTAATTATTTTTAGTTGACGTTTTATACATGAAAAGACTTATTTACTTCTCATGTAGCCAAAATGCTGTCATTAAAGCCTCTAAACATTTTAAAAAAAGAAACTCATTTAATTTTCAGCCGCTATATGGCTTGGCAGCACTGTAGCACCCGCCATTTTAATAAGCGTTCATTGGTGGACTTCATAGAGGAGAGTTGTTTATTTTTGCGCCACTTCCGCTTGCTTACGATTGGCTATTGGCTAACCTGTCACACTACGGAGTGGCGCGGCGCTGCCATCTTTGTCTCGTCGATTTGGCTTGGCGCCTTTCCTGTGTTGGTTGTTCTCTAGTAGTGATAGTGTGTTACACGTTTCAAAATGGTGAGTTTTGCAAGATTTTGTGAAAATTATCAAGTGTTGTGGTGATTTCAATGTGAATTTCGGTGAAGTGTAGTGTAATAGACATCCTCGCAAAGTTTCAGTTTTGTACGATTAAAATTAATGGGATTTTTCGCAATTTTTAGGCTGGTGGTAAAGCGGGTAAAGATTCGGGTAAAGCCAAGGCGAAAGCGGTCTCACGATCAGCCAGAGCAGGCTTGCAGGTATGATTATTAGGCTTTTTTATTTATTATATGAATTTAGAAGTTCGAAATTATAGTTAAATATCAAAGAAAAATTATTTGTAAAAATTGAATAATACGCATGACCTCTAGTATGGCGGCGGCCAGCTTTGTATGGGAAGATAATCAATGATGGATGGAGCTAAATATTTATATTCGTTTTTCAGTTTCCAGTAGGTAGAATTCACAGACATCTCAAAAATAGGACTACTAGTCACGGCCGTGTAGGTGCTACGGCGGCCGTATATTCTGCAGCTATTCTTGAATATCTAACAGCCGAAGTAAGTGACGCCTTGTCAATATGGCGGCTAGCTGGCGCAATTATAACATTAAAATGCTAGTTTATTCTAGAAAGTTACACTTAACTCTTTCGTATTAATGCTATATTACTTTAAGTAATGCTATATTACTTTTTTTCTATTTAATTTATGCGATATCATATAGATTAAAACTGTAATTATGACAAATATTTTGGCGGGAAATTGTTCTATGATTATTATTTAAAGAAAGAGGGTAATTTATTAGATGAGTTTCTATTTTTTTAATAATTCAGTTTAACACGTACCTATTTCATTTAATTGTAAGTATTATATCAATAATAGTAACAAAATATTGGTTTAATTTTAATAGTTTTAATAATACGTTTAATTGGCGGGAAAATAACAAACATTTAAAAATATTAGTAAATTGGAATTTCATGTATATATATCTTAATAATACTACTCGCATGATACAAATGGCATATACTACTTATCATAAAATTTTAGGTTTTAGAGTTGGCGGGAAATGCATCCAAAGATCTTAAAGTAAAACGTATTACGCCAAGACATTTACAACTAGCTATCAGAGGAGATGAAGAATTGGACAGCCTGATCAAAGCCACTATTGCTGGAGGTGGTGTCATCCCACATATCCACAAGTCACTCATTGGTAAAAAAGGTGGACCGGGGGCACCTGTTTAATTAAGGTAAATATTTTAAATCATGTAATATAATGCATCAGAAATATTATATATACATATACGTACATAAACAATTTTTAATACATAGACATTAAATGTTTTTAGTTATGCAACTTTTAACATGCATAGGATGTTCTTAATGGTTCTAATGAATATTTTGGTTATCAACAGGCTACTGCTTCAACATTCTAACTGCATTTGACACCGGACACAATATCAGCATTGTATATTCATCAACCAATCAGTAAACATAGTTTTCTAAAGGTAGTGATGTGGACAGTGGAGTGACTTCAAAACTGTTGATCCGGACTTAAATTGTAGATGTTAAGACTAGTAATATTTTAGATTAAGGAGATTTAAATATAATTGTATTAGAATTAAGATTTATTTTTCTTGGTTCATTATGGGACATCTTAATTCTGCTAGACATTATGTACAATTTATTTCATATGTACTGCAAATGATCCATATAGACTGACCTGCAGTGATTTAATTTTGTTTGACGGTAACTGCGATTGTTTTAGCTCTCGCAGCATGTTATGTAATTTGCAGCATTTTGTATTTTTTTAAGTAACTATTATTCTTCTAAATTGTAATTTGGTTTGATTGAACTGTTACAAGTAAGAAATTGTTGTAAGAAATGTATTTTGATCTTTAAAATATATTGAGAAGACACAGATATTTGTTTATTCTAATGTTGATATTATTTTATGTCCCATATTGAGAAACATTGGTGATTACAAAATATACATTTTTAAATATATATTGTGCTGATAATAAAAAAAATATAATTTTTTGATTAAATTATTTAACAGTTGGCCATGGACCCGTTTTTCTTTCATTGATATTTTAAAAAGAATCAATGCTATTCATAATTAAAATTTCATTGCTTACAATATCAATATTAAAGTAGTCTGACCATGAGTTATTCGAATTTTATTATAGACTAGTGGCTTACCCTCGCTTAGCTCGGGTTCGCCTCTAGACAAGCAAAAACATTTATCCCACGGGAACCGCACATTTTTCCAGACTAAAAAATTGCCATGTCCTTCCTAGGATCTCGAACTATCTTACCAAATTTCATCTAAATCGGTTCAGTAGATCTAAAGATTACCCACTACAACGTCATAAACTACCTCTATAATATTACTAGCTACTCACCCTCGCTTCGCTCGGGTTTCGTCCCTGGCACAGACGATTCATTTTTCCGGAATAAAAGTAACATGTAATTTAGGTATCGAACTAGCATTGCCCGCGGCTCCGCCCGCGTTCAAATGGCCAAAAACCGAATTCTTAGGTTTTACATATTGGTATACTCTTAAAATGCAGTTTATGTATTTTTTCTCAGAAATGAGATATTTTCCCGCATTAAAAATTATCCTATATGTTGACCTGGATAACCAGCTATCATCATACCAAATTTCATCAAAATCTGTCCAGTGGTTTTCACGTGATGCGGTAATAGTAGACGTAGACGATTTAAGAGTTTTAAAACTACTTTCTTTAAAATATTCGTTTAAAATTCTTCTATTATATTCGTCTTAAATATAAAGATTGTGATTTGGTCAATTTTGGTCGTCTTATTGCTTTAGTACACACCATAAAGCGCACTATGCGGCATAATGCTCAACTTCGAATTTTTCAACTACAGCAACGCTCCACACGATCGAGCACTTTGAAAAGTAGTCCTTGTTTTCCAATTACAGATCAGAGCATAATGCCGCATTTTGGAGCACAAATACGAACAGCGCGAAGGAATATTTCTTACACTACATTGGCAAGTCTTGACAAGCGTCCACAAACACAAGCGTGTGAACGGGGTGAACGGGGTGCTTGGCTTGCGTGAGCTTGTCACGATCGGACTAGTGTCGGTCTTTGAACACAGATCAAAAGAAGCTTGAGGCAAACGCTTTTGGCGTATTAACACGGTTTATTTCAATAAGATTTTCTGAAAAATATTTAATGTACAGATTCAGGTTGGTTTCAATTTTATTGTGTCTAGTTAAGAATATGTGATGCCAAACGCAATAGTCGACACAACTTAAACTTCCAGGTCTGCACAGCTTGCCTGTCCGGATCACACGAACGCACTCGCAAAGTCGCAAGCGTGTAAATGGTATCTAAGCTTTTGTAAAGGCTTGGAGCTTGTAGACGTGTGCCAAGCCTCGGCAAGCGTATAAATGTAGCATTATATTTTCTGCTACTAAGTTGCGTCCATAGGGATGTTCATGTAAAAAAAATATCGATTTTTTCGATATATAATCGAATAAATATATCGATATTTTCGATATATCATATGTCGTAAGTTATTTGTTTGTATTCAACTATTCTATAATATTAAATATTAGATAGGGATCAGGTTAATATAGGAGTAAAAACAGTTAGTAAAGAAACAGAACATTTTATTTATTTATTTATTAATCCCAATATTTTTTCTCTAGACTTTGCAAAAACAAAATTTTATTAACTCTTTTGGCTTGCAGTCTGTTTCTCTGCCGAGTTAAAATAGCCATTTTAATATATCGTTATACACACTAACTGTATTTAAATTTCGTAAACTGTATTAAAGAAAACAGACTTTTATTTATACTTTATAGGTTGATTTGTAATTTGTACTGAGAAGTGAGAACGATGAACGAAGCGGAAGTTAGAACTCGGATTTCGGAAGCGAGTGTGACTCTCGAGGCACAGATTATAAAATTTTTACTACTACTAGTCTATCTTCACGGAGAGTAGGAGAATAGTTTTAGATTTTCGTGTCTTTGCGTTCCGTTATTGCAAAGGCTAGTTTTTCAATAATTCGAAGTTTTACGTTTTATTCTTACATAAGTTGCCATCCATAAATAAAGGAATCAATTTAAAAAATTGAAATGGAATGTGCTTTAATTTTTCACGATATATCAAAAGTATCGAATGAAATATATCGATATATAATATCTGTACTAGATTATTCGATAATATCGAGTCGAAGCGATATATCGCGTACATATATCGATATTTTATGAAATATGGATATATCATAGAGTATATTGCTACATATATGATATATATCGTTTACCCAACCTATGCGCGCTAGCGTGCATTACGCCAAACTCCAAAGCAGTACTTTACTTTTAAGTTTTATACATAGAGTATATTGCTACAAATATAAAGTTTTATATCTGTGGTCATGGTGCGTGATGCCATTTGGTGAACGTTTTCGGTTTTATTATCTATGTTAAAGATTCAACCTGTTTACTGCTGCGTGTTCTTAATATTGTTCATAAATAGACATATTTTATAAATAAAATTATTACATATAGGGAAAGTAACGTTTTCAAGTGATATCAACTCCATAAATCAATATTAAAACGAAAATTTTGTAATTGTCAAAATAAAAATGAGTTCGAGGCACCGTGATAGGAGCCGTTCCCGTTCCCGTGATCGTGATCGACACAAGGAAAGAGAAAAGGGTCGCGATCGTGACCGTGATAAGGATAGGGATCGTGATCGCGATCGCGACAGAGATCGTGACCGTGACAGAGATAGGGATCGCGAGCGCAACCGCGACAGAGATCGTGACCGCGACCGCGACAGGCACAGATCTAAAAGGTTTGTTTTTATTTGATATTTGCCTGAAACGATGTACCTACAAATCATAATAAGCATAATTATCTCAAGTTTTTTCAAAATTTTCTGAAAAGGCTGGTGGCACCAGAGTGTATGTGTGTGTGCGTGCGTGTGTGTCTGTGATTTGAAACGTAGCATCTTGCTTCTGAAATAACGCTCTTGTACTTACCTACAATACGATAAAATTATTCAGCAAAGTTCTTATAGTTCTTAGTTTTGACACTAATGCAAATAATTTTTATGTTATATGTTATTATAATATTATAGAGATAAAGATAGAGATCGCAGCAGAAGCCGTGATCGTCACAAGGAAAAGAGACTTCGTTCACGAAGTCGTAGCCGAAGTCGTGGGAGGAAATCCAAAGACAGGTCAGGACATACCTACAGCATTCTTAAAAGTATATCTCAATTTTAGATATGTGAATAGTAATAACATTTATTCAAATCATATAAGTTCTCAGTTGGGACAACAGTCTTTATTAAAATAGGTATTATTTAAAATAAACTATTTATATTCTATGGTACTTTGTGTATAGGGATGGCACAATTGCTCTGCTAGACCAAATGGTGGGCACTACAACTAAAGCTACTGCTCGACAAGTGGCTGCTCCCACAACCATCAATCCTGCTACACAAGCAGCTATATTAGCTGCCGCAGCAGTCGCGCAGGTAACAAACAAGTAGTTGAGTAGTAAGTAAATCTGGTTATTGTTACCATTAGTAGAATGTTTTTTTAAGTTTTTTATAAATGAGAGTAATCTTAACATATAATAACATTGTAACTAAGCTGAATCTGTACATTAAATATTTTTTGGAAAATCTTATTGAAATAAACATCATTATCAATACATAGGCTGTATCTATAGTTTTTAGAATTTTTGTTTGTCTGTCTGTTACCGCATCACAGAAAAACCACTGGCGGGATTTTGATAAAATTTGGTATGGTGATAGCTGGTTATCTGGGTCAACATATAGGATATTTTTTACCATGGGAAAATGTCTCATTTCTGAGAAAAGATACAAAAACTGCAATGTAAGAGTATACTAATATGTAAAACCTAAGAATTTGATTTTTGGTCATCTGAATGCGGGCAATGCTAGTATTCATAATAAAATACAGTCTCTCTTCTTTAGTAAAGTATTCCCATAGAATAGACTGACCTTTAGCATAAATAATATTGTAATTATTTCCAGCACAATGCTGAAGAAAGACAGGTAACTATTATGTGTTGAATTGAAAAAATAATATAAACTTGAAAAATTAAACACAATTTTAACATTTTTATATAATATTTTAGAAATATGTTGACTATATGGAAAGCAAAAGTTAAGTGGTATTGTTTATATTGTTAGCCTGCGGCAGTTTAGATAATATTGCAAGTAGGGCAGTAGCACTCAAACATAATATAGTTTTATCACATCTCCTCATCTCCTAGCCTCTAAATATGGTGGTTCACTGTTCTAATTACTACTTTACTTATTCTATAGTGTTGCCAGATGTCTTATAGCAAGTGCCTAAGTGGTGCGATTTAGTAGATTAGATAATAGCTCAGCTGTTATTTTTACCACTCATGTTTAATGACAGTGTGACATTTTATTCCTATTCTGACTATTTATTTTTTCTTTTATATTTAACATGTTATTACTGATAGAAAATATGTATGTATATGTTTATAAAAACAATAAATAATGATATAATAACATATGTATTGAATTATACTGGAGTTAGTATTGTGGTATATCTGGCAGCATTATGGTAGTGTTATGTGTGCGTACTAATGGTTTGGCGCCGGGCGGGCGCGGGCGGTAACAGACGTTTGTGGCGCAGCGGCGCATGGCGGCGCCGGTGCAACCCGCGGCGGCAGCGGCGGCCGCGCTGTCCGCCGCCACCGCCATCCCGCCGCCCACCTCCGTGCAGCAGAAGCTGGAGCTGCTGCAGGCGCGTACCGAGTCGCGCTACCGCGATAAGCTGCTGCTCGACCATCACCCCGACGACGACAAGGACGACGGGCAGGGTATGAAATAGTGGATGAGGAATACGTGGTACACTTTATTAGTGTAGTATGGGCGCAGAACACTAGTCCTGGGTTCGAGTCCCGGGTCGTGCCTCGTAGAGCGAGTGTCTGATCGCTGATGGGTCGTCGTTTGCGCCGGCAGGGCCGCCCGGCGAGACGGCGGCGGAGCGGCGCGCTCGCCGGCGCCGCACGCGCTGGATGGGCTCGGAGCACGACAAGACCTTCATCCCGGGGCTGCCCACAGTGCTGCCCTCCACGCTCACGCGCGAACAGGAGGAGCAGTACCTGCGTGAGTACCACACAGCAATACACTGTTTACTGTTTTAAACTGATTTATATGCATATACATTTAATATAAATTTTCTTATTCAGGTATCTTAATGCTAATACAGTTTACTTTGAATATTATTTACAGGATGTCACACTAATCCTAATACTTATAATTTTATTCTAATGCATTTGTTAGCGTTGCAGTTTAGCAGATCGACTATTATACTTATATAGGACAGGCTCTGTGATGTTTGTGATATATATTTTATTATATTTAATCTTAAATGACTACTAAAAACAAACTTTCAGAGTATTGACATTTCATACTTATTTAATGCGTATATATACTATCCTTGATCTGTCTAGTGTGATGGTTAAAAATATAGTATTTTGGTTCAGGTTCGATTCCTGGTTTAAATTATGAGCATATTTTTATTTAAATGATTATTAATTTCCTCTAGTTACAACGCATATCTAAGGGTGTCACATACCATTTAGTTTAAAATAATTATTTTGTAAACATTTAATAAAGTCTACAATTTTACTGTACTTTGTAATTTAAATAAATAACCCCTATAAAATTCATTAGTCTATATAATATTGTGATGTATGTGCGTGCATGTATGTATGTGTGAGTGTATGTGTGCGTGCGTGCGTGTGTGTGTAGGTAAGTGGGGCAATGTTCTAATGAGTGGTGTGTCCGCGGGCTAACCCCTTGCCTTGCAGTGCAGCTGCAGATCGAGGAGGTGAGCCGCAAGCTGCGCTCCGGCGACCTCGGCATCCCCGCCAACGTCGAGGAAAGGTACTCTGCCGCCCCCCGCCGCCCTCCCCGCGCGGCCCCGGCGCCCCCGCCCCCGCGCCGGCGCCCGGGCGCGCCACGCCAGGTTTTCCCCACACATTATCTAGTCACGCTCCAAGTTAGGATGGACCGTTCCATGTGAAGACTCGTAATAATCAATGTTTTCATTCGCAGGACGGTTTTCGTTTGACTCGTAACGTAACATCGCTTTCATTGACACGGTTCTGATGAGGAAAAAATAATTGAGTATTAACCATGACGACTTTCTCGACAGGAAGTTAGAGGAGTGGCAGCGGAGCCGCGCCCCTCCCTCCCCCACCCCCCATCCCCCTGCCGCCTCCCTCCCGCCCGTGAGATATCTCAATAATGCTGATGCTAATCTCTTTCCAGCGACGCAGCCTGACCGATATATTACTATTAATGATTATTTTCAGCGTTCTAATAATGTTAAAATTTCAGGTTAATATCAGAAAATAATCAATTTATTTTTCCCAGGCCGTTGTGTAGTTTAGGACCTAAGTAGCGTACATTAATAATAATGGAGCATTTTTTATTTAATTATCCTCTTTTTACTATTTTGGTAGGATATTAAATTTTACATAGAACAATATGTGCACGTAATAAAATTACATTTATAAACACTTTGATATTTTACGGTATGTATTATGTGCGAGTATTGTTCAGTGCGGGGGTCACTGCTCTGATGTAGGACGTATCATGTTACTGTATCTGAATAAATGACTTACAAATAGGAGAGTTGCTCTATGACGTACCTAGCTGCCGCCGCCCGCGCGACGCACGGCACGTGTCGCGCGGGCGGCGGCGCGACGTGCCCCGAGTGACGCCGGTGTCGCGCAGGTCGCCGTCGCCGGAGCCCATCTACTCCACGGACGGCAAGCGCCTCAACACGCGCGAGTACCGCACGCGCCGCAAGCTGGAGGAGGAGCGCCACCGTCTCGTGCAGCGCATGCAGCAGATCAACCCCGAGTTCAAGCCGCCGCCCGACTACAAGTACGTCCCCGACACAGTCGCCATAGCGTGGCTCTTGAATGTCGGTTAGGTAAAATATTCCCAGTTCCGACATGTCGGGATAATCTATTTGTTTTATCGCAGGCCACCTATCATACGCGTGCACGACAAGGTGATGATCCCGCAGGAGGAGCACCCGGACATCAACTTCGTCGGGCTGCTCATCGGCCCGCGCGGGAATACGCTTAAAGGTAACTTATTGTCACTCGACATCTTTAATGGTCGCTCGCTAACTTACGAGTACGTTTCAAAGTATAGGTTTGACTCATGAACAAACGGTTTGTTACAGCGATGGAGAAAGAGACAGGAGCCAAGATAATAATCCGCGGCAAGGGGTCGGTGAAGGAGGGCAAGGTGGGGCGCAAGGACGGGCAGCCGCTGCCGGGCGAGGACGAGCCGCTGCACGCCTACATCACCGCCACCAATGCCGACTGCGTCAAGAAGGCCGTCGAGAAGGTCAACTAGTTGTTTTCTCTCTTTGTGTTACATACATACAACTTACAGGCAGACACTTTTGTTTATTTTTAATATGTAGTGTTTACTCTTAATAATGTTAACGTTATTTAAATACGTCTGGTTTTTTTTAATTCTTTACAGGCGTAAAGGACTCATTGAATCATTAAAAAAACATGTTACATCAAGAATTTACCACGCTAATAAAAGAAGTAACAAATTATTACAGAAAAAATATTTTAAGTATTTAATCACGAGTAAGAATATTTAATGTCGATATCAATGTATTATTATTTATTTGAACGTATTAGAAAAAAATAGATAAATTATCATTTACCTACCCCGTCGTAACGACCCTGCTGTGACCCGTGTGTGTGTGTGTGCGCGCAGATCAAGGAGGTGATCCGGCAGGGCGTGGAGGTGCCGGAGGGGCAGAACGACCTGCGCCGCATGCAGCTGCGCGAGCTGGCGCAGCTCAACGGTACACTGCGCGAGAGCGACGCACCGCGCTGCGCCAACTGCTCCGCCGCCGACCACAAGACCTGGCTCGTGAGTCCGCCCCCCCGCACTGCTGCTACTCTATACCGAATATGATCATTATGATTTCTATATGATAAACACAAAAGAATAGTCATTGTCACATTACTCGAACGTAATGTATTATAATTGATATCGCTTCCTGCTTGTGAAAGTATGTTTAAAATCGGATCTATAATTTCAGAGATTACCCCATACGTCCACACTTACATGTTTATAGTATTAGTGTACATTAATTTTGCATTTTGCACCGTGAATGTTATATATGAACGAATGCCCCGTCGCAGTGCCCCGACAAGCCCAACGTGACCAACAGCATCGTGTGCTCGTCGTGCGGCGGCGCCGGCCACATCGCGCGCGACTGCCGCGCCAAGCGCCCCGGCCACGCGCCGCCCGCGCTCGCGCACGACAAGGTCAACTGCTCACATTTTTTACCAATTTTTTATTACATTTCAAAATTTCAAATAAGTAATTTTGTTTTGTGCCAGTAGAACTGTCTCCTGAGTCGATGCTAATTTTTTACTGATCGATTGCATTGAATCTTTAATTTCACAATTAAGATATGCTTCGTATAAGGTGCTTTGATAAAGTTATTAGTCGTTTTATATTCATTTGCAATCATTACATTTCATGAAAATAATAATTATTAATTTTATTGTCATTAGAATATATTCTGTTGACTTAAAGAAGCAGAATGAAGAAAAAAATAGCAAATGTAATGTCAAATGTGTATGGTATGTTGAACGTGTATGATCGACGATGTATGATACAAATAGTAACACGTGTTGTATGCTCGCGCAGGCCAAGATCGACGAGGAGTACATGTCCCTGATGGCGGAGCTGGGCGAGGCGCCGCCGGGTGTGGGGCCGGGCGCCGGGTCGCGGCGCCCCGCGCACGCGCCCTTCGCGCCCGCGCCGCCGCCGCGCGCCATCATGCCGGCGCCGCCCGCGCCCTTCGCGCACGCCATGCAGCACGCGCCCCACGCGCCCTGGCTAGGTGATACCATGCAGGCCCCGATACACAGTATCCGAGCGTAGGACTGAGAAATCCTACCATTTTATTTGTAGGACGATTTGATTATTCAAATGTGCATATTTTCAAATCAACCGGTTATTATTAATAAATTTTATGACGTTGTTACTTTAACAAGTTCAGAGAGGGGGACGATTTAAACCAAACAATATATTTTGTATGACAACATTTTTTAACCCCCCACGCAAAAACGACGGGGTGTTATAAGTTTGCCGTGTCTGTGTGTGTCTTTGGCATCGTAGCTCCTGGACGGATGAACCGATTTTGATTTTGTCCTTTTTTGTTTGAAAGGTGAATTAGTCGTAAATGGTCTTAGCTATGTTTGATGAAAATCGGTCCGAGATGGTCCAAGATTTATTTTCCTGTGTTTAATGTAGGATTATCTCAAAATTACGCCTTAAAACAATCTGTTAGTAATAAATTTTAGACAATCACCATTTTTATATGTTCCGTAAGAAGCCACAATTGTGTCTATCACTATCAAATTCTCGTAGAAAGAATAGTTGGGCGTCTCGCCAAAATGAAACTACTCACGAAGTTTTAGCTATTAATCATTAAAAATCCATTGGGGGACTGTAGACTAAAACTTAATATGTACTTTTATAAATTTTTGGGAATATTTATTTTAAACTATGATCACAATAATACCAACACAAATGTAGTACAAAGCAAGTATTTTAAAGAAATGTAACCCCTCGTAATGAGCGGGTACGCCCGCGCCCAGCTGTGGGACGTTAAAATAAAAAGGGCTAAATACAAGTAATGTAACTACCTCCGTTAGATCATAATTAAAAATATAATTTTTGTACTCTGGTGCCATTTCTCTTTTCTTTCAAATTATGTATTTTCATTTCATTGTTCAATTTTGTGGATAAACTTCAATTGTAATAACTATAACTTTTGAGACATCACAAACCCTAGTCGCTCTCGTGACGTTTGCTGTAAAACGTTGAGATAAAAAAGTTAAAATGGATCCACGAAAAAATGATTTTCACTCAGATCTGTTATAAATGTGTAAATATAATCGTATGTCTGTTGCATCGTCCAGCAGGCGGCGCCGGCGCGGGCGCCAGCGTGAGCGCGGCGCAGCCCCCGCCGCCCGGCAGCGCGCCGCCCTTCCCGCCGCCGCCGCCGCCGCACCAGGTCACTCGTCACCACCGCCTCTCACTTTATACTTTGTACAACAAACAAACAAATACAATGATGACTAAACCTTTGCCTACAAGTACACTACGAGTACTATTCATTCGACGTTCAAAATGTTAAATGAACACTTAATATATATTGTGCTGCGTCGAGAGATTCTCTCGTCTCCAGTAGAGACCATGCTATGGAGATTTCTTTACTTATAAAATTAGATGTGTACCTCAAAGAGCACATATAATAATATGTATGTTTTAATTTTCTAAATTATAAATTATGAATAAGTGTAATAAAAATATATATTAATAACGACATACCCTCGCTTTATCAGCTCCATTCCTGGGTGTCTAACAGTAGCCTATGTGCTACTCCTCATAAGCTATCTGTATTCTGAATTTCATTCAAAATCGTTCAGCCGTTTCAATGTGAAACGGTAATAAAAATACACACATACACTAAATTATGCATTCGTAAGTAGTAGCGATGTGCTCTAACCGCCGCGTGGTGTCCGCAGGGCGACACGCCGGGCCCGCCCGCGCCCGCGCACCCGCCGCCGCCGCCGCCTGGTGAGAGACTACACAAAAGCTTTTATTTGAACATTCAAATACATTTTTGTAACATATTCCTTGTATTTTACAGTAAACATTTGTATTCAAAAATGTAGTTTAAAAAATAACACACTTATGGTTATTTTAATGTCGCGCGCACAAAGTGGAAAGTTTTAAACTAGCTACTCAATAAATCCACTGTCCGTGTGCTGATTGCATCTCTAATCGGCCAGAGATCAGATGTTACGTGCACAAAGTTGCAAATCAATACAACAATTACAAATTTAGATTTTATTTCACGCTTGAAATGTAGCGAGTACTAATTATTTGTCGTCTCGCAGGCATGATGGGCATGGGCGGCGCGGGCTGGCGCGGCGCCTTCGGCCCGCCGTGGGCCGCGCCGCCCGCCGCCTTCTTGGCGCCGCCGCCGCCGCCGCCACCCGTCTCCTCCTCCTAGCCGCCCACACCCACACCCACTACGCCCCACACCACAGAATACTAATCCATACAGTAGACGATCGCCCATTGACTTTAAAGGAAATACTGTAAAATGCAAGGCATTTCAAAACTTATTATTTCTCATAGTGAATTCGTTCGAAGTTAAAGCTCTGCAGTGCCTTCTCGTGGCAAGTTACAGTATATCCGTCAACCCCAAAGCCGTTTCCCGACTGGCATACAAAAGTAAGTATGACGGACGCGCGGTGGCCCCGTCTAGAGATCTTCGTTAAACATTGTTGTATGGATAATTGACTGAGCTCGTTCACTCTACACTTAAAAGTAAAATATTTTATAATCTATTATATATTATTGAGTGATTTGAAATATGTATGTTGTAAAGATTTTGGCGCGACACTAACAATAATTTATGACAGCAGTAAATTTTTTTTACATTTTTAATAATTCATTTCAAGTAACCATAAAATGAAATCGGTGACGTGAGAGTATTGCCAGCTCCTCCAACTAAAATCTATAGTAATAAAAAAAATAGTGTTATTAAATTATTCTTATACTACAACCTACATTGTATATTTTTACAATTTAATCTAATACAGACCTCGGGGACTAGTGTGGTGACTGGACGCTAGTAGCTGTCTATAGGTCCCTTAAAAGCCGGCAACGCATTCGCAACTCCTCTTGTGTTGCAGATGTCCATGAGCGACGATAGCCACTTACCATCAGGTGGATCGTTTGCCCCTTTTTTTCTATAAAAAAAAGCTAAATAATATATATCATCATGAGGAGACAATGATCATTTAATTATGACGTTAATAAACCACAGCGCGTGTGCGACACACACACACACACACTAGCACAAAGCAATCACCCGCGGCGCGGCGGAGTACGTCATTAGTCCACATTTTTTCTACACAATAGAATAAATTTAATTAAATACTTTTTTGTTTTATTTTATACCCTTGTCACGTCTATACAGATAAATAAAATTGAAGTGTCTGTTTATAATATCAAAATAACAGCTAAGTGCATATGGAATTATATACGGTATTTATAAGAAAAACATAATTTTTAAAATTTTTGTCTGTTTGTTCCGGCTAATTTCATGTAACGATTTGTTATTATAGTTGTGTTAAATTAACAAGATTAAGAAATTAGATGTCAAAAATGTGTATGAATGTTTTAAAAAATATTATATGAGTGAAGGAATAATATGCTCGTAAATCACAATAATTTTATTGATTACTAGCGGCTCACCCTCGCTTCGCACGGGTTCACCTCTAGAAAAGCACGAACATCTATCCCACGGGAATCGTTCATTTTTCCGGAATAAAAATAAGTAACCTGTTGTTTGACCTGAAATATAAGGTATCAGCATGCCAAATTTTACTAAATTAGGTGCATAAGTTGTGTACTGAGCTGTATAAGTTACTATAATTTTTTTACTATCCCACGGGAACTCTTTAATTTTCCGGAATGAAAAGTATCTAAGATGTTGCCCGGGGATATAAGGTACCACCATGCAAAATTTCATTTAAATAGGTCCAATAGATCCGGAGATTAGCCCGTACAAAGAGAAAAACAGATAAACAGCTCGCTTGGGTTCGTCCATACCTACGAATATGTTGTATTATCTCTTTAACCATTTGTCCAAATTATATGCAGTAAAAGGGAAAAGTCTTCTATTTTAAACATTGTAGACGATAAATTTACTTATTTTGATAAGAATTCATAATTGTTGATAATATGACCAATAAACATGACCTACCGATTTAAATGATTTTTTTAATATAAAAAACTACTTTTTGTGACTTAAATATAAAAGTTATACACATATGCTGTCGCTGACTTTTTTGTAGGCATTATTAAGCTCTACAACTTTTCTCTAGAACATAATCATATATCTCTCATCGTTAAGGCAGCGTTCGTAAGAAACGTTTTCGTTCGACCGTTTTTTCTCCGACTTACTTTGCAAATCCGACTACCACGAAAAAGCCTTTTCATTTTTCGGGTTAATATATAGCCTATGACACTCAGAAAGAACGTGGCTTTCTATTGGTAAAAGAATTTTGAAAATCGGTTCAGTAGATCCAGAGATTACCCCCTACAACGTCACAAACTCACAAGATCACAAACTTTACCTCTTTATAATATTAGTATAGAAAACAGCTTAACTATTTTCGAATTAATGACATCTATTATTTAGTCAACCAAAAAAATATAGCCCGAAGAGTAGCCCGAATTAACACCGTCCAATTTCTTTGTATGGGATGAGGCATCTGTACTAGTACTATATGATCTGTGTCCGAACACAGAGGCTGTACGAGATCTTATAATTAAATAAAAATCAGGTCTTCATTCAGAAAATATACTTATCTACTGCAATCTTGAAATTCTATAATAATACGACCTATAAATTATAATTCATAATTACATGCTTCTACTGGCTTTTAAAATATTTGGTTATAGTTTGTGACAGTATGCTAACATATTTTGTTGTTTTAACACCTTTTTTTTTTTTTTTTTTTAACGTTGGGAAATGCATTTACGCACGACGTGTGGGACTCACCGGCGTAATACAGCCAGTACTACCCACTAAAACCCAACAAAACCTTCCCCCGTCTTAATGGGGCGTCGCAGGATCGCTTACGCATTCAACTACGACGCCCCGATGGCAGGTCTGCCGAAGCAGACCACCACAACCATGGGGTTGCTCCACAGTCCACTCTGCTATCAGAGAAGTACCAGGAGCAACCCGCATGGTACACCGCCCCCCGAAGAGGGCCACCTCCCACCGCCCACCGAAGTGGGCAACCTCCCTGTGCGTTTCTTAGCTTCGCTACTGCTACTGAGCCCCCCCACCACGACAAGGTGAACGCACGTTGGGGGGGTTGTTTTAACACCTTGGCCAAGGTTGTCTTAAGCCACGCAGGGGCCCATGTGGGCACACATCAATTTTGGGACCCTTTAGAAAGTTAAAAAAATATGAATGATGAAATGAAAATTAACTTTATTGAATTAAATTTATATTTTTTACAAGCACTTTTGAATTGTCAATTTAATTTAACGAACGTCAATGAAGTCGGTCCTTTAGGAAGCTACCTTGGCTCGAAAGGCAGTTCTGCTGAGTAGAGCATCGCCGGGATAAACTCAACAAGTGCTCTTTTTACAAATCAAATTATCGTATTTAATATATTACAGCTATACCGCAAATGATTTATCTTAATTCCACACAATTCCATCAATAAGAAACTCTCGAACAAAGAATTTACTTTATATTGTTGAAAAGGTAAACCTAAGGTTGTCTGTGGAATTTTATTATGAATAAGTATACAACTGCGCGAAGAGCTTATTCACTTTTTAGGAAAATAAAAGAATAAGTACAGATTTGTAAAATAAATATTGATTTCATTTCTATAGCATTGCCCCAAAGAAGTATCTCAAAAGATAACATACTATAATAATAACTAAAATATACAAGTCAGGCAGTGCATGTGGCCGTCCGTTCGGCGACTGACTTTTCCTATTACAAAGAGTGGAGCTGAGTTTACCCGCTAGTGTCAAGAGATGAGGGTCCACTGAAGCTTTGAATCTGTAAATGTTTTACCTTTTTTTTTCTTTTTTTTATCGTCGGGAAATGCATTAACGCATACCACCTGATCCCCCAGGTGGTGATGTGGGGCTCACCGGCTAGAAGAGCCGGTACTACCCACTAAAACCCGACATCCCTTCCCCCCGCCTTAGTGGGACGCCGCAGGATCGCTTGCGCATAACTACTACGGCGCCCCGGCGGCAGGTCTGCCTAAACGCTAGGCAGACCACCAAACCAATGGGGCTGCTCCACAGTCAACTCTGCTACGCCAGAGAGGTACTCAGAGCAGCCCCATTAAACCAAACGCCGCCCACCGAAGTGGGCCACCTCCAATCGGCTGCAGAGGACAGGGAGAACGGCGCACCGAAATACCGGCACTCCTCTCCCACCGCGGCGTACCCCTCCGCCGGATGCGGGCCTGCGACCACAGTCCCGCAACCGGCACCCATCATCCGGTTGTGGGACCAAGCGGTCCCACCACCGGTGGCCGCAACGTCTTCGGCTCGAGGCCTAGACGAGCGGCCCCACCCAAGCCATTTGGTCCGCGCCGGATTTCTCCGGTACCACCCGCCGCCCTAAGCGGGTGGCATTCCCCTATCCGCCACCTGGGGACGCGCCCGGTAGGAGTTGGCTTTTCCCCCGGGTGTAAATGTTATACCTAAAAATACTGCTAATTCAGTTATTTTCAGTGTTTCATTATTCAGAACTAGACCAAAATTTTGCTTTTGTTACGTTAGGTAATGCAATTTGACATATTTTTATTTTTGCTTTACTTTTAGATTTAGCTTTTTTTTGGCTAACGTAGAATAAGTTCAACTCTAAACTAGCGAAGTACATATGTGTGACAATGCACTGATTACTTCATATAATTCAGTTTACTACGTTCGATTCTTCTTTACATAGGTAAATCAATAATTTATAGTAAGTATAAGTAAGAACCAAGATGCTTGTGGAACACCCATCCTTAAAGGAGATCTAGAAGATTTCACATTATTTAACCCTCTGTACTCTCTGATTGAGGTAAGGAACACCGAGAACAAACGCAGCGTCCTGTATGCCATAGCGATTCAGTTCAAGCAAGAAGGTTTAATGATCAAAACAATCAAAGATTTTAAGAGAAATGAGAAAAATCCCTATAGAATTCTGTGATGTACTCCATGCATCGTAATTTCTAAATGAGCCTAAAAAGCGCAGTATCCGTATCAATTACCTTTGGGAAAATCATGCTGTTCACTATGCATAATTTTGTCACAATAAAGAAGCAAGGTAGTGGTAGCCCAGTGTTAACGCGCTCGCTTAGGAAACCGAGTGAAACGGGTTAAATCCCGTATCTCGCACCTCTGATATTTCCATGTGCGAATCATTTAAAACATGATTACCACTTATCTTAACGGTGAAAGAAAACATCGTGAGGAAACCTGCATGTCTGAGACCTATTAATTTTTCGTAAGTCATGTAAGTTCACCAACCAGCACTTGGCCAGCGTGTTTAGACTATGTCCTGACCCCCTCGTATTGATGAGTCGATTTTACTATAGATGTTTTTTTATTTCTAATTTTGAAAATATTACGAAATCTGGCCTGGTTTTATATTCATTTAAACCTTCATTTAATTATAAAATTAAATGAAGGTTTTTTAATGTTACATTTTATCACAAACTATTTTTTGTTATTTATTATCTGCAATCAGTTTAACTATAAGCAAATTGTGTGAGGGTACTTGTCCGTCGAGTGTGCTCTCCATTGAGAACATCTACTTATTTATTTCCAATGGACTCAGTCGCCACTGATTATGTGCTTCCTTTTGAAAATTTTGTTATAGCCTCGACGTGTAAGTTGTGAAGCTAGAGGATTGTGGTGATTTTGCAGTTTTCGTCTTTCACAGTAGACATGTTGAGGTGATCGTGGATTTCATTGTTGGTCACAAACCATGGCGAGTTGCCAATATTGCGGAGGATCACATTCTGCATTATTTTTTTTAGCAATTAACAATTTATTTTAGCGAAACGTTCATGGTCAATCTAGGATGTCACAAGTCAAATTAGGGACCTTTATACCTCACCATTAATGTTAAATAAAAATTCAAATATGTATTTCGTATTTTGTATAATTGTTTCCTGTTACATATCATTTATAAATAAAAAAATCATCATGCCAGTAGCGCGACCAACAGAGAACGATTGCAAAAATATATCTAAATAACTTATTATCTAATATATAGATAGCATCAAATAAACTGAGAGCGGGGGTCCCTGCGTCCGAGCGCGCGTGCGCGGGGCGAGGCGCGCGGGGCCGGGACGCGGCGCGCGGGGCCGGGGCGCGGCACGCGGGGCGCGGCACGCGGGGCGCGGTCGGGCGGCGCGCCGGGACTTCTCAATAAATAAATAAGGAACCACAGAGACTGCGCCGCGCTCCGACGGAACGACAGACAAGAAACGTACACTATTCCGCTCCTTCTCAATTATTTCTACTTATTCATACTATAGTATCAAATCTATATTACTTTGAAGATATAATTCATCTCACACATGGCAGTGCGAGGGCGCGGCGCCGGACGAGATACACGTCATATATAGATATAATATGATAGATATATGTTTAACGATACTTTCACGATTCCGCGGAGCGAATCTGGAGCCGTGCCGTCGCACATGCATTAATCTCATACTAAATGCTCGGCGGCGCGCCCCGCCCGCCCGCGGGGGCGGAGCGAGCTCGCCGTGGGTTATTTCAACCAGTCTCCAAATAGTTCATATCACAATTTCATTCACATAAATATTAAAAAATTAGTATAGTTGTAAATGTAAAAAATCTGAGTGAAGTCACTTTGAAAAAAATAATAATCTTGAACACGTTTTGAGATTAATAATGATTAGATCTTGAGATATGTTAAGTTTAAGTACAACACCTCATCAATATAAATTAAATGATTCAATTTGATAATCTAAAGTCGGCTGTGAATAATAAGCGAAAAAGAAATTTGTTGAAGGTGTCGAGGGGTCGGTGCGCGGGGCGCGGGCGCCGCAGGGTGGGCGGCCGCGGGGCGGGCCGCAGGGCGGGCGGGGGCGGGGCTCATCGCGCCTCCTTGGCGGTGAGCTTCTCGATGAGCTCCTGCAGCGGCGCCAGCTCTCGTCGCTCGATTAGATTAAATTCCTGTAACATGGCGGTATAACACCAACTCAATAATTCTGCTATTTTTAGGTTTACACTGAAATCAAAAGTTGAGTATGCTAGTTATCGTCGTACTATTTTTGTTTACTTGAATAGACGATAGATGGCTCTAAACCACCAAATTATTTAATTTTTAAAGGTATACATATTGAGGAAAACATGAGGAAATTTTTACTGCACTTCATTAAACACATTTCAGTCACTATTATAACCGTTCCAACCATGCTAAACAACTCATAAAAACAAAACATCGCCATCTGTGACTGTACTACTACCCACACCTCAATTCCTTCTCTGGCCTAATGGCTGATTTTTCATTAAATCAGTCAAACTATGTAAAGTTGATTTATGAGCCCGTTCTATTTTTCTTTGAATTTTTTCCTTTCATAATATGATAAAAGCTTTAATAACGAATCGATTCCTACATAAAACACCATCGATTGATATTTGAGCTAATTTTTCTTTGTTTCTGATGAGACCCGAAGTAAATACGAAATTATGTTTATTGATTAATACTTTTTCACGAACGACAAACCAACGTAGTTTGCGTTAAAATATCATAATAAAAAATGCGTTTGTAATTTCAAAAAAGATCTCGAATTCTTTATTGTACGTGAGTCTAGATAGTTTTAATACACCCCGGTGAACAATATTAGCAAATTTATTTGAAAAATACCTTTACATGGGCGAAAGTGTAATGGACTGTGTCGAGCAACCTCCCGCATGAACAAGGTTACCTGGACAAAGAATATGAAGTGTTTGAAGGAGGTGTTGAGGTGCGCCTCCTCGCCGAGCTGCACCACCTCGGGGAAGTGCTGGTGGTAGATGTGCGCGTACACGCGGAACAGCCGCTTCAGGATCGTCTTCGCCATCGACAGGAAGTTCTTCGGGAACGGCACGCCTGCGCCCACAACCGCCGCACGTTACTCGGAGGCAGCAGTTACGCTTATACAGAATGGAACAAACCGATGGGACATGGAAGAAAAGTACCTTAAATATTGAAGTTATCAAGATTTACTCAACGGAATCATTATTTTATTTTTTTAAATAAGATTAACTGCATTTTATATTCTTTTTAAAACACGTGGCCTGAACCGGTAATCGAACCAACTGAAAATTCAATAAGGTACACTGTCACTATTTTATCGCATTAATGTACAGTGTATGGCAAGGATGAAATGTCTCGAATGAAAATTGTATGTTTCAATTAACGATGTAGAGTCAGGTACCTATAATTTGTAAGATTTTATCGTTTTCTTCAATTCTAAGAAGCAATATTTGTTCGAGAGATTTTATCCTTCCCATAGACTCAATTGATTAATTTGATAAAATAATGACGGTGTCCTTTTTTGCATTTTTATTTTTTTCGATTCCCGGTTCAAGTAAGCTTTTTTTAGAAAAAAAAATTAAATGCAGTTATGATTATTTTTAAAAATAAAGAAATGTTTCCTTTGAGTAAATCTTGATAACTTCAATATTTAAGGTACCTTTCTTCCATGTTCCATCCATTTCTTCCACCTGTATACTTGTATACTGTTTTTTTAAACACCATTTTTATATCGTTATTTTATTATTGAGTTGTTTACTCAGACTGGATCAATATTTTTATCACTTTATGTTCCGATGTATTTGACTTGGATTAAAGATTTTTATTATGATTATGTATTATGTTAGACTTCTGGTTACTCGAATGTTTGTGATCATTTTAGAGATATAAGACATTAAATGAAATTAGTCCGATTTATTTCGAGTTCAGTTAGTTCTAGCACAGTTGTTTATAAATATAAAGCAGGAGAAGATTGCATGTTTTACATATAAATATAAATAGAATTAGGAACGGAAATGAATTTGCAGACAGTAACTAATTAGCTTAGCGGGGTCTATTGTGCTACTCCTTGCACAACTTTTTTTATTACATGTTAACAGATGTATAGACCTATTTTGGAAGGGAAGAGCGTCTCGTCGTCGAGTTGGTCCTGCGCCCAGGTCATGAGGTAGTCGATGTACTTGGGCGCGGAGCACTTGATGGGTTTCTTGACGGTGTGTCCGTCCGCCCAGTGGTACTCGTACTTGGGCCCCGCCGACATCACCGCGCATGACTCCTCCGTGCAGAACTCCGTGATGGTACCGTACAGCATGTTGATCTGGTTGAAGAAGTCCACCGCTGGAATTTCATTATTTTTATTTATTACTGCACTTTACAATGTAAATAAATAAAAATATTTTATTTGCATGCAGAGGTTATAGTGTTGACAAAATTTGTGGTTGAGATCCCATTTTAAGCAAGTTATTTTTGCCTGTATTAGGAGACCCTACCCTTTCATAACAAAATGTATAGATTTAATCCTTAATCCAAATATACAAGATAAATTAAATACAACAACAAACAACAAACTTAAATAGGTTACAAAGTTAATATAGATGTAAATTAGTAGGTACAATATAATATGAGGAGCGTCGTAAATCATATTTGTGTTTTTTGTCTCATCATCATCATCATCATCATGTTCAGCCTGTTTTCGTCCACTGCTGGACATAGGCCTCTCCTATGGCACGCCACTGAGCTCGATCTTCAGCTCTACGCATCCAACCGCTGTCAGCCAGTTTACGTATGTCGTCGCTCCACCTAGCTGGAGGGCGTCCTACACTACGTTTGCCGAGCCGTGGTCTCCACTCTAGAACCCGTCTACTCCAACGGTCATCGGTTCTGCGACATATGTGACCAGCCCACTGCCACTTCAACTTGCTAATTCTTTGGGCTATGTCGATGACTCTGGTTCTCTGTCGGATCTCTTCATTTCGAATCCGATCCTTCAGAGAAACTCCGAGCATAGCCCTCTCCATAGCACGCTGAGCGACCTTAAATTGGTGGACCAATCGCACCGTCAGTGTCCACGTCTCGGCTCCGTATGTCATAACAGGTAGGACGCACTCGTTAAAGACCTTTGTCTTTAAGCTTTGTGGTATTGGCGACGAAAAGACCCGACGAAGTTTATTGAATGCTGCCCATCCCAGCTGTATTCTTCTTTGAGCTTCTTTCTCGAAGTAGTTTTTACTGAATTGCAGTAATTGCCCAAGGTAGATGTAGTCTTGTACTACTTCGAGAGTTGTTCCATTGAGAGCAATCGGTCCCGGTGTTACATGTGTATTGAACATGACCTTGGTTTTGTCCAAATTCATCCGGAGACCGATGTGTTTTGAAGAATCAGCTAGGCTTTGCAGCATGTGTTGCAGGTCTTCCACGGTTTCAGCCATGATGACGATGTCGTCTGCAAATCTCAAGTGCGAAATGTACTCACCGTTTATGTTTATTCCACGTCCTTTCCAGTCCAGACTCTTAAACATATCCTCCAGTGCAGTTGTGAACAATTTGGGGGAAATTACGTCCCCTTGTCTCACTCCTCGATGCAGGAAGATAGGTTCAGACTGCTGGTTCTGGACTTGGACGGACATTGTTGCGGCGTCATACAGACATTTCAACACTTGAATATATCGCCAATCGACTTGGCACCGTTGCAAAGACTCTAAAACAGACCAGGTTTCGATAGTGTCAAAGGCTTTCTCATAGTCTACAAATGCTAGACACAAGGGCTCATTATACTCTTCTTGCTTCTGTATAATCTGCCGCACTGTGTGAATGTGATCTATGGTGCCGTATCCACTTCGAAAACCAGCCTGTTCAGAGGGTTGGAAATCGTCGAGTCTACGCGTGAGACGATTCGTGATAACTCTAGAAAACAACTTATAGATATGGCTTAAGAGAGAGATAGGTCGATAGTTTTTCAGCAGGGTTTTGTCACCCTTTTTGAAGAACAAGACGACCAAACTCGTGCTCCATGCCTTAGGAGTTCTCCCCGAAAAGAGGACGGAATTAAATAAGCGCTGGAGTTGTTTTAGCGCAAGTGTTCCACCTGCTTTTAGGAGCTCCGTTGTAATTCCATCCTCCCCGGGGGCTTTTCCATTTTTAAGTTGTTTTAGAGCCAACACGATTTCGTCTAGGCTGACTTCTGGCAGGTCTTCTGTGTAGTGGCGGGTAAGCGTGGCTCTGGGATCTTCGTTATTAGACGTGGGACAGGGCGCTTGCGATGTATATAGGCGACCATAGAAGTCCTGAACTTCTTTCAGAATCTCCGGCTTAGAAACGACGACTTTTCCGCTAGTTGTGGTCAGCTTCGTCAGATGGCTTCGTCCCAGCTTCTGAACAAAGACTTTGGACCCCCGATTTTTCTCAATAGCTTCCTTGATGGAGCATGTATTGGAGTTTCGGAGGTCACGTCTTACCAGCTTCGATATTCTTTTGTTCAAAGCTCGCTGGTTTGACGGAGTAACTGCGGTATCTTCACGTCGCTTCTTCATTAGCTGCAGAGATTCCTCAGAGAGTTTGGACGTCTTACCGGTGCGTTGCATCTTGCAGATCTTAGTCCCTTCTTCCCGGAGAATACCCACTACTTGGTCGAGGTCTTGGTCAATGTCAACGTCTATTGTGGTTTCCAGGGCAGCGAATCGGTTCTCCAGTTTTAGCTGGAACGTTTCAGACCCAGCAGGGATTTGAAGCATATTGGGCCGGAGCGTAGACTTTATCAAACGGTCCCGTTCAAGCTTGTAATCAATACCTAGAGTGCCTCGGACGAGTCGGTGATCGCTTCCGGTGTTGAACCTATTGATCACGGAGACATCTCTAAATATGCGCTTCTTGTCCGTCATAATAAAGTCTATCTCATTTTTTGTCATAGAATCGGGGCTTCGCCAGGTCCACTTTCGGTGGGTCTGTTTCTTAAAGAAGGAATTCATCAAGAACAACCCCTCTTTTTCCAGAAAGTTGACAAGCATTTGCCCCCTATGATTTCTGCTTCCAAATCCATGTGGCCCTACTACCGATTCACCGCTTGTTTGTACTCCCACTTTTGCGTTGAGGTCCCCCATGACAACATTAAAGTGGGCCTTATAGGTGGTATGTAAGGCTTTTGAGATATCTTCGTACATCTCTTCCACTTCGTCATCCGAGTGTGTCCAGGTCGGCGCGTACACTTGGATAACCTTGAGGCTATACCTCTCGGTTAGCTTGATCACAAGGTATGCAACCCTTGGTGATACACTGGAGATTTCTATAACGTTGCCAGATAGACCCTTGTGAATTAAGAACCCGACACCGCCTTGGGATGGTTGGTCTCCCTCTCTAAAATACATAAGATGGCCCGATTCTAAAGTTACGGTGTCCTCTCCCTTTCTTCGAACTTCACATAACCCCAGGATGTGCCACCTTATGTTTTTTAGTTCTTCCTCTAATTGTGCCAGACGTTCGTCGAGCCGTAGCGTGCGTCCATTAAACGTAGCCAGCGTCAGTCGTTGTTGGCGGCCTACCGTAGCCCGGGGATTCTTAGCACCCCCTACCCCGCCGTTACCATGGCCGCCGCCTTGGCCAGGAATAGCGAGGCGACCGGGAACTAGGGGCCGTTTCGTTCGTAAGCTTGCCATAGATTGTTATGCCCATAATCGCCACGCTGGGCAGGCGGGTTGGCGATCGCAGAGCGTAGCTTCTTGTACCGGTGACGCTGCTGCCCGTCACAGGTCCATGGCATTTAACTACGCTGTTTTCCAGAGGTTATACCGCCGTCTATTCGGTCGTCAGAGCCTCGTTCGTTGTTTAGCAGGATGCACCGCGTGCAGGTGAGGTTGACTTGGAGTACTGAGGTGGAATTTGTACTCCTTTACATCCCCCAAGTTTTTTGTCTAAAAATCTAAAAATATGGCAAAGTTCATGGTTTTTTAATTAAGAGTTAAACAAAATCTATCAATTTATTGATGTTAGCATCACTGTTTGGAAACCTAAATTCTGCATTCGTGACTGTGGTACATGTTGAGTTATTAAAAAAAAGAAAATGGATATATCGGTTACTGTCCAAACCAACTGGATATATCGGTTTTTGATAAAACACTGTAGGATATATTTAAACTCGAAATTAGATATATCGGTTTTTGACTGAATCAAAAGAGTCAACAATTTGAAGAATGTTAGGGATTTATGGGTATCTGTTCCGATCGCCATCGTTCTTTATTATGATTGATGTAATTATCGGTTTATGTTCAGATCCCGGATTTCGCGGACGGATTTAGAGCGGATTTATCAGTTTTCGACCAGGTTACATTAACCATAAAGCAAGATATGTATGAGAACAACCAATTGGAATCATTTAAAAAAATGGCAAAATGTGATTTATCGGTTTTATTTCTGACGCTTCTCATATAGTCTTTCAAATTTAAGTAGTAATAAAAATTTGCGTGCATATGTGTGTATGTGTGTGCGTGAATGAGTATTTAATGAATATGTTGTAACAGTGTTTCAGTATCATGGTAACTAAGAGTTTTTATGCAATCTATTAATGTATTTTTGCATTTATAGTAATTATAGGAGTAAACATAAATGATTCTGTTAATTTTATTATATAATTGTGCAGATCTTTTATTGAATTGCATTGACGCAAACATTGTTCTTGTTTGAGGGATTTGTTTTTTTTTATTGTTTTTATAAATTATAAAAAAATGGTAAATCTTTTTTACAAAGTGTGAGATTTAGAAAAAGTAGTAAGAACTAGCATTCTCTAATATATTTCTTTGAACTATAATTGATATTCCACAAAAATTGTTTTATAACAAACAAGGTACAACTCCTAAATCACTAAAATATAAACATTCCACGCTTGAAGTACAATATATTAATTTTAAAACAGATTTATAAAATGACTCCCTATGGAGAATGACTCAGTTTAAACTTTGTTACAGTAAAGATTATAAATACATAACTCATAAGGATCGAACAGTTGTTCTTGTTTCATTTAAAATTACCAACGTAGTTTTATTATTTTATGATTTTACTCATTTAAATCTCTGGTACATTTGGTGTATTACACAAAGGCTCTAGGTTGTTTGTATGACATCATTTTCCAACACTAACACTCTGGCCATTCTCCCTACCTTTGTTTGTATGTTTTGCACCAATTACTTTTAATTAACAATTACCGATCTTTGCACATATCTATGTGAAACTTTATTTAAAATGTATATATATATGGTTTTTCATTTTTATGAATATGGTGACAATCAGGTTAAAAGATTAAAACATACAGCTGATGAATTGAGAAGCTCCTCCTTTTTGAAGTTAGTCAAAAAGAAAAACCCAACTGAACATAAAGTTTTGGTGTTATATGTTTTGAGTAACAATATTTAGTATTGTTGTAGTTTGAATACATTCTTAAAACAAAGATATCACTGATTTCCCATCCCCTATCAACTCAATTACTGACTCATGAAATATTTTTTTTACAAATCATGAATGTGTAGATAATAATTTGTATGTACTTACTATTAACAGCAACCCATTCATTCAAATCTTCCCCTTCAGGTAACATTACGGCAAGGCGTAGATTGCCTGAGCCAAGTGTTGCAGCAGCATGTCTCATTAAATCATATTGATGGGTTCCTTCAGGAATGTTTTTCTTTGGTTTAAAGGTTTTATTTGATCGACTCCCGCTGAAAAGCAATTCGAATATTCTTTAAATTATTATTAAAATTTTCATGATTGTTTTATATGTTAAAACTTCCATTTATTATATAATTTTACATTATTTGCTAGCGTAAAGGATACTTCTTCCTATATGCTTTATATACTATAAAATCAATGCATTATGCTAAAAATTGTTGGATGACAACAAATTAATCATATCATTGACCAAACAACATTATTCATTTTTTTTAAATAAAAATAGTTTAGTTATATGTATTATATGTTAAACGGGCATCAAATCCAATTTATCTGATAACTATACATATAAACTAGTTAGATCTTTGCTTTTTTAGCAACATAAACAAGGCACCTAGAACGGAAGACGTTTAGTTATTAATAGATATTGAATATAAAATAATATAATAAAATATCAACTCACAATAAAAAACTCATTTTATTCTTTAATAAAGATCCTTCCAATTGTATTCTGCCTTTTACTGAAATAGCACCAAACCATTAAAATAGGTTATTTATTTATTAACTTTAATCAATGGCTCGACTTGTCATAAACCAAGTATAGGTTTTTAAAGTGACATGACAGATCACAGCACAGAACATATTATTATTACAGATTATCTGATGAATGTATGTGTCGTCGTCGTCATTATGTGTATTGTGTGATCAAGTGTTTATTTGCTTATCGTTTCGTCAAAATTTTATTTAAAAGCATTCACGTATAATTTTCCCTTACTGTTGCTTGGACATGATTTACGCGCTGTTGAATTTAAAAAATAAACTATTGATTATTTTTGGTATTTTTATGTAGTAACACTTTTTACGTCATCACATCAATAAAATTTATTTTTTCCTCTATTCCTATTGTCACTGCTGTTCAATACCTATTCTGTTCCGAGTTCTCGACTCTCTTATTTCTGCGAATACACTTGGGTTAAAAGTTAGTAATTTATAGTAAGTGACAAAAATATTAAGATGCAGGGCCTCAGTTTTGCCAGCTTAAAGAAGCATAAAGCTGTAAGTATATTATAATAGCATTATTTGCAGTACTGCGTCTCTGCTTACATAATTAACCTACAATCTTAAATTATTTTATCTTGATGACAAAATTTTTACGTACACCTGATGCACTGATACGTATATTATTATTGACATTAATTCCTTTCTAAAATCTACTGGATACCGTAAAAAATATTACACTCTTTCTTCGAAACGAATGTGTATATACTACGAACAATACTTATATGTTTACATTATGTAGTTGTATGTTATTGATTTGCTCTTTAAAGAATGTCACTTTTCGAAATTTATTTATTCTTAAATCTTAACTATAAAACTTCTTTTTGTCAGTTGATTCCCTTGTACGTGTGTGTTGGTTTGGGATGCGGCGCCTCTGTGTTTTATTTGGCACGCCTAGCCTTACGTTCACCTGACGTGACATGGAACAGGCGCACCAACCCAGAGCCTTGGCAAGAGTACAGGAACAAGCAATATAAGGTAAATTTAATGTATATTGATTTAGTTTTCTTTCTATATATATTCACATCTTTATTATTTAGGCATAAATATTGGTAATATTTCATGTGATGTATGCAAGAAATATATCATTTAAGATGTTGACATAATTCTGCATGGTGATTAATATCCTTGACTGTTTTGACTACAGTGGCTAATTTCACTGAACCTAGATAACTGCACAAGAAATAGTATGGGGTACAAGGGTACACTAATATTTTGATATGACCAGTGAGAGATCATATGTAACACTGCCAACTTTACATACTCTCTGAGGCACAAGGGTAAAACACCTGGGCTGTTATTAGGATTTTCTTATCTTTTTAGAAATACACAATAGCATGGTATGGTATGGTATAAGACGGGCCAGTTTCCGCAACTCGACGTCTGCGCGCCTATTTTGCGTGTGTGGGAAATTTTTCCAAATGTTTATTCTTGCCAGCCCAGTTCCTCCAGGAACTTCAGTAGTCTCTTCGTCCTACCGAAGACCTCCGGGAGTGTACTAGGGGTGCCAAGATGTTGAGCCCGGTACGCCGCTACACCTGGACAATGTAAAATCACATGTGCAGCCGTTTCATCTGCCCTCATGCAGGCTCTGCAGAGTGGGCTGTCAGTTATACCTAAATTAAATAGGTGTTTGTTATAGGGTCCGTGGCCTGTTAGAGCCGCGGTTATCTGTCTGAGTTGAGATCTGTTGAGATTAATCAGACGGTTAGTCGTTTTAGTGTTAATGAAAGGAAGCGATTCCTTTGCTTGCCTGCAGTCTGCGACTTCACGCCATATATTTTCGTGTAGTCGTCTTGTGCGTTGTCGTATTTGACCTTTGAGCCAGCAAGAAGGTAGCGCCACGATGGGCTCAGGACCTATTGCATTCAGGTCCGATCCTCTTCTTGCTAGCTCGTCGGCCCTATCGTTACCCCACGAGTTGCTGTGGCCTTTGACCCATTGTACTGAGACCTTGTTTTGGTCACTTACCTGTGTCAAAGCGTTATGACATTCATAGATTATACCTGAAGTGGTAGAATTACTATTTAATGCCTGTAGTACTGACATGCTGTCTGATAGTATGCGGATAGAGAAGTTTTTGACGTCTTTATTCGCAATTGTTCTAGCTGCCTCAAGGATACCTAGACATTCGGCTTGGAACACGGTGTTATAGGTACCTAGGGGTATTGAAGTTTGAATGTTTAGATCATGAGAGAAGATCCCGCAACCTGTCCCTGATTTGGTTTTTGAGCCATCAGTGTATATTCTAAGGTCTTTGCTGTCGCGACCTTCGTTTTTGTCTACCTCTAGCTCTATTTTGTATTTTTTGTCAAAAATGTATTTGATTTGGATCCCGTCATTCGGTGCTCCCATGAGCGGGATGTCTTTGGCTACGTCTATCAAAATTTTTGTATGTGGCGTGCCTGTTTTTCGTAGCAACTTCTGGTTATCTAATCTTGTTGCGGTAGTCGCAGCCTCTTGTTGGATAAACAAGTGCAGCGGCAGAAGGCTTAGTATGGCTTCCAGGGCTGCAGTGGGTGTTGTTCTCATGCAGCCCGTTACTGCCATGCACACCAGTCTCTGCCAGCTTTGTAACTTGCATTGTGCTGTGGTTAGAAGAGTTCTACGCCACCACACTAGGGCACCGTAGCTAATCATAGGTCGTATAACTGCTGTGTAAAGCCATAGAGTTAGTTTTGGTTTAAGGCCCCACTTCTTACCTAACATTCTTCGGCATTGCCAGAAGGTAATGCTGGCCTTGTTTAGTTTGGTTTCTAGGTGTTTGGACCAATTTAATTTGCTGTCTAGAATAATACCTAGGTATTTTACTTCTGTAGTTAGTGACAGTGTCGAATTAAAGAGTTTTGGAAGGGAGTAATTCCCTAGCGCTCTTTTGTTTGTGAACATTATTAGTTCAGTTTTGCGCGGGTTGACGGTCAGATGAAACTTTTCGCACCACTTTTCAACTATTAATAGGGCCGATTGTGTTAATTCGCAGACCGTGCTTGTGAATTTACCCGTTACTAAGATGGCTAGGTCATCTGCATAACCGATTGTATAAAATCTGTTGTCGTTGAGCAGGGATATGAGGTCGTTAACTACGAGGTTCCACAAAAGAGGCGACAGTACACCTCCTTGTGGACAGCCTTTAGCAACGATGGCTCCCTGTTTGTTGCTATTTCCCAGCCGGACTACTCTATTTGCGAGCATGTGTTGAATCCAGTTTGATATTACTGGGTTCACATCATGTCTGTCGAGTGCTGCTCTGATGCTGGTGAAGTTAGTTTTATCGAAGGCTCCTTCAATGTCGATAAAGGTGCCTAGGCATATGTCTTTGGTATCTAACGCCTCCTCGATCTTGCATACTACAGCGTGGAGGGCTGATTCCGTTGATTTGCCTGAACTATAGGCATGTTGGTTCCTATGTAGAGGTGTTTTTACTAATGCATTGTCTCTTAGGTATCTATCACATAGTCTTTCCATAGTTTTAAGTAGGAATGATGTGAGGCTTATTGGTCTGTAGGATTTAGCGTCCGTGTAGTCAGACCTGCCGGTTTTTGGTATGAAGATTACCTTGACCTCTCTCCAGGTCTTGGGTACGTAACCAAGAGCCAGGCAGGCCTGATATACTCTATTGAGTATATGGAACAGTTTTGGGCCTCCCCATTGTATAAAAGCGGGGTAAATGCCGTCTAGGCCTGGTGCCTTGAAGGGCTGAAAGCTTTTAATGGCCCATGCTATTTTCTTTGGACTTATGACCTCCGTTGCAAGTTGCATGGATGTGTCTGTTATGTTGTGGTTGACATCTAACCATTTGGTTTCGTTAATCATTGAGCAGTCGGGGAAGTGCGTCTGCAGAAGTACTCGGTGTGCTTCTTCCAATGATTTGGTATATGTGCCGTCCGGTTTCCTTAAGGAACCCAGTTCCCGCTGTGGTTGTCCGGTAAGAATTTTACGAATTCTGTTTGCCTGTATAAACGATTCTATGGACTCACAGTATTTTCGCCAAGCACGATTCCTCCAGTATCTTATTCGTTTTTTGTACTTGGCTTTAACATTTTTGTAGTGGTCCCAATCTAGATCGTTGTATGTATTCATAGCTCTATTGAAGGCTTTCCTGACCTTGGTTCTAAGGCGTTTTAACTCTGGGCCCCACCAGGATCCTCTGTCAAGTGGGTTTGACGGAGGATAGGTTAGTGGGCAAGTTGCTTCGTAACATGTAGTCATTAACTGCGTTAGTTTAGTGACCAGTTGTTCGATACTATCCGTGTCGGTTAGTCTGTCAGGGTAGTCAAGTGCCCGCAGGCCGTCGACTAGTAGTTTACGAAATTCATCTTTGTTTGTCTTTCGTACGTTCCTAAAGGGTTGAGGGGGTGTAGTGGGTAAACCTAGTTCAAAACGTATCCATCTGTGGTCTGAGCAAGAGGCTTCATCAGACACATGCCAGTTGGATATCAGTTTGGCACCCCCGTCGTTTGCTAGCGTGAGGTCAATAATGCTATTGGCACGTCTTGTTACAAAGGTAGGCTTGTTGCCTGTGTTAATAATGTCTATACACAATAGCAAAACTTTGCCTGTCCTAGGACTCAAACCCAGGACCACCGGATATGTAGCATCTGAGGCAGTTAGTTTTTTCTGCATGGTAGAGAAAAAAGTGTATACAATTTCAAAATAGGATATCATTTATAAAATATATATAGGGTACATATATTAATAATATTAATAAGGATATCAGAAAAAAATACTTATGATTTGCTTGTGTGCTTGGGTTCAAGTCCCAATTGAGGCCATGTCTTCTTCTTCTTTGTTATGAAATATGTACATATTTCATTAAAATATGTTTATTTTTCACAGTTCTATTCACCAATCAGAGATTATTCAAAGGAGGAGTCACCTGCACCCAAATTCTAAGCTTTGTTCTAAGTTTTCCATTTGTGAACTAAATTGTAAATTAGAAAATTTAATTTAATAAATAGTGGTATGTGATATCATTTATGAGTATTTTATTGCTTTATTCCAGTAAATTATTTTCCTTAATATAATAAAATTGTAACTGAGTTGAATCTGTTCATATAATATTTTTTGGAAAATCTTATTGGAATAGTTATTATTATCAATACAGCGGTTGAATCTATAGTTTTTAGAATGAGAGTATAAATAAAGAAAATTAGACTGTTTTTGGGATTGACTTCTTTCACCTCACACACACACATAAAAATAATTCATGGTGTATTACTTTGTGGAATGAAGAAAATTACAAATATACTTAATTATATATACAAAACAAATGTACATTTATTTATTAATGTACAAGTCAGGTCCCCGTGGAATAGTGGCAAGAATCCCTCACTAAATGGCAATGCCTTTAATATTTTGTATTATTATTCATATAAAATATAGTACATTTAATTACTTACATAATAACACAGATTATAAAATAAATAATAATAAATAAATAAATATGGTGGGACATAACACATAGCACCATTTAGTTCCATGGTAAGCTACAAGGCTTGTGTTATGGATACCAGATAGTTGAGATGCTACACATAACTTTAAATACATATTATAAATATAAACACCCATGACTGGAGTACAAACATTTCTGCTCATCACGCAAATGAATGCCTCCAGCGGGACTCAAACCCGCGAGTAGGGTCACAAACTGAGCCAAATGAGTCGTCAAACCTAACCTAAATAGCTTTATCTACCTACACATTTCATCTTAAAATTGTTGATGAAATTAAGCACAAGTCAAACTGTGGCGACTTTTGTCATTACTAATTAGTCTTTCTGTGAAAAGTAAGGATTCATCAGTTTTAAACATAAAGTTCAGACTCAAATCTTTTGAAATTTTAACTTTGGCTTAAAGTAAGGTATCCTCCCTAATGTGTGCAGATGTGTTTGTTTAAACGGGTTAATGGAAATAAAATTTATATTATTTTTAATAACAAATATTTTCTGAAAAGGTTTACAAATCACAATAAAACAGTCTCGTTACGGCACTCTTGCGAGGTAGTAGTGTGCAGTTTAACAATATTATATTGCGTTATCGTTGACGCGTAGCTCGCCGGCCGCAATATACCCGCGGCCGGCCGAATAATATAAATAAATTGTGTTGTACAATGGAGAAAAACAGTAATGAGAATGTTATAATGGATTTTCGTATTCCGAGTACCAATGTAGAAGATTTAGGAGTTGATGAGTTCCAATACCAAGAGGAGAATATTAATACGATGTCTGTCGGCATTATGGAGGAGAACTTGAGGGCAGAAAAGAGGACGAGACCAGAAGATGAAGGTGAATGGACTGTAGTAGGTAAAGAAAAAAAAGCAAAGCCGGTGTACAATAAAATAGAAATTTATATTACAAGTACGGAAATATTACCTAAGCAGTTTGCTATGGCAAAGTTACTTAAAAATAACGACATTATGGATATTGACAGACTCAAATATATTAACCCCTACAAAATTCGATTGGATATGAATAATGAAATGTGTGCGGATAAATTGGAGAATTGTGAGGAGTTTCTTAGAAAAGGATGGAGAATTTACAGAGCGATGGAGAAAGATATTTCTTATGGTTTAATAAGAGACGTAGACCTAGAACTGTCGAATGATGAAATTCTTTCGCGGATCACATGCCCTAATCGGGTGGAAATAATTTCTGTGTCCCGGTTGAAACGTCGTTGTACTACTGATGGAAGTGGTTGGACGCCTAGTGGATGTGTTCGCATTAGTTTTAGAGGGGCTTACTTGCCGTCTTATGTATCAGTAGATGGCCTAAAAATTAATGTAGACAGGTACGTTTTCCCCGTGTCCCAGTGCTCCAGATGTTGGAGATTAGGCCATCACGTCAATCGATGCCCAGCAACAAAGATTACTTGCCCTAAATGTGGTGAAAAACACGCGAATTGTGCAACGACATCTTATAAATGCGTAAACTGTGGGGGTAACCACTTGGCTATGTATAAAAAATGTCCAGTATACTTAAAACAAAAAAGGATAAGGGAACTTATGGCCGAGTATAATTGCACGTATAGACGAGCCTTGACTATGTATGTTCCACCTGAGTCACCTTGTATACAGATTGATACACCGTTTTCTAATTCTTTAGAGAATATTACATCTAAAAATCTCTCAAATCATGAAACAAGGGCATCTACAAAGGAAGTATCATATGCTGAAATTATGAAGCCTAAAGTTGGTAGACTCACACAAGACAATGTAGATAGATCTCAGGGAACGTCGGCTAGCGTACTTAAACCCCCAAAGGAGAAACATAAGAGACGGAAGCAAGACAGAGAGGACATTTCAATTGCGGAAGAAGACACGGTAGACTCAGATGACGAAAAAGTGTCCGAGAAAGAAGAAAAAATAATGGCATTTAGTGATCTCGTAAACAAACTAAAAGATATCGTATTTTTAAGAGGTATTTCAGTTCAAACAAAAGCTTACAATATTGTTAAATGTTGTTTAGAGTGGGCAGCTTTACTATTAATAGATTTACTACCTAATTGGACACTAATTAAAAAAATTATAGATTTCGTTTTAAATAATAATGGATCAGGAACCTAAGAGAATAAGATTGAATGTATTGCAATGGAACGCACAAAGCATTAAGTCTAAATTCAAGTCGTTTCAAAATATTCTTTTACAAGATAAAATTCACATTGCTGCTATAAGCGAAACCTGGCTCGATGCAGGCATTAAATTAAAGGTAAAAGATTATAATATTTTTCGTAATGATAGGGCAGATTCTTTTGGCGGAGTGGCCTTGTTCGTGCATAGGTCAATAAAAGCGGTTGAGATTCAAGTAGAAGTTAATAATATTGCGATTCAAGTTGTTGCTATAAAACTATATAATTGTAATACGATAGAACATATAGTATCTATATATTGTCCTCCTTCAGCTCGCACAGCACAGCGAGATTGGGATGATTTATTTTCTCGATTCAAAACAAAAACATTAATTCTAGGCGACTTCAATGGCCATCACACCAATTGGTCTAATAAGACTGACACAAGGGGATTACAAATATTAGACGCTCTCGAAGAGCATTCATTAGCTTCGTTAAACGATGGTAGTCCTACTCGTATAAGTTTAGTCAATGGTCATCTTAGGCAAACAAGTCCAGATATTTCTTTAGTTTCCACTGATATCTTTTTACATTTTAATTGGGCTACATTAAATGAATCGTTGGGAAGCGATCATTTAATGATAAAAATTTCAACAGAGTTTTATGGTTCTCCTATTATATCTCGTCGTAATTATAAAAGAGCTGATTGGCCTAAATATAAAAATATGTTAGAGGTACTGTTTAAAGACTTCTTTTACTGTGAGGATATACAGGCGTGTTATGATAATTTTGTAAATTACTTAAATAAAGCTGCTGATATTCACATTCCGTATACTAAAATCAATCCTAATCCGTCAAGCAAATTTTCTCCCAAGCCATATTGGAACCCTAGCCTTTCTAAATGTGTTGCAGAGCGTCGGTTAGCTTTGACCAAATTTAGACGCAATCCAGTGCCGTATAATTTGGATATTCTGTACAACAAAATACGGGAATCTCAAAGAGAGATACGTAAGGCCGATTCTAAATCATGGCAAGAATTTTGCACATCTATGGATGATGCTTCCGATGAAAGTGAAGTTTGGCACAAAATGAAGTGGTTCAAAGGACGTGCAATATCAAAAAATCATGTTAATAAGGAACATTGTATTAAGCTTTTGGAGAGACTTACACCTGATTATGCATCTTGTGCCGAACCTACATTTTCATCCAAGAACATAATTTTGGAAAATGAAATAACTTTGCATGAATTACATAATTCCTTGAAAAATAAAGACAGTTGCCCTGGTAGTGATAATATTTCATATTCTATGTTAAAGAACCTTCCGTATAACGGGAAATGTATTTTGTTAAAAATTTATAATTTAGTATTTGTAACTGGAAAAGTACCAAAACAGTGGAAAGATATAATGGTAATCCCTATCCCAAAACCCGGGACAAACCCTGATTGTTCTTCGTCACTTAGACCCATTTCTATGATTTCGTGTATCTGTAAAACTTTTCATGCTATTCTAATTAAGAGATTAGAATGGTACATGGAAAGGAATAATATCTTTCTACCTATAACTACCGGTTTTCGGAAGTGTCGTTCTACTTTGGACAACTTAGCTACGTTAGTATCTAGAATTCAAATAAGTTTATCTAAAAAACTATTTACAATAGGATGCTTTATAGATTTAGAAGATGCTTATAATAATATTGATATCTCAGTTCTTTTACAAGTATTAGATAATTTAAATGTTGGAGGTAAGCTGTGTGTGTATTTATGGAATTTTTTAAGTCATAGAAATTTAAAAATTAACACTGGTTGTACATGGATATGCAGGTCAACTGGCAGAGGTTTAGCTCAGGGAGATCCATTTTCACCGTTACTGTTCAATATTGCAACCATAAGCTTGTGTAAAAATATAAATATGAATAATGTGATGTTATCTCAATACGCCGACGACTTCGTGTTATATAATACATGTAAAAATATAGAGCATGGCGCACAAATTTTACAAGCAGAGATTAACAAATTTGTGGAATCTGCTTCAGCATTAGGATTACAAGTATCTTCATCAAAGAGCAAAGTATGCGTATTTAGAAAAAAGAATAGAAATGCAATAGTCAACTTAACAATTAATAATGGTACACTGCAGGAAGTAGATGAAGTAAGATATTTGGGTGTATGGTTGGATCATGCTTTACGCTGGGGTAAACACATCGATGAAGTAAAAATAAAATGTCTTAAGATTTATAATATTTTTAAAGTATTGGTTGGCTCGGGATGGGGTATCCATCCGATACATTTAAGGAGACTATATATTTCTATAGTGCGTAGCCGATTAGATTATGCTAGCTTTCTATTTGCCAATAGCTATAAGACAAATTTATGTAAGCTTGACAAAGTACAAAATTTATTTATGCGAATTATTGGCGGCTTCATTAGAAGCACGCCAATTCATGTTATGGAATCAGAACTTCACCTCCAGCCTCTGTGTGTGCGACGGTTTTATCTAGCAGGCAAATTTTGGTTTAAATCCATGAGCTACTCTCAAAACGTTTTAGCCAATATATTGGATAATCTAAGTAACCTCTGTAGAACTAATTTTTGGAGATGCAAGAACAAGCCACTTCTAGTCATTATTCATAATCAATTTAAAACGATTTCTTTTCATAAAAGTAATAATTTGGGATGTTTCTCTTTGGACACTTGGACAAGCAATGTGGATTTATCTAATATTATTAGCAGTCATATACAGGACATTAACAAATCAAAAAAGCATTATAATCCTATTTTGCTTAATAATATTTGTACGAAATATTTTAGAGAAAAATATGATAATTTTTATAGTATATATACGGATGGATGTAAAGACGGAGATGGAGCTGGTGTGGCTTTTTTAGATACGCAAAATGGTACAACAATAAAGTTACAGATTAATACAAATATGTCTATTATGCACATTGAATTGATTGCTATATCAGAAGCGATCGCATATATTGAATCCTTAAATTCAGGAAACTACATAATCTTTTCCGATTCTAAGAGTGCTCTTCAACATCTAAATAAATGTAGTAGTACTTTTCGCGGGGTACCAATAGCGTACGATATTATAAAATCGATACAAAAACTTGCGGATAAGGGATTTGCCTTAAAGCTTCAATGGATCCCTTCACATGTAGGATTGCGTGGTAATGAAGAAGTTGATCGCCTTGCAAAATTAGCAGTGAATTCTGACTTAGTATGCAATGATTTACCTTATTTTAGTGATTTAATTCATTTAGTAAAAGAAAAATGTTACGAAATGTGGAAGGAACATTTTGACGTAAGATCAGTAACAAAAGGAATTTGGTACAAAACCATACAGCCATCTCTGTCTCGGTCTCCGTGGTTTGCTGGTGCTAATTTATGTAGATATGATCTTGTAACAGCTCTCAGACTTCGTTCCGGACACATCCCATTGAATAACTTTGCTTACCTGGTACGTAAAATCCCATCTCCTAATTGTTCATAATGTGACGTTATCGAAGATGTTTACCATGTCCTAGTGGAATGTGTCCGAAATGAGGTCGAAAGATTAGAATTATTGAGCAATATAAATTTATTTGAATTAGGTGCATGCAATTGTATTTTAGGTCGTCCTGAATCAAAGGAAGCTAGAGTATTATATAAGATTTATAAAATAGCTGTAAAGCGTCGGTGAGTTTTTTGTAGTTGCTCCAATGAGGGTGGCATGTTCAATTTATGAACAAACCCTCTTTAAAAATAAAATAAAGATTAAAAAAAAAAAAATCACAATAAAATACACGCAGTATACTAAAGTATGACAAAGGCAATAAATAAAATTACATTAATTTGAAAAATATATAACTAAACCTTTATTTAAATTAACATAATTTGGAGATTATAATTCAATTTAATAATATAAATATGAGAACTCTCGCCGAGCTCCACTCCGTCTCCGCTTACCGAAACTGGAATTATCAGCTTTTATGTAGTATAAATCTATGTTGCAAGTATGTACTATAAATCTATGTTGATATTATGCGGCCAGGTCGCCGTTCGAGCGCCTCAACGTTTGTGTCAGTCTTGGGTTACGCCGATGTCGTTAGACGCGGCTCGGGGGCAGCAAGCAACAAATGTATGTATATTGTAGATATTGGGATTTATTTGTATGTATTTTAGTCTCACGTCTATAAATTTAACAAAATGTATTTTTTTACTTTCGGTAATTCCTTTAATCTTTACAACAATTAATAAGCTCCGACGTCAACAACATACCTAGTCTACTTTCGCAGCACTCGGTGTAACGGAGTCTAGTGCCCTCCATTGCAAGCACTTGACGCATCTCCACGGTTAGTATCTTACAATTATTAGCCTACAACCGAATTTAATAAATGATTTCATTAATAAAAATAGCTATTATGATAAAGTAATTGTATATTTTGTACATAAAACAATAGCGCAATCACGACGAGCACGCGCACTTTATGCACTTAGAACCTTAGATGTCGAATACTTATAATAATATTCTTTTCTATTTCCCTCGCGCTGATTTGTAATATACTTTTTATTCTATTACTATTTAAAAGAAATGTACATTATTTGTTTGACAACTACAGTGCTATGTGTTACACGTTTGTGATTGTGTTGACGCGACGATGCAAATGTCGTCCATTAGTAATGTCCAATATATTATGACCTATGCGGCAAAAGCTCTACAATTGGACTGTGAGATGTTAGCAACATGATGTCGTTATATTGTGTGATGTAAACGCGCGAATTTGAACATGTGAATGGAATACATTATGTAAATGCAAAAAAGAACAGAGACTGATATAGATTCATAAAAAATGTAAATAATTTCATTTACATTACTGTGCAAATTTTATAAAGAATGTTTTAAGTCAGTCCAAACAGAAAGCCAACAGATATTTATACAGGTATCGGTCGGTCGATCGAGCCTACTGCTGCGGCGGTTGCTGGTAGGGGTTGTAGCCGGCGGGCGGCGGCTGCGGGTAGGCGCCGGGCGGCGCGGGGTACTGGTAGGGCTGGTAGGGCGGCGCGCGCGCGTGGTGCGGGTAGGGCAGCGTGGCGTACGGGTTGTACATCGCCGGCACGGGCGCGTACATCGCGTAGGGCGCCGCGGGCGCGCCGTACGGCAGCGGCATGCCTGTAACCGCGAGTCGCGCGTCGACGCGCTGCTTTAGCACACATATTACAATGCAACTATGGTAATTCAATAATTCAATATTTGAATACCTTGCGGCTGGGAGGGGTAGGGCAGGGCGGGGGCGGGCTGTGCGCCGGAGGTCGCGGGCGGCGGCGGGCGCGGCGGGGGCTCCCGCTTGGCCACCAGCTCGGGCTCGGCGGCGGCGGCGTGGTGCTGCGGCGGCGCCGGCGCGGGCCGCGGGGACGCGCGCGACGCCTCCTGCGTGAGGTCCTTCAACAGCTCATCTTTTTCAGTTTTGCGCGCGAAGCAAAAATCTGACACTTTGTTTTGGAATGCTACCAGCAACTGGAAAACAAATGTACATAAATATTTTATAATTATTTCTATTCTACGTGGTGTGGCTATTCGGTTACGAGACTAACGCTGCAAAATACCTTTTAGTACAGAAAAGATTTGTTTACAGATACTTCATTCGAAATAAAAGGCTGCCAGCTAAACATCCGGTGGCCACAGAGGTTTGGTGTATGTGTACTTCTTCTGTAGCAGCTTTTGTAGCTAAGTCTCATTATTTAACAGCCGCACCTCATATTATAAATGAGCAAGTTATAAATAGCAGGTGTGCGAGTGCCGACCTGCGTGAGGTCGTTGTAGAACTTGACGCCCTCCTTGAGGTTGCCGGTGAGGTCCTGGTAGGCGTCGTAGGCGGCGCAGAGGCGGCCCAGCGCGTGGTCGCGGCCGCTGGCGCCACCGCGCGCCGCCATGAGCGCGGCGTGCGCGCGCTGCAGCTCGGCCGCCAGCGCGTCCTGGCGCGCGCGCGACGCGGCGGCGCGGCGCTGCAGCGGCGCCAGCGCGGCGCCCAGCGCGGCCGCCGACAGCGCGGGCTCGTCCACGGCGCCGTCGGCCGCCAGCGCCTCCAAAAAGCGCGCGCGCAGGTCCACCGTGGCGTCCTTCAGCTCGGCCTCCAGCGCGTCGCGCTCCGCCTTCAGCTCCTCCACCTGCGCCATGAGTGCGCGCAGCTGCGGCAGCGCCGCGTCGTCGCCCGCGCTTGCCTCCGGCGCGCTGGGCACGCCCGCGTCGATCTCGCCGTCGCTGCGGCTCAGCAGCTCGATGTTCTGTCGATATAATGTTACGCCATTCAATGTTAAACATTTAAAAAAATTGTAATAGTTAAATTTTAAATATTTCTGTTGTCTCATCTGAAAGAAGATAAAATAAGAGTTTAAATGTAAGATGTAAACGCTAGCTACGGCGGTGGTGCAGTATTACCTGCTCGTGCTGCTGGAACTTCTGCTGCACTATAGCGTCGGCGCGAACGGCATTGTCGATGATTTGCGAGTACTTGGCGGCGTTGGCGCGGAAGGCCTCCGTGAGCTGGTCGGAGGACGTGCGCGTCCAGCGGGCGCCGAACTGCGCGCGCAGCGCCGCGTCAGCGTCGGCCTCCTCGCGCAGCAGGCGCTCGGCCTCGCTGAGGATGTCACGGTTGCGCTGCAGCAGCTCGGGCAGCTCGGCCACCAGGCGGCGCAGCGCCGGCAGCCCGCCCGCCGCGCGCACCGCCGCCGCCTTCTCGCGAATGCTCTCCGGCAGTCCCGCGCCGCCGTCCTCCTCGATGCACGCCGGCAGGTTCAGCGACGCCAGGATGCTAACATCGACATATCCACACATATACATATGTACACAGAAATAGAGCATTAAACTAGTTTTTAATCCTGAGCAATTCGGATAAACAAATTTAGATAGAATCAAACAGCAAAGTGATCACCTGTTGAGCAGCTGCGTGGCTTCGCGCAGCTTGTTCACCTCCGCGGTGACGAGGTCGGCGCGGCGCGCGGCGCTCGCCTGCAGCGCCTGGTGCACCGCCATGGGCACCAGCTTATCGAACAGGTCGGGCGCGGCGGCCCAGCGCGGCGGCGGCGGCAGCGCGGCGGCCACGCGCGCGCGCGCCACGGGCTCGAGCGCGAGCGCGTCGGGCACGCGCTCGTGGTAGATGAAGTCATTGTCACGCTGCGCCGCCGCCAGCTGGCGCGCCACGCGCGTGGGCACGTCGCCCAGCGGGCCACCGGCGCGCAGGCCGCGCAGCGCGTGCGCCGCCGCCGCCAGCCGCGCGATCTCCTCGCCCACCGCCTTGCCGGCGCGGCACACTTGCGCCTGGAAGTAGTGCGTCAGCCCGCGAAACACCTCCTGCTTCACTTGCAACTGTCACACACAGACATGCAAACATAACTATATATATATATATATATATATATACTAGCATTGCCCGCGGCTCCGCCCGCGTTCAGATGACCAAAAACTAAATTCTTAGGTGTTACATATTAGTATACTCTTACATTGCAGTTTTTGTATTTTTCCTCAGAAATAAGATATTTTCCCGCGGTAAAAAGTATCCTAGGATCGCGCGCTACATCGCCCGGTTTATATAGCTTGAGCAGGCGGTCGAGCGATGCGGGGCAGAGGGGATGGACTCGCCGTAGGCATCTCAATGCTCGCCAAGCATTAAAAATGTTTCGCTACTAATTACTTCTAACAACGATATCTCAAAAACTATTCATCTGATTGATTTAGTGTAAAGAGCAATTTTAATCTGCATTAAATGACTAAGCTAACTAAAATATTCATTTGGATAAGGATTAATACCGAACTAAAGAAAATAACTTTGAAAATAACGTAATGTTTTTAATTAAAAATGTTAACATAAAAGTGGTTATTGTAAGTCAACCGTAAGAGATAGAGATATGCTATCGCGGACTTTTTTGTAGCATTTTTATAGATTTTGAATTCTCTAGTACATTACTTAACTGTATCTTTGCTAGTTTACGCGGCGTTCGCGTGGAAAGTTCCCATTTGGCGAGATTTTTTGCGACCTCTTCAACATTTGTCGCCGTATTTCAGCTAATTTACATAAAAGCATAATAAATTATATACCTAAACCTTCCTCAAGAATTACTCTTTCTATTGTTGAAAACCGTATAAAAATCCGTTCAGTAGTTTTCGAGTTTATCGCGTACAGACAGACAGGAGGACAGACAGGAGGACAGAAAGACGCGGCCGGGGGACTTATTTTTATAATAAGTATAGATAGATATATATATATACATGTACTTTACAGCAATTCATTAAAAATCAAAATAAATCCAAGGAAATATCCATAAAGATAGTTTTACTTAAAACTAGCAATTCACCCTTGCTTCTCTCTGGTTAGGTTTAATTGCTTGTATGGTATAGATAGACTATATATTATATACTAAATACATAGATATAGAAAAGTAGGTAAATACTTTAGAGGAACTTGAAACCGTATCCTATTTCACCTTGATTCGTCATAAACTCCAACATATCCTTTATTTCTCACCAAAATTATAAGATATAATGAACTTTTAATTTTGTCCTTATTTTGAGAAATTATTTGTTCCAATACAAACTTTCAACCCTTACTTCACCCCTTTTAAGTTTCATTTTTGCGATAAAAAGTAACAAATGTCCTTCTACAAGGTCAAATCCGGAATTTTGATGAAGTTTGTTAATGAGAGCATTAACAAACTTCATCAAAATTCCGGTTCACAGTTTAGGCGTGTAAACATAACAGACAGAGACTTTCGCATTTATAATATTAATATGCATTGTAAAATAATAAAATAGTGAGATAGCCAAAGTGTATAATAATGTTCTCCAGACCGATTCCGGCCACGGCGGCCAATCTCATTGAGACTAGGCAACTGCGCAGGAGATATTATAGTGCACAAGTGTACGCGCAGACACAAGTGCACTCTCTATTCCTGTCGTTCTCATACTCTGGTGGGACGACCACTCGACACGACCAGTGAGAGTTAAGGCGCAGGACTGACGGCTTTACGTGCTCTCCGAGGCACGGGGGTGAAACACCGCCAACTTCCCAACTCCGGGCTGTTACTGAGGCTTACTATACAGAAAGACTCAATAACTAAACTTGGCCCGGCCCGGGACTCGAACCCAGGACCTCCGGGTGTGCAGCCGTACATGCTAGCCACTACACCACCGAGGCAGTACTGTATAGTAGATGTATGGCGTAGTGTATGGCAGTACTCACGGCGGGCACCCAGTCGCGGTCCCACAGGTGGCGCAGGGATTCCTTCTGCAGCAAGCGCACCACGTCCACGTACAGCTCTTCGCACTGTGAGCATACCTTTGCTACCATGCTGTCCTTCATCTCATCTTCAACATTGCAAAATCATGTTAAAGATCATCAGATCTTTGCCAAATAAAATTAATAAAAAATATAGAAAAACATGAGTGACATAAACTGAATACTGAATAGTATCAATACTTTGTTTAATTTATTCCTACTCTACTATTATTAGACCAAAAAAAAATATTTTCCCTTTTATAAATATTTGTAACCAAGTTAATATGTTCCATACAAACATAACAGGTTAAATAAACAAGAATACTATAATATAAAGAATGTTTTATGTATCATCAAGTATGTATTGCCTTAAACAAACCTTTTATGCACTTGTACACAATGACCTCCTGCGCCTGTGCCAGCATCAGCTGTGACAATGCATTTAAAGTTTCAGGGTTGAGGTCAGGTGTAGTCTCCTGGTGCACTGCCATCATCACATTCTCCTTCAGATATGCAAATATGCCTGCCGATTGCTGTGGAAAATTTATATTCTTACTATTTATATATTCTTTATTGCACATAAAAATATATAGTTATTATTACATTATGAGTAATACAGAGAGAAGGTGGACTTATCTCTAAAGTGATCTCTCCTCGTTAATGTATATGTGTAGGAGTGAGAAAGATTGTCATTTTGCAGAGCAGAAAAGTGCAAGAGTTAATTATATAAAAATAGAAAGAAACAGCATAATAGGCATAAATACAATAAACTACACATATACATACATATTGTGATGTATTTAGTCTAGTAAAATATAATTAGTGACATTTAAATATTAATATAACAAGTGAAAAGGCGAAGGTTATGAAGAAACAGCTGTCACTACATTACTCAACAAGCTTGTAAGTACCACATATATTATTATGTAAAATACATAGATAACAATATTTGTAGCTATTTGAGGCCTTCATAACTTATTTACTTTATTTATTTACTTTCTCCAAATTTTAAACATCTATCACAATCAGTTTGGGCTGAACGTTGATAAGTCAGTGAGTTGCGACACTGCCGTTTTATATATAATAAAAATAGGTATTGTGAGTGTACCTTAGGAGATAGACATATAATATTACAGATTTTTCTGTAGGCCTTTTTAGGACCTACAACTCTCTAGTACAAGTCTCTTAAGGTTTAGGCCAATGTTAGCCATATAAAGTTCTCAGAATGACTTGATAGACCCAGTTATTGTGTTTTCCCATGGGAATGTAAGAATTTCCTGTAGTAAAAGGTATCCATAATGTTGACTCGAGTAATAAGTTATTACTACAAAACTTTTGTTAAAATTAGTTCACAACTTTTTGTGTAAAAACAAACAAACAGACAAAATTTTAATAACCATTGTTTTAGGATCTATATTCTGCACACATTTACTGTAACATGTCTTGTTTTGAAAAAAAAATCATGTACAGATTTCACTAAGTAACCATTTTATTATATGTATAGATGATTTTATCATAAAATAGTGAGAATTGAACATGCATTCTTATTATTATTTTTTACATTATTATACAAATCAAGTAACTTCAAATACATGTTTACCATGTATGTTATCAGCTCAACCAATTGAACTTCTGTGTTGTTGTGATTTAAGTTATATATATGTTTTTGTAAATACTAGCCCAACAGATAAGCAAAAATTAGCAAAAAAGATAAAGAAAAAAATATTTCTAAAATTTCAAAGTTATTTTATATTCAAGATCTCACATTCAGACTCACTTTAAAAAATAATTCTATAGATTAGTTGTAGATATTTTAAATTTTAGAGTACAATTTGTAACAGAAAAAATATAAACTACATAAAGAACTTGCAAATACCTGTAATAGCTTAGCTGCAAGTTTGAGGGAATCTTCAGTGTCTAGAGGCTGTTGTGCTGCAATAATACTTTGCATAGCTGCTATGTTAAACAGGATACAAACCCTTTCATAAGCTAGGGAACTTATTGCTGCAACAAATAAATTACAACTTGTAATTATGTATTGATTCATTATTAGTACAATAATAATAATAATTTTTACTTTGTCAGACAATAACATGTCATGGAATAGCTATAAAGTAATACTAAGTAGTAGGATAATATCCTGTCACCGACCGCCGAGCCACAGGTGGCTTGGTTAACAGTTAATTTCTTTGAAATTAACCGCAAGGTGATATTATGGTGGTCAATTCACAAATTTCTAAATCAACAACTATTGTCTATCCTGTGTGTGTGACCACTTGTCATCTTAAATTAGTCTTTAAAAAAAAATATAATAAAGTATGTCATACTTAAACTCATCCGGCCGCCAAACAAAGATCCTCTATCAAACGCATCCTTCCATTTAAAAGGGATCTGCACCTCCTGTGGGGGTATTTTGCTCTCCAGAGAGACAAGTTGATCATAGTAACTGAAATAATGCAAAGAATAGAATAGTAGTACAATATATATGTAAAAAATAATGTTCATTTTAATGTCATTTACTTTACTGTATCTATGAATGTGACTCATATAATGGAAATACCTGTAAATAGCGTCGAGCTCTGACACTTTCCAAATAGCGTTATTCCTTAGCCGGCTTAGCTCATTAATGGCTTCGCTGAAGTCTTCATTGCTATCACTATATGTAGATTGTATTAAGTTTTTCAAAGGCTTAATAATATCTACGTCTGAAGGTTTTTTAAGTGGTATGGATATCAATTCAGCCATTTCTGCAAATGACTTGACTACATTGACTTTGTTTGTGACATCTGTTGTTTTATGATTCTCAATTCGGGCAATCAGTTATGACAGATCTGCTTCTCCAAAGTCTATGAATATTACTATTCATCTATGATATAAAAAAATGTTTAACGGCAGAGATTGTTTGTTTAGAAGAATATTTGTAATTTACAAATATTAAATAGGTATTTAAAAAAATATAAATAATATCAGTTTAGCTTACAGTTGTGTGACAGATTAAAAATTGCTTCAACTTGCGGGAAATTTAAATAAACGTAAACAAGGTTGGAAAATTGTCTCTATTTTTTAAATTTTCAAGTGCCAAAAGTATTGATGACTGATTCCTTAAACCTTTTTTTTATTATTTGAATAAAATTATTAGTTCGATACAAGCTACTAAAATGGTTATCAAAAGTATAAAATCCAGGCAGAAAACGTAAGTATACTTAAAGTTTAACAACTATAATGATTTTTCTTGTTAAGCTCAATAGTTTTGTAAAATTTTCATATTTAAAAAGTAACAAAAATGTTTAAAAGCATAAGCCAATGAAAAGAATGAATGATAGGCATGCGCGTATATATCTATTGTGGTAGTCGTGTGATTTGTAATGAGGGATTTCGCCGGGCGAGGTCGTGACGGCTCCACGAACCCGATCGTCGCACTACGCGCCTGCTGTAGAAGCGAGTAGATCCGTGGAATAATGATTTATTAGTTTATTCATCGTGGAAGTGTGGGCCAAGTACAAACAGTACGTAGCAATCGACCGTGGGCAGTCCCTGCCGACTTATGCTGGCGGCGCTAACTGTTGCTCTTACAATCGATATATTCAGTGTGCTTTTGTTTTGGTTACGTTGGAACTGTGTGTCATTTTTACGCGCATTTGATTCATATCGTGATAAAAAGGTAAGATACACATACAAATTGTCTTTATTTTTTATGAATGTTACTATTGAAATTTGCGGCTTCTAATTGAAATGTTTAAATAATGCTAAAGTAAACCGTTTTTTTAAATGTTATAATATTTTTTGTATCACATAAAAGTTATCATATTGTATTTTTAAGTTTTTTCAAAGGAGAAGAAAGATTTACTTTTATATATCTTTTCTACTCCCAGCAACCAGAAACGATAAAATATACTAAAAATATGATGGAAAATCTTATAAGAAGGTAATTAAGGAAAACGCAAAGCGTGGACGTTTTAGTAAAACTTTCATTAAAAGGTTAATTACATATGTATGTATGTACATATCTAATCAACCTTTTTCATTAAATCTGGAGTACCTCAAGGGTCCCATTTAGGAATGATATAATTTAACATTTTCATTTAATGATATTTGCAATTGATTTAAACATTCTGAATTTTTCCTTTTTGCTGATGATTTAAAGGCACGTCTACGATTCCTACGATTTGAAGGCGGATTCGCTTGAGCTCAACGTGATATGCCGAAAATTAAGAATAAAAATTTACGATATCTCGCTTAGTTTCCGAGATATAGATTCTCAAAATTCGAAAAATGATTTTTATTTTAACTTTTTTTGATGATATTTGATATATTTTCGAAAAATAAAACGAAAATTAAGAATAAAATTTATCGATATCTCACTTATTAAGTAGTTATTTTGCAATCTATATTACCGACGTAAGATTATTAAAGATTGGTTGTTTTTGCCAACAAATACACTCTAGCGGTCAAAATTGAACTTATCAACTCATCTTTAATCATTTTTTTCATCTTATCAACCTCATACCGGGGCTTTGCCCCTGGACTCTACCAAGGCTTCGCCTGTCGACTTGCACTGTCTCTGTTTTTTTTATCTATAAAATTTCATTATATTTTTTTTATATAAACCATCCTTCATCAAGATATCGAAAAATTTCATTTTTAATTTTCGTTTTATTTTTTTGAAAATATATCGAAAATCGTCAAAAAAAGTCAAAAACAATTTTAATTTTACTTTTTTAGAGTATCGACATTTTGACTAAGCGAGATATCAAATAAAATTATTCTTACTTTTCGGCGTATCTCGTCGAGATCTATTTGAATCAGCCGTCAAATAGTGCCGCGATATGAACAGTAAAATCCCCGATTTAAAGATATTTATTAAAAACTATTAGAAGTCAATTAGATTTTTTAAATAAAACTATCTTTTCGATTTATTTCGCGGATTTATTTTGATTTTTGATTTGGTTGGGGAACCAAAAATCAAAATAAATCCGCGAAGTAATCCGAAAGGGTAGTTTTATTTGAAATGTCAAATATTCGCGTAAATCTAAGAAAGTATTAAGTCAATAATTAGATGTTGAATTGCTACAAGATGATTTAAGCCGCCTAATTGAGTGGTGTAATAATAACCGGATGATACTAAACACTGATAAATGTTTATATATCCAAATCACGAGAAATCATATAAGGATACCCAATGAGTATTTAATATAAGACTCAGTATTGCTGACGGTACTATTCGTTAAAGATCTTAGTGTAATTTTTGATAGCAAACTAAAATTCAACAAACACATTGACTTAATGACGAATAAATACTATCAAATATTAGGCTTTGCTATCAGAAATTGTAAAGATTTCCGGCGTGAAATTTTCCGGCGTTTCCCCTTACGAAGATTTTAATTTACAAAACATTAGTTAGGAGCTCCCTCGAATATTGCAGTGTTATTTGGAATCCTCATTATGATATTTATAAAAAGAATATTGAAACACACTAATGATACGTAGAAGTTTGTTGGATATTACAACTTTACATCGAATGGTAAACGCGAGAACTGACTGCCCATCTTGAGTTGTATGAAGTGAATTTGAAAAATTAATGTCCCAATAAGGATACCTCGTTATAACAAGTACAACCCATTCCACATTTATAAATCCAAATCAAACTTGGGCCTTTATTTTCCTATAAATAGAATATTAAAACAATATAATATCTTACAAAGAAACTCGGATATTGACATATTTTCAAATAAAATTGAAAAATCTAAGTCTCTGCTATTAAACTGTTTAATAGCTATACTATGGTGATAGCTTTTAACTTCTATCTTCTAAGTTCTATCTACCTATTGTATTGCTAAATTGTTTTTTTTCTTATGATAGAAGTTACGTTATTGAGACTGTGGGTTATAATGAAACGCTATTCGTCAAAACGGTGGTTACAACTAACTTTATTTTCTTAGTTTCTACGGTTTTATATGATACATGGGCACAAATTCAGAATTGGGGACTTGGCCCCTAGCGGAGTGGGTGGTATTTCTGGATAAGGGACGTGATAGGGAGTCGAAATGTTAAATAAATTTTTTAATACAACAAAAGATTCAAAAGTTATTGAGACTTAAAGTTACAACATTTCCATACATTTTCATATATTTCTTTACCACCATTCGGAGTGGGTGGTATTTTTAGATAGGGGAGGTGACAGAGAGTCAAAATATATTAAAAATATTTGGAGGAAACGTACGACTAAAAAGTTATTGAGACTTAAAGTTATAACATATCTAACACATTTCCATACATTTCTTTACCTAAATAAGTGATTACAACAGATAAACATACCTTTAACGAATAGTACGCATCCTTTTTTATGTACATTACACATTTTCACAACAATTAATGCTTTATTGTATTTAATATTTTAATAATTTCACAACACAAACAAAATGATCTTACATTTTGACAAAAGCAAAACTGACACTTTGTTTTATATTACCGCTTAAATGACAACAGATTATATTTGATTATTTTTGCTTTTTCTGTTGGTAAAATATTAATATTAATAAATAAATAAATAAAAAGAAAAATATTATTTTCACTTTATAAATACATTTATAACTTTTTATTTGATTTATGTAAAATATATTGTTTTACAATTGTACATTTAGTAAAAAAAATCATTTTTTTATCTGTGAATATTTTTAATTATTTATTTATTATTCGTCATATCTGGGTTAGGTTAGGTTAGAACATTTAAGATTATTTATTTATTATTCCTCATATCTGGGTTAGGTTAGGTTAGAACATTTAAGATTATTTATTAATTATTCGTCATATCTTGGTTAGGTTAGGTTAGAACATTTAAGATTATTTATTTATTATTCCTCATATCTGGGTTAGGTTAGGTTAGAACATTTAAGATTATTTATTTATTATTCCTCATATCTGGGTTAGGTTAGGTTAGAACATTTAAGATTATTTATTAATTATTCGTCATATCTTGGTTAGGTTAGGTTAGAACAGTTGCCACAACGCACGAGCCGAGCGAGCGAAGCGAGCGTGCCGCGGTAGCGGCCGGCGAGTGCCATAAATGACTAGAAAACTAGAAAATTCGAATTTCACGCAAAGTACAAATAAAGACAATCATCTGGAGATCATTTTGACAATTGAAAGTGACGTTTTGACTCCAAGTGTCTAAATGGTAGTAATGTCAAAATAATGTATGGAAATGTTATAACTTTAAGTCTCAATAACTTTTGACTCTTTTGTTGTATTAAAAAATTTATTTAACATTTCGACTCCCTATCACGTCCCTTATCCAGAAATACCACCCACTCCGCTAGGGGCCAAGTCCCCAATTCTAAACGGCCGCCGATACATGAGTGCGGGAGTGTGTGTGGGTTCTAAGCCAAAAAGAGAACTCTTAAACCATTTATACTTAATTTATTGTGACAACTCAATTGTCTTGTATCTGAGCATTGTTTAAAATAACAGATTCTTTTGAGAAGGATCTCTAAAGAGACGATACATTCAATAGTACAAAGTCCTTTCGCAAAGGATATCTAAAATCTAAATAGACCACATGTTGGGTTACATAACTTAGGTATTTCTTTTTTGTTCTTTTTTTTTAATAATTTATAGTACTGACTAGGTATTGTTAACTGTTTATGCATGTCGTGATTACCTATAAGCAGGGTATGAAATTATCAAGATAAATATATCTTTTGATAATTATCATGATAATTATCAAGATAATTATCAGATAATTATCC